TCGCCTAAGCCTCGGGACGGCTTACAAATAAATAAATATAATTAATACAATAAAGTACAAATGCTAATTCTATACACTCGGAACTCAGGGAGAGACTCCAAGATGGCAGCTTTGCTTCCCTTCCTTTCTTCCCAATGACACCTCTGGCCAAACTCAGCAGCTTGTCAAGGGAAACTTGTGGAAAGGGAGCCATGTGAGTCTGTTGCTGCAAAACAACACCTTCAAGCAGAGGTGGGGCACCTTTTTTCTGGGGGGGGGGGTGTTCCCTTGGGTTGGGAGGGTTACTCTGTCAGGGGGTGCCTGCTAGCATTGCAAAGGGGCCGTACCAGCCGCAAGTACCAGCAGGAAGGGCCCGTACCACCATTTCCCTCTATTGTCCGTCTCCCTCTCTGCCAACACCTTCTCTTTCTCTCCCTTTACGCGGCCCTTTCTCTTCCGCTCTGCCCACCCCTTCTGTCTCTTTTGTCCCCTATGCCACCTCTGCCACCTTTTTGTTCTCTGCCCCCCTTTCTCTCCCCAGTCCCCCTTTCTGGCACCCTGTCTCACCTTCTGGCAACCCTTTCTCCCCCCCACCCACCCATAGCAGGATGCCAGTGGTCTGAGCAGATCCCTCGTAGAGTTTTTGAAAGTAGCCCAAGGACCACTTGCGTCCCTGTGGCCAGAGGCCGTCCACTCCTCCTCAAAAAGCCACAGAGTAATTGCACATCTTATACCAACCGCATCATGGGAGATGCATTGCAGAACAGGGAGGGAAAGCGCCAAAAATCTGGAAAGAAGTTCCTGCCATTGGGAAATCTTTATAGAGAAAGGTTGCTTATACGTGCCTTTGTGATATAAAATCAAACCTGCAGCGTCCCTGCTCCTTCGCCCAGAAAGAACCAGAATTCCAAGCCGGCTCCCTTTTTGTGCCCTGAAGCATTATTAGTGGTCTGTTCCTTTAAGAGCCTAGGACTCTGCCTGCCTGAGGCAGCGGCTACATTTAGTTGCAAAAGTTAATCCTCTGCAGAATGTGGCTCCCAAGGAAAGTTAATTGGAACCATTCTTCTAGCAGCACAAGCTGCCAGACTGGTTTTTCTAGCAGTGTCACAATCTCCCTCATTTACATGTGCAAACTCAAACTCAGGACCTGTAACGATCCACGATCCACGTACCTTACTGATTGTCATGTCAATATCCTGTAATCACTGATATTTCCACAGGGAGGTGGTTGAGGCCCCATCGGTGCGGGTGTTCTAGGATAGGCTAGACATGCACATGGTGGGCATGTCGTGAGCGGAGCTGGCTGGAGCCGGTCAGACTAGATGGCCCGGGAGGCCCCTTCTGACTCGCTCTGTTTCTGTGTTTCTATGTTTCTATTTGCTGTACAATTGTCTCATGCCCCTCTGCAGATCCCCCACATTGTTTTGTGCATGAATATATTTTGTGCCCATTATTTTCTCGTCATCTGCCCTGTTCCTGTGTAAGTGACCAGAAGCCTATGAAGCACTCTGTATATGTGCTAGAAACCTGTAGCTGCCTCTACCCAACAGTGCTGTTCATGAAGGTTTGCCTCTGCAGAGGGCTTTCCTGGGAGTTCTCACCAATAAAACTGCTGAGGTTTGCAGCCTAGATGTCTTCCTGTGGACCTGAGCATTCATTCTTGCAGGTTGCTATTCTGGGATGCCCAAGAGTCAGGTCATTCAGCCTCAGAGTAGCCCCGAAAGGGAAGGAAGCAGAGAATGTAGCTTGCCAGGCCGGAGGACTGCAGAAAGCACACGCCACTCCAGCAGGAAAATCTTTTACCAAGCAAGGAACAAAACAAAACACCTTTCTCCTTTCGGCAGCTGAATTTAGGAAAGACTCAAGAAAGCTGGGCAGGGGAGCAAAAGAAGAGATGTGTGAGTAAAAGGAAGTTTCTGTGAACACCAGTTCCAGTACTGAAACCAAATTCAGTAGTCTCCTCCGCGATTCCGCATTCTACCATGTTATGAGCCATTTCCACCTGATGCTGGTCGGGTACCTCGGAGCTCTAGCAAAAGAAAGCAGAGGCAGTAAGCCTGGTTTTGGCCTGCCACAGCCTTGAGGCAGCAAGGAAGAGGTCTTGTGGTGTGTCGTTTCATTTCTGCCTCTTGCGGGAGGTTTGGAAAGAGTTCACTCTGTTGCAAAACCTGCCCAAACTGTCTAACATCATGAGATAAAAGAAAAGTGTTTGTACTCGTTGGGACCGATGCCTTTCGCAAACCACATTCTCTTCTCTCAAAAAGTCTGGTCTGTCTTTGGCATCACACATTCGAATAAGTATTAGAAAGTGGGGAGGAATCAAAGCTCCAAAGTGTCAAGATAACAGGTACTTTGTGGTTAGAGCTCAGCACGAACCTTTGCTTGTTCTTTTGTTAAATATCCTGAGAAAATTCACGACTATTAAAAGGTATGGAGGACCGGATCACACAATTTCATACAACTCTGGATGAAACAGCTTTCCAAAAACGGAGTCCAGGTGCCTTCAGTTTCTGGTTGAACCCTGTCAGGTTAGGTTTCCCATAATGCAGTGCTCCAGAAATCCCCTGGCATTGTGGGTAAAAGGTTCCGTGGCCTATGATAAAAGCGAGAGCATCTACCATGTGTGTTTTCCCACATACCTCTCCATGCTGCATCACGGGAAAACAAAATTTTGGGAGGAACTAGGGTGCTGAGCAAACCGTCCTCCCTGGCGTTGCTCCAGCCCTGGACCGGCAATGGGCGTGTGTGAGCAAGGTCAGCCAGATGTAGTCTGGCCAGAAGCCACAGCTGGTGTCCCTTTGCCTATTCCTTGATCCCGCGCCGGCTTTTCGTGCTTGTGCCGTGCCAAAACGCAAAGGCCTCCAAGGGGAAATGAGGAAGGATGACTTACCAGAAACAGAAGTCCGAGTATGGATGCCCTTAAGGAAATATGTGAACACCCTCCTCTCTGGATGATCATATCTGACAGATGGGCTGCAGATTAGCAGAGAAGAAAATCCGCAGCAGCTCAGGCAGGTTTGTGGGGGCGAGAAGATCAAGCGCTCCTCCTGGCCATCCCTGAGTGGGGGAGAGAGACAGAGAGACGAAGCCAGAAATATATATCTGACCGAGTCAGCGTGGGAGAGACAAGGCTACACGGAGTACCGTTAATTCTATGGTCAGCTAAAGCCACAGAGAGAGCTTCAAAGCATCTCAGGGGAGTGGAAAAAGAAGGAGGAAATGACCTCTCTCTTAAATAAAACCACTCAGATCCTGCCCGATCATCACCACGAACAAGGGTTCCCCTGTTCTTTTCCATCTCTTTGCACTTATGGAGCCATTTTTCTCTCCTGCCATTAACGTTTGTTCATTTCTCAATTACCTAAACTGTATAGTCTGTCTTGAATGAAACCAGTTTAAAATACACCAGTTAAAATAAAATACAATTTCAGAAACCAGCCACCAGCAAATGCCAAAAAAACCATTTCCGTTGCTCTATTAAATGTTTGTATTTTTAAAATATTTGTATTGTACACCATTCTTAACTATGGCTATGGTTGTCTGTGTTTGTTTTTGCTGTTTGTAGTCTGTCCAGAGAACCCTTGTTATTGGGCAGATTAAAAATATAAGAAAGAGAAGAAAGGACAAGAGAAAGAAAGAACAGGCTTTAAAAGACGGAGACAACGGGTATGTGTTTAAAGTTTAAAGCAACCACATATGGAGGAGAATTCCATAAAGCAGGATCCAGTAATGGGAAGCGCTTTTCTCTCGTGCCTTCCAACCTTACTTATCGCAGAGGCAGAGCATGAAAAGTGTCTTTGGAGATGCTCTTAAAAGCATGGACAAGCTTGGAAGGATGCATACGGGCGGCTTATTTTATATTGTATATTTGTAATTTATTTTAATGTATATATTTTAAAATGTTATGATGATTTAACTTATTTGTTGTAAGCCGCCCCGAGGCTTCGGCGAATGGGGCGGCATAAAAATGTTTTAATAAATAGATAAATAAATAAATAAGTGGTCTTATACACCACTTTGGTCCAAACAATTTATACTGGATTTATAGGACTTTGAATTGGTTCTGGAAGCTCCAGGAAAGTAGGGGCAGAACTGGAAAATTCTGATCCAGTCCTGATAAGCGCCTGAGCAGAGACATCCAAAGTAGCCATCTTCAAAGGCAGCCCCATGTAAAGCCCATTATAGTAGCCCAGCCTGAACCAGGGGCATGCAATCACACTTTTCCTAGATGAGTTTCCAGCTAATATACTAATTGTTGCTGGCTAACTCTATTACTGTTCTTCAAGATAGCTTACATTAAAAAAAAAGTAAAGTCCCATCAATAAACACAGTGGTAGAAATCATACTAAAATTACGCTTGCAGGTGATCCTATGAAATCGATGGATGGGAAATTTGGACCAAACGAAAGGGAAGTCCATTTACATACAACACAGAAAGGATGCGAGAATTTGCTGCCACATGCTGGGATGAAGGCTACTAGGTCCACATGCGGTTTAAACAAGCTTATGGAGGATATGTGTATCCATGGCCAGTTTTGCACAGAGCCACGTTGGTCGAATCCTTGCTTGCTGTGACATCTGAACCCATCCCTCCTAACTAACCCTAGTTTCTTAACCACCTATTCAAATCCAGCCCGTGGTTTCTTGCCAGCTCGCAAAGGCTGGCTTACTCAAAAAGGGTCTCCGGGTGATCCCTGAATCAAGAACCGTGGCTTCGTTCGTGTTGTTGGCCATCCTGAAACCCACAAAGGCAGTCTGAAAATGAAACTTGCCTGAGGGTTGATGAAATGAGTACAAGACCCGCAACCCAGAACCAGGAAATGTACAAGCATAAAGAGAGAGACAGGTGCAGTAACAAGACAATGCCAGTGTGGAAGCAAATATTACTTGCTCCCCCAAACCCACCAGTGCTTGGCACAGCAACACCCACAAAAAGTTCTCCCCAGAGTTTTGCAGAGTATTGCAAGCAACCTGCCGTGTTTACCATTTTGTTCTCATTGCAGGCTGCATCATCTCCTACAATGTCGCTGCTTTTGTCGGATGAAACGGCAGCAGATTTGCCGGTCCAGGACACCGAGCGGAAGCCGTCGGCGACAGCAGGAACGCAAGGTCAAGATTCTGTCGGGAAAAAGCAGTTTTTCACTGCTGTAGTGTTGCTTTTTGCTCTTAAATCTTCACAAAGCACAAGAAACTCCAGGACTATGTACGCGGAAAAAAAACACAAGTTTTTAAAACCCTGTTCTTTGCCTTAAAAAGTCCATTTCAACAGTTGGGATAAATTTACATTTGTTGGATTTGGATGACAGGACAATCCATGGTGGATTTTTTTTTATCATTGTTGGTCTGATGTGCTGGCTGAACCCAGTCATGCTATTTCACTATGTTTTGGTCTTTAGAAACCGTGATCAGAAACAATGGTTTGTTCTGTGGTTTCTCTGTATCATCATGGCTTGCCATGTTGTCTGAATCCAGGATCACAGTGTCTTCTGTGCTAGTATTCAGACACCATGGAGTCCCCTAAGAAAACACAGCAACTGAAGCAGCTGCTCCAGTGAGGAACAGGAAGCTGATGCGGTTGCTGGAGGCTGGATTTCTTCTTATCCATTTCAAACCACAGAAAGGCTCTCTGCAAAAATGTTCTTTATTTCCAACTCACAGCTAGCAAATTCTGGCTGCTGGAAGAAGAGCCTCTGTGCATGAATGGGGTGATTTGCCAAGCCCAAACTAGAAGCCTCTGTTTCAGTAGCCCTGGGCTGCATTCCGCTGGGTACACCCCTCTGGAGGAGCTAGTTCTGGGCACCAAGATTTAAGAAAGATGCAGGTAAATTAGAAAGGGTCTTTCCATGGCTTCAGACACGCCTTCCTACCACTCCAGACAATACAACAGCCCTACCATGGTAAGATTTCACCATGGTCCCTCATGTCGTGTGAACGAACCTCCAAATTGTTCTAGATCAGTTCCTTGCTCTAGAGGTGCGCTATGCAGAAGTCTTCAGCCCTCCCCGGACCCTGGGAAGTTTCCTCTTTGTGTAGCTTCCCTCTCGGGTATCTCTGATTCAGAGTTTGTCCATATGATTTTGGCAACAGGTTTTCACGTTTATCCTTCCATCTGTAGGACCAGGGAGCTTGCTTGGTTTGACAAGTTAAAATAGCAAGCGCTTAAGTCCCTTCCTGGATACCTCAGTGGAGTCTCAGAAATTTGTAGCACTAAAATAGACACTGATTATGACACACAGACACACGCACGCACATTTGCAAGCTGAAAATCCTGTTTGGTCCTGGCTTTCCAAAACTTGAAGCAAGCATTCAAGGATTTGCATTTGCATGCCAAGCAGTGCATAATTTACAAATACATAGTGGTATTATTTGCACCCTGTTGTTCCCTTCCACTCTCTGTGTGCTTCTTACAGTGTTGGCTTTACACAATGACACCCTCCTCCTTACCCTGTCATTTTCTTACCTGCAGATGTGTCATCTTCCGCTGTTCTCCCTGTGAAATCCCCTGGACTGAAAACCTGGATGAAAGGTAGGCAATTCACGAGTCTGGATTGTCAGCCAGTGTTTCCTTCCTTCCTTGTGCCAAGCCTTCCACATCTTCGTAACTGATCCCTCCAATACGAGGTTCCCAACTTGGGGTGTCTGCACCCCCAGAAGGAGCAAAATGGCATTTCTGGAAGTGGAACAAAGAGGAAGGCTGCATTACAATTCGCCAAAATTGGCAAATCGCAGTGTGTTTTGCCAAAAATTATCCCAAGAATGGAAGTATTTATTATTATTTTCTTTGCATTTGGATTCAGTTCTCTTTTGTCAATCAAGACAAAATCTAGGAAGTGCCTGAATCCACAGGCAGACTTGTGGATCACAATACACAAGGAAGTTCCTCGTTTTGACAAAATTGTGAATGAGAATCAGGAACAAAGAAGCCATTGAGTTTTATGTTCAGCATTGGGATTGTTTTACTGTTTACACTTTTTTTCTAATTGCTCAATTCATATTTGAATTTTATCCACTGGGTTAATAAGCTTTTTTTTAAAGTTCAGTTCATTCACACACACTCCTGTATGAGGTTCCATCTGCAGTTCCAAGATTAGAAATTTGACTTCTTCGTCTTCAAATGCGGCATTCATTTTGTAGGAGAAGCAAACATCAAACATTTTCTAGGGGTGCTGGGCACAGAAAAGGTTGGAAGCCACTACTCTGATAGCAGACTTGGGTGGTCAGTGCTGGTAGAAACTGAGGCAAATGGAGAGACCAGGAAGCAAAATAAAGGAATCAGCATCGTCAGAGGGACCATAAGTTTTGTGGGCATATGTAGAAAATAGATTTAAAATAGATTTAAAATATTAGGGGACAAACCAATGCCAAAACAGTCCTAGAGAAATGCAAATTTTCAGCATCCATGGAAAGCTGAGTGCCTTCTGGCAGTGATGGAAACAGTATTCTGGGAGCAGGTGTGACTGGCTGGCATGGTACCTGAACTGGATCTTTCCTGCTATGAAGTGAGAATAAACAGCCTCAGTGAGGTTGTACACGGACTCTTCCCCGTCTCTTCTGGTCCCTGAAGCTGATGATGGTCCTCTGTGCTCTCTTCCTCGATTCCAGGATCAGGGTCATTAGCAAGGACGAGGCGCCAGATAAGCCGAGTGAGCCGCACGGAGCTGGAGGACGGGTTTCTACGACTCCACGATGAAAATTTGCTGCTCAGAGAGTTTGCCCAGAAGCAGGAGGACAGGATCAAAAGGTACAAGGGGGTGGCAGGTATAAGCCGGATTGTTGCTTGTTGCTGGAAGATGCCTTCTTGGGTTGTCCGTTCCTTATAATCAGCTAGGTGGAATAGCCAGCCATCTTTTCCTTTAACTTTGCTGTTAAATGTAGGTGTTGCTGTTTTACAAAAATGACTATTTTAGGGTGTAAAAGGTAAAGGGTAAAGGTTTCCCCTTGACATTAAGTCCAGTCATGCCTGACTCTTGGGGGTGGTGCTCATCTCCGTTTCCTAGCCGAGGGAGCCAGCGTTTGTCCGCAGACAGTCTCCATGGTCATGCGGCCACCATGACTAAACACCAAGGTGCACGGAACGCTGTTACCTTCCCACCCAAGTGGTACCTTTTCATCTACTTGCATTTGCATGCTTTCGAACTGCAGGGTTGGCAGGAGCTGGGACAGAGTACGGGAGCTCACCCCGTTGTGCAGATTCGAACCGGTGACCTTTCGATCAACCAGCCCAGCAGCACAGCGGTTTAAACCACTGCGCCACCTGCAGTCTCATTTTAGGGTGAGGAACATGCAATTCCTAAGCATGTTCAGAGGGAAGAAGTCCTACATGTTAGCACTGGGGTGCAAGCAGCTGGCTTCACGGTTTGGTCACAAGACCAGGGGTGCTGAAGATGAATAGATCGCTTGTTGTTGTTGTTAGTCGCAAAGTCACGTCCGACCCATTGCGACCCCATGGACAACATTCCTCCAGGCCTTCCTGTCCTCCACCATCCCCTGGAGGCCACCTAAGCTCACACCAACTGCCCCAGTGACCCCATCCAGCCACCTCATCCTCTGCCATCCCCTTCTTCTTTTGCCATCTATCGTTCCCAGCATCAGGCTCTTCTCCAGGGAGTCCTCCCTTCTCATTAGGTGACCAAAATATTTGAGTTTCTTCTTCAGTATCTGAAGATACTGAATACAGTATACAGTATCTGACACAGTATCTGAAGATATAAAGCTCTTAGTGGAAGGCAAATAAGACTGAAGGCAGCCCTCAAATACATCTTTTGGGTGATGGTACAGAATCACAAAAGCACATGGCTTAGATCTCTCCATTAAAATCATTCATCTTTTCTCTAGATGGATTCCTCTAGCTCCCCTTTCGATCCTTCCCCCTCGGATTCCTCTTTGCATCCCATCACCAACCCTACAGTGATCCTCCGCATCCTTCTCGCCTCAATCGGCATCCTTCCTCAACCTTGTGGCTGGTCCCCAGAACTTGAAACGGTGCCGACCCAAGCTCGAGACTGCCGAGACTGAATCTCTTTTCCTCGCTCCCCCAGGATGGGCACCAAGTTATCAAGGCTCAGCCACGAGCGAGCACAAGGCAGCGGGAGACCGGCGAGCTGGTGGCAACGCTCTGGCCGGAACCTAGTCCTGGAGGGGGACCTGGAAGAGACGCAGGAGCGGGTCTGGGAGCTGGAGAAGCGTAACGAGGGTCTGAGGAAGCACGTGCTCTTCTACAAGCAGCAGCTGGAGCTACAGGGCTGCGGCCGGCACTGTCCGTACAGTTATGTCTCCCCCAGGGTCGACACCGGACTCCGCCGTGCGCACACCGCTACCGGACGCGTGCCCGAGAGGGTACGCAAAGGTAAGGGGGGCCCGCGGGTTGCTGTTTCCATGACGGAGAGCAGGTGCTGCATCTTACGTAGCTGATGGAGGCCCACCTCTGAGACCCCACCTGGGCTTTTCCTGGAGCCCTGGTCCTGCCGCCCCGCAAAAGGCGCGATCCGACCTGATGGAGGGCACGAAATACAGCTCGTCATTCCCTTTCTTGCTCAACAGGGATGCGGGTTCAAGGACCAGCGGCCAGGCCAACCCACACAGCCCCTCCCGGATACGGGGATCACTTCCTGGAGGGATCCCGAGCAGAAACGGAGAGTCTGTGAGTCTTACTCCCCTGCCCCGCTTCGATCTGCTTGCGCAGTGGTTTCTGGCTGGTGGTCCTCAAAGGTTTCTCTTGACCGGTCCGTGCTTGGGGAGTCCAGTGACTGACTTGCTTGGGGGTCATCCCGGGACTGGGGTGTGGAACCACTGGTCGCCCACAGGCTGAATTCCAGTTTGGAGAAGCTCTTGGGGCGGGAGTCACATTCCACCGATGGGCAGAACCAGAAGAGACAGGGCCAAAAACGACAGGGTATATTAGCGTAAAGCTCTTCCTGCCAGCAGTTAAGTCTTGTAAGAGGCTGACGTGGAAAACACGTACAAAAGCCTTAAAATGCATGTAGGCTGGGCCAGAGGAAAAGGTGGCTGCCTGCAGAAGCCTGGAGGGTTATATTCTCTCTGCACCTAAGTTCTACACCTCTGGCAACATGGAAAGGTACCCTGAGAGCCAGTGTGGTGTGGCTGTTAGAATATTGCACCGGCTGACCCAGATCCTATCAAGATAGAAAGCTTTTTGATCCAGGTAGGACCACAGGCTCATCTACTTTATCATGCCAACTCTAACTCACAGCAGGTTGTCGAGATCTCTTCCCATCTCTGCTCCTTGTGATCTTTTAAGGGGGAGTACAGGGATTGGGCAACAAAGCAGGGGGCCTTCCCCGTGGTGGCCCCCAATTAAGGAATGGTCTCCTCTGGAAGACCCTCCTGGGGCCAACCTTGATCTTTTCAGTTCCAGGTGGGACCTCCTTGTTCCCTCTGGCATGAGGCAGCCTATGACGAGTTCTTTTTCAATCAGCCGTGGAATTGTTTCCTTCTTGTTCGTTTGCAATCATCTTTAGATGTTTCTCACTGTATACTCTCTGCTTATACATCTGCATGTATATCATTTTTATAATGCCTATCTATGCTTTAAATCTTTGCAAACTGCCCAGAGAGCTTCAGCTATTAGGTGACTCAGAAGCGTAATAAATGAAATGAAACAAAACCTTACGAGAAAGGAGCAGCTGAAGAGAGGGAGAGAAGAGGAAGGAAGGCAATCTTATAGCTGCGCTGAGCTCTCTGGAAAGGGGAGAAGAATATTATCACCTCTGTGAACCCACTAATCAGTTACGTGCTGAGCTTCTCTTGTGTACTGAGGTCCATGGAATAACACAAACCTTGCATGCAAAAAGTTCCCAGTTCAAGACCCTGTGCTTCCAGAGAGAGTTAGGGGGAAAATGCTGCCGAAAACCCTCAGACCTCTTCAGGGGGGTGCCCTAAAAGAACCGTCCTTCCCCGCCATTGCATGTCATTACAGAACCCCATGCGCCCACTCAGAGGCTGAAGTACTCAAACCGGTGGCCACAGAGGCAGTTAAAAGCGACACAGGAAACTCCCACCTTCCTGTTCGGTGCAGACAGGCGCATTGTCTTCTTTCCTTCCAATTTCCGCAAAAGAATGAGCTGGAAGTGGACTGCTTTCCCTGTGTTCTTCCTTGCAGGACCCACAGCTTGGTACTGGAAGCGCTGAAACTGCATCCTGAGTCACAGAGTTCTTCCAGCCGCTTGCAGCAGCGCCAGCTGGAAGCCCAAGAACGCCGGTACAGCTTTGTTTCACCTTTTATTCCACGCTCACGCAAACTTTTTTCCAGTCCACGACTGTTGAGGGCATTATTCACTCCTCTTTTCTCACAGAGAGCCATCTAATTGGAAAGAGGATCCTTGGATGCTACATACTGATCTTCTCCCCTCGATTTTAAAAAGGCACAATTCAAAGATGAGCTTTTGGAAGCTAACACAATTTGTGACATTGCACAAAACCATCTGAGCTCATGGGGCACTTCTCCAAAAGTCAGAACTTTAAGTGGCGAGGCCAAAACTCTGGTCTTGGACAGGCAGGACTCTGATGACTGAATTTCCCCGATTTTGAAAAAGGGAATGTATTGTTACAGTGTTCTGAAAAAGCCAATACAAAAGCACAAAACAAAACAGAATATGCACATGTCAGAATCCCGGAATCTCAATTTGAGAAGAGGGAATAAATCTCGGATTCGTGGGAAAGATCAAGCGTCCAGACCATCTGTGGCTTGATTGTCTTACCCAGGTTCCCCATGGGTCCGTACTCACGATAATGCATTACCGGGCAGGCAGAGGTAAACTCTGCTGCCAAGCTTCAATACCATTACAGGGCATTTATAGGTACACAGGTACAGGGCAACTGATGACAGAATGCAGAGATTACAATAAGATTCTGAGGTCACCACACACAGACCAGATAAAGGAATGTCAGTCAATCACACAGTAACAATGAGATTACAACATTTCTAATTGCCTGTATTGACACTTTAGTTCAGTAGCTTGAACCCATCTCCAGGTCTGCTCAGACATGTAAATTCAAGCTACTGAAACTATGCATGAACTCAAGACTCTTATCTACTCTAGACATGCTGAATTGGCCAGGGCACATGGAGCCCCTGGGCTATCAAAAGATACTTCCTTGTAAACTGAATTCCAACAATGACTATTTACAATGTATATTCGGACTGAATGGCCTGTCTGCTGTAGCCCACAGCTAAAGGTGAGAGAAAGGAGCGGGGGAATGCCATTTTAAACAGTGACTGCTTGGTTTTGAGAAGGAGCACAGGATTTGATCCCACAATGCAAAAAGCACACAGAAGTAATGCTTTTCAGACAGGATTTATCCAAATTTTCCCAACACACACAAACCTTTAACTGAGCTGATGAGTACAAATGAATAGATACTCATATGTCTTTGTATGTTTACTACAGAGTAAACTTGCATGGGACTTGAGCATAGCTTTTCATTTTCCAGTCTTTTTCATGAAGGAGAGTGTAATTCCCTCACTCTCCAACCTCTGTATACCAGTCATTTTTCCTAGAATTTGGAAAAAAAATGCCATTCTGCAGCTTGAGTAAAAAGTACAAATGTGCCCATTTTCAGCACATTTTAACTTGTATCTGTGGCGATTTAAATCAGATCATTTAGAAATTATGCGTAATTTTAGACTATGGGTGGTAGATTAAGGGTGTGAACTGTCATAATGGTTTACAGTTATGAGCTCTGTAGGATTTAGAATTTTGGGGCTTATAATGGAAGACCTTTGTGGGTGCGTGATTTACCCCAACTACATACTGGGAATGCAATAAATGTAAAATAAAATGTAAATTGGAATGTCAACCTGTCCCCTCCAGAAGTGCTGGACTGGAGGGGACCAGCTTGGACAAGGCTGCTGTAAACAATTATTTTAACCAGAGTAATATAAATTCAGTGCTGTGCATTGGCACACAGAAATTGCTTCTCAAGTTTTTGTGCTAGATTTAACAGATTTCATTCTTACCCGGGCTCACCATCATTTTTGTGGAATGCGCTCCCCAGAGAGGTCCGCCTGACGCCGTCGTTATTTGTTTTTCGGCGCCAGGCCAAGAACTTTTTATTCAAACAGTATTTTAATAATGTTTAATATTTATAGATTTTAATTGTGCAGCCAGTCTGTTTCCGGGTTTTAATTGTAATTGTTATTATTTTGTATTTATTTATTTCTGTAAGCCGTCCCGAGGCTATGTAGCAAGGGGACGGCATATAAAAACTTTTAATTAATTAATTAATTAATTAATTTCTGGTCCATCAGAATGGGGAGGTGAAGGTTAGCATCAGGGCTGACATTACCTGCTCTCTCGATCTCGCATCCAATGAATCTGTCCGTTTTTTGCTTGGTCCAAGCAGAGCCATTATCCAGGACAATGTGGAACTGATCCAGGTGCAGAAGCTTTTAAAGGCCAAGAATTCAGAACTGCTGCTAATCAAGGCCCAATTTACTGGCCTACAGGAAGTGAGTTCTGCCATTCTCCTTCTAAGCCCACATGCCGTCACCCCTTTCTGCTGATATGTGCAGAACTTCCAAGTTTCTTGTCCTCATGCTCTTCAACCCTCTGTGTTCTCTGGCTCCTTCATCCCTCCCTGGCTCCATTCAATTGAATTTCCTACCAGCTTTCTCTTCTTTTCCATCCTTTGAAAGAGTGCTACATGCTCTGTTCTTCCAATGCTAGCAGCCACTTTGTGAATGGGCAACTCCCTCACCCCATAGCAGCCATTTTGTGAAAGTGCCCATCACCCTCTTTCAAAATTCCAAAGTCTACCAAAAAGTTTGGGAGCCCTACAACCCATATTTCTTGGCTTAGAATGGGGGAAGTGGGGTTAGAAAGCTCACCTGTGCTTTTGTAGCAGTAAGATCCTCTTTTGCACAATAAACCCTCCATCTTTGCCTTAGCAAGTCAATGGGCCCTCCAGTGAGGAAGAGCATGTCCTTCTGCCGCATTACATCCTGATTAATGTAGCATTTTGCTTTCCTTTTCCTAGGCTTATGAGACTCAGCTCCAGCAGGTAACTTTCCCTAGTTCTGTTTGTTGGTAGCCCTGGGAATTGAACGGGCTCTCTTAGACCGCTCAAGGCTCTAGTCCTCATGATTTCTCTTTTCTTTCCTGCTTGCTCTGCAGAACCAAGAGGCTTTGAGGACAGCCACTGAGGCCTTGCTAGCTCAGGTGGGAGAACTGAGCTCCCTCCTGAAGGAAGAGAACCAGAAGGTGGCATCCCTTGAAAGCCAATTGGCGGCCCTTCCTCCAATGCAGGGGACCTTGCAGGACGTAAGGGAACCCTGAATTCCCCCCCATGGACTCTCAGAGCTGTCCCATTTCTAAATACACTCTGCCTTCTGCAGTCTCCCTACAGCACACTGGGGAACATGGGCACTTGTGTCCCACTAGAGGGGTTCTTGTGAACAAAATGCTGAACTCGCGGGCCTGATCTGGCATGGATCTTCTTCCAGTCCCATATAAGGGAACTCTAGAAACATAGAACATAGAAACAGAGCAAGTCAGAAGGGATCTCCCGGGTCATCTAGTCTGACCCCCGGTTCCAGCCAGCTCTGCTCACGGCATGCCCACCATGTGCATGTCTAGCCCAGCCTTGAACACCCACACCGATGGGGCCTCAACCACCTCCCGGGGAAGCCCATTCCACACCCTCGGGGTCCGGACTGTCAGGAAGTGCTTCCTGGCACCCAAATTGAACCTTGGTTCTCTGAGCTTTGCTCTCCTGGAGTGCGTCCTGCCTTCCTCTGCAGGGGAGAACAGGTCTCTACTCATCTCCGTGTGACATCCCCTCACATACCTGTATGTCGCCAACAGATCCCCTCTGAGTCTCCTCTTCTCCAGGCTGAAAAGGCCCAGTTTCCTCAGTCTCGCCTCATACGGCTTCCCCTGCAAATCGGCCACCAGCCTTGTGGCCCCGCACTGCACTGACTCTAACCTGGCTATATCCTGTCTGTAATGAGGGGCCCAAAACTGAGCACAATACTCCAGTTGCAGGCACACCAGGATCGTACAGAGTGGTACTAATACCTCTCTCGATCTAGAAGCCACGCTTCCGGCTATGCAACCAAGGGTTGTCTCTGTCTGGGCAGGTTTCATCCACTGCTTATCACCTGAATCAGGCACTGGTCCAGGTTCTTCCTAGACTCAAGAGAAGAGCAAACGGCTCTTCTCTTCATCCTTTCTGCAATTCAGCCTTCCTTATGGAGCATCCAGCAAAAAGGTATCTTTGATCTCAGTTTCAGGAGAGAGTCCGGGACCTGGAAACGGAGCGAGATTTGCTGAAGGTGGATTATGACAAATTACTGGAGAGGTGAGGATGGGCTGACGGATAAATAAATGACTTTTCCTGACCCTTTAGTGTTGATCTTCTCCTAAAGACCCCGGGAAGGTTCTTAGGTTTTCCATAAAACAGAAAAGAATATTGTGGCACCTTAGTGATCTGGATAATCCTCAATTTTCCTTGTCTCCGTGTCTTTTAGCTGCATCAACACGGCTCAGCAAAAGCTGGACGAGGTATCCCAGAAGGATAGCATCCTTTGCTTGGAAGAGCAGCTCAGCTCAGTGATAGCAGAGAAGCAGCAGCTGGAGGAACAGCTAGAAAAGGAAATAGGTGAGGGGGCTGCCCTAAGTAGAACATACCCAGTAAATCACCATTTTTCCTCTTCCCTCCCCATCCCTCTTTCCTTTTGTGCTGTGCCTTTTTAGATCTGCGCCTTTCTAGATCTGTCTGTGAGCTTGGGCTGCCTTGTTTTCATTCATCATATTTCAGTCACAATAGGAGGCTTTTTTAAATAAAAACTTTTTTAAAAAATTAGGAAGCTTACTTTGGCCCTAATGATAGTTATGATCATTTTCGCATGCTTGTGAACATCCAGCTGGTTCCAGTTGATCAGTGTTACTGTTCTTATTTGGAATGATATGATGATGATGATGATGATGATGATGATGATGATGATGAAGATGGTGATGATATGCACATATTTAAAGTTGCCAGCTATCAGCAACTCTGCTGTGGTTCCACACAAGCCTTGAGTTATGGGAAGGGAATTGCCGGGCCCGTCAAAAAAGTGTCCAAAAGGCAACCCTCTGGTCTCTTCCATGATTTGGTCTCTTCCCACAAGGTCGGCATGGGGGACCGAAGCCGGAACTGCGCCAACAGCTGCATGCACAGGACAAGGACTCGTTGCAACAGAAGACGGACGCCTTGGAAAACCAGCCTAGAGGAGATGAATCACAGTCCAGTCCAATCGAGGTAGTTTCTGGATTAGAAATTTACCGGCTGTTTTGAGGAATGTTGTACTGGCAGTCATCATGTCCAAAACGGAAGGGCTGGATTTTTTTATATATTCATTAGATTTACACCCCTCATGTTCCCCCTCAGTTCCTTTCCTCTTTGCCTTTGTGCCTAGTTTATCCTCACAGCAGCCCTGTGAGAGAGATTATACTGGTCAAGAGCTGGAAATTGCCCAAACCTAGCCAGAAATAAGCTGTTCAGGTGGAAACTGGAAGTGGAGTTTCCCCAGTCCAAGACTCTCACCGCTAGACAACACTGCCTTTCAGAAGATTAGTGTCAGTGGCAACACCATAGACAGGGGCTCACAGAAAAGGGATCTGAGCATGAAGGAGACTGCAGGCCAGGATGGAAAGGGAGATATAGATGGGAATGAAGCAAATTAGCCCAGGGTTAATTAGCACGTCCTGTGCTCTGTTAGCAGGAAGTGTGGAAAGATGAAAGGAGCTAAATCTCAAATGACCAGCCAAATCTTTGACTTCTTTTCTTTGGTCTTTCTTAAATCACCAAGGGCTTCTTCCAACCCACTCCAATTTGAACAAGCAAGAACTAACCAAATGCTTGAAAGCCAATTTTGGCAGTGATACAACAACAACCACAAGCAATAGTTGCTGTTGTTGTTGTTGTTGTTGAGTTCTGTACTATCCAGTAGCTGAAGCTCTCTGGGCAGTTTACAAATATGTATAAAATAAATAAATAAGGCGGACAACCATTAAAACCATCATAAGCAGTCACCATGTCCAATGAAAAACTAAATTTAAAACCAATGGAAAAGACTTCAATACCTTACACAAATTAAATTGTAACATCTGTTTATGCAGCTAATATAAGCCCCAATATAATGGTAAAACTAATGAAATGAATTGTGGTAAAGGACAGTTTAACAGGATTATTTTAAGATAGACCATTCTGGAACTGTATTTCAGGTGAGACGCCCCTGAAGGAAGATTCAGCAGGAAAAAGCAGAATAAACCCAACGACAATCAAATCATAAAGCCGTCTCTAACATTGCTCAGCTCAGCACCCAGAGGTGCCAATTTGCCAGGCCTCTGCTTGCTGATTTGGTAGGACCACACACGTCAAGCCCTTCTCCCTTCTCCTCCATCCCTTCCTCCTTGCAGGCCTCGTCCGCAGAGGGCCCTCAGAGAGAGGCGGAGAGAGAAGAGGCATTTGCCCAAAGGATCCTGAAGCGGAAGCTGCACGCGGCAGAGGCGGCCCACGCCGAAACGGTGCTGGAACTGGAGAAGACGCGAGACATGCTCATTCTGCAGCACCGCATCAACCGGGACTACCAGGTAAGACGAGGGGAGGCCCACGTGGCATCGGGACAGGGCCTCGTGCAGAGCGCGGGGTGGGTACCCACAAGACCTTGGGCTCTGGAAGAATATTTCCTGCGCTCTGCTCTCCGGGGTTAAGCTCAGTGGAAAGAGGTTGCCCTGTTTCCCTGAAAGTAAGACCTAAGCGGAAAATAAGCCCTAGCGTAATTTTTCGGGATGCTCGTAATATAAGCCCTACCTCAAAAATAAGCCCCAGTTAAGATCGTCAGCCAGATGGGGGGAAACATGGTAGTATGTCCGTTGCAATGCACAATAGATGCATTGAATTATAAAATAACAATGTTACTATATACTTAAATATAAATCAATAATATTATTGACATTAATACTTAACATAGATGATAATATACATTATGATTAAGTATTTGTAAATACCGAAGCGGGTGCCTGTGGACGAGAGGTAAACGCCTTTTAAACAGATGAACGTGAGACTTATTGCCAAATGACCAGAGTACAGACACAACGCACAAATAACATCAATACATCGTGTGTTGTAACGGACGTGCTTAATGCATGCCTGCCGAATACAAGATGGGTGCAAAAGAGAGAGCTACTCCATCCAGTACAAGAAAGGAATCGTGGAGGACTCTTGGGGCAAGAATCATACTGCTTTTGAAAGAGAAAAATCAGACATCACCTGAACATAAGCCCTAATGCGTCTTTTGGAGCAAAGATTAATATAAAACCTGGTCTTATTTTCAGAGAAACACGGGAAGTGAGTTTGCACTGCAGCTGAATATTTCCACACTTCGGTTTATGGGAGGAAAGCACATGGGTTTTTCAATGCTATGTATTTCCCTGCAACTAAGCATGCACAGAGTTATGTAAAATGGAAAAAAAAAGTCTGCAATTGTGTGGAATTTGCGTAATTTGGGGGAATCTGGTCTAATGCGGAATCCCTAGGTTAGATTCTTAGAAATCCAAACGGAGTCTGTGGCAGGAATATCCGATATTTGCTTGAACTGCAACTGACTGCACTGCATCCTTGTTGGGGCTTTTCTTGGTCCGAGGCGGAACTGGAAGAGGTGATGCTGCAGGCCGGGCGAGAGAAGCGGGAGCACAAGGAGAAGCAGGAGCAGATGGCCCGGCTTCTGGACCTGCGTGGCGCCCGCATCCACCAGCTCGAAGGTACACGCAGTGCCAGTGACCCTCTTGAAGGCCTCCTTATTGCCCGGGCTGCGGAAGTGCCCAGCTTCCTTGAGTCCAAGAGGCCCCATCCCGCCCGGAAGAGGTTCTTGGGGTCTGCATGGAAAGGGACGGAAAGCAAAAGGGTTAGAAGTACCTTTTCTCTGTAGCCTCTTTTGTTGTTGTTTAGTTGCGAAGTCGTGTCCGACCCATTGCGACCCCATGGACAACATTCCTCCAGGCCTTCCTGTCCTCCACCATCCCCGGAGTCCACCCAAGCTCACACCCACCTCCCCAGTGACCCCATCCAGCCACCTCATCCTCTGCCATCCCCTCCTTCTTTTGCCATCTGTTGCTCCCAGCATCAGGCTCTTCTCCAGGGAGTCCTTCCTTCCCATCAGGTGGCCAAAGTATTTGCGTTCCATCTTCAGGATCTGGCCTTCTAAAGAGCAGTCCCCTTATTTTCCCGTCAGTTGTTCCCAGCATTAGGCTCTTCTCCAGGGAGTCCTTCCTTCTCATTAGGTGGCCAATGTATTTGAGTTTCATCTTCAGGATCTGGCCTTCTAAAGAGCAGTCAGGGTTGATCTCTTTTAAGACTGACTGGTTTGATCGCCTTGCGGTCCAAGGGACTCGCAGGCGTCTCAGCCTCTTTTTACCCATCACTGAGCCTTAGAAGGCAACACTCCCAGGAGAAGATAATCATGCTGGGGAAGGTCAAAGGCTGAAGAACCAAAGAAAGCCCAAGTAAGAGGTGGATGGACTCCGTGAAGGAAGCCAACGGCTGGAATTTGCAAGACTGTCGTGGAGAGAGAATTTTGGGGAGTTGGTTTTCACACACAAGGTTTCCAGAAGTTCGAAATTACTTGACAGCAAGTACTTGACTAGCACCTCAAAAGAGGCATGTTAGCCTTCTGGAAAACCTGAAGGAAAGCTGGAAAACTGGCAAACCATTGATTGGTGGCTGAGGGAAAGGAAGTAGGCTGGGAGGAGGAGAGCAGCTGTCTGGAGACACCCAGCAGGCCGAATTTCCTAAGGCACTGCCCTCTTGAAGGTATTTCCCAGCTCAACATGGATCGCTACGTAAGGATATGAACAAAACCGAAGCATCTAGTCCTCATGGAGTTCCAAGCCATTTCAAAAGGCATTTCCTTCATGCCACGCCTAAATTTGCACCCCCACCCCATAATGCACTCTGAATTAATTCTGAAAGGGAGAGATGCCACCCATAACGCCTGGCTCTTGGGTGGATCTCACTTCTGCCAGCACTATCTGCTTTTAAGATCCTAGGTCAGGTCCAGGCTAAGTTAGGTGTGCTGAAGTCCCATCGACATCAATAGCATTTAGGCTGAATTAAGACTAACTTGTCCCCTTGATTTCAATAAGGCTGACCTTGGGCTCAGTCCTGTTTTGACTGTCCTTGATGTGTGATCTTGCATGTTTAGACAACATGTTTAGACGGCTGCTTTTGGCTGTCTGGATAAAGCACCGAGTTGGAGGAGATTGGGGCACAGTTTGGATATGCTGTAAAATAAACTAGACCCACAGGACCCCTTCAGCCTGCATGCCAAGTGTCAGGTGTTTAGGCTTCCGAGTATTACTGCCACGGCATCATATTTTATTTTAATAGGGCTTTGTGTGGCTAGACCTCAGTGAGGAACTCTGAGGAGTGGGCCACTTACCTATTGATTTATTGGCTACGCCTGGGTCTCCCTCCGCAGAGCAGCTGAGGGATGTGGCCTATGGAACCAGGACAGTCCCATTTCTCCCCGATGAGGCCGACGCATCCCTAAGCACCGCCCCCGACAAGGCCCTGCAGCTGCGGCGTGGGGAGAACCTCTTCGAGCTGCACATCGCTGGGGCGGCGCTCTCGGCCGACGCGCTGTCTCTCCTGGGGGACCCCGATCCCGCCACCTTCTGCACCTATTCCTTCTACGACTTCGAGACCCACTGCACCCCCGTGGTGAGCGGTGCCCGGCCCCACTACGACTTCACCTCCCAGTACGTGGTGCGGGCCGAGCCTGTATTTCTGCAGTACCTGCAGGGGGCGACATCGCGCCTCGACCTGCACCTGGCCTCTGCGGCTGACTATACCACCCTGGCCTCCTGCTGGCTGCGTTTTGGAGAGGCGCTGGGCAGTGGGGAGCAGGTCCATGCCACGGCCGTCCTGCACGGTAAGCGCAAGAGGGGCGGATGAGGGCGAAGAGGGCCCGCAGGCTCACGAAGCTGCTCTTCGGAGGCTATGATCCATCTTCCCCTGTCCAGGGAGGTCAGGCAGGGATGATGGGTCTTCTCTCCAGTGAGCTGTAGAATGTGGCATTCACACCTCAGGCAAAATGTGGTGATTCCCCACATGCGTTTCGTATTGAGGAAAAGAGGAGGCTAAGTTGAGTCTCTAGGAATTGGACCAACCATTTCAGGATCCAGTTAAATGTTCGACTTGAGGGCCGAGCCGGGTCCAGAAGGTTTGGCTTCTCATGGTTTACCAATTACAGCTATCCCTCGATGAACGCTGTTAATTGATCGCACAATATTACTGAGTATATCGAAACCGTGTTAAGTGATTCTAATAATCAATGGTAAAAATTAAAATTCATCCATAGTCAATTACTGTATTAGCAAGACAAAATATGACTGCAAAGTAAATGTTTTATGAAATGTACTTACATTAATTACCGTTTTTGCTGAAAAAGTTATCAAGAGTCTGCCTCATCTCCCCGGAAATCCAAATCCAATTTCTGCCTCTGTGAACATCTTCACCCAGAAGCAAAGGGGGCCAGAGTTTAATCCCCTTGTTTGTTATTCTTCTTGCAACCTGCCGCCGCTGCCTGTTTCCCACCTGGCCGCTTACCTCTAGGTGCGAACGGCGAGCACTTCGGCCTTCTAGAATATTGGGTGAGGCTTCGCTTCCCAATACAGGAAGTTCTCAGGCTGCACCGCCAGCGGGCCAAAGCCCTGGGCTACCTGTCCGCCCGAGTGCCACGTCCCACGGTGGCCCAACGGGACCGGCGATGGCAAGAAGAAGGGGTGAGGAAAGCAGAGCCCGTGTTCAGTGCCCCATTATGTCTGTTTGCGCTACTCTAGGCCTCACAGGTTGGGGGGTGGGGTGGGGGAGAGAAGAAAACCCAAAAACGCAGCAGAACAGCAGCCAAACTCAACTGGCCCGATGGAAAGAAGAGTTGGCAGGTTTTGCTAAAAGGCTTTGGAATCTGATGAGACTTGAGTTCTCGTTTTCTTCTGCACAGCCTCACCTATTCCCTTCTCAGCGCACCTGCTTTCCTTGGGGTTCTCTCCGCAAACTAAGTTTACTGTTACAGACTTATCAAAGCTTTTATTTGTGGTGCCCACCTATCAGAGCCAAAGCACACATAAATCTCTCTCGTCTCAAAATGCAGAATTTTGCCTCTGCCAACCTAATATTTGTGCAAATACTATTTGGGCTAACCAGGCAAAGGCAACATTCCTTCTGCCCACGGCCATTTATCTATTTACTTATTAAACTTCTATTCCCCTTTTTCCCAATGAACCCAAAGCGACTTACATCATTCTCCTCCTGCTGCTCTCAGACTTATCCCCTCAACAACAACTCTGTGAGGTAGGCTGGTAATGCTGAGTCCCAGGGCTAAGTCCCACTCTGGATCTAAAGGCCGCAACATCTTTATATCAATAGACCAGGATCCTACAGCACAGCACAGATCCATACTTGAGGTGGGCCATCCCCAGACATTCTGCCGCCCAAGCTGAAACAGTGAGAGAGCCAGTGTGGCATAGTGGTTAGAGCACGGGACTGGGACTCAGGCGATCTGGGTTCGAGTCCCCGCTCGGCCATGGAGCCAACTGGGTGACTTTGGGCCAGTCGCAGACTCTCAGCCCAACCTACCTCACAGGGTTGTTGTTGTTGTGGGGATAATATGGAGGAGGAGAAGGATGTAAGCTGCCTTGAGCCCTTTGTAGGAAAAAGGCAGGATATAAATCGGAAAAAAAAAACCCCAGGAAATGTCTCTTTCCCCCAAGCGAAGGGATATGGAACCCAAGCCTGGCTAACTGAGGCAGGAAATTCCACAAATTTCTTGCTGGGAATAAAAGTACCATTGTAAGAGAAACAGTTAACTGTTTGTTGCCCCTTTTGTAGGACCAAAATCCACAGCCCACGGTGGCGGCTTCATTCTGCCTCATGGTAGGGCCGGTCCTGAACAGGCAGGATGGCACCAGAGCAGAGAGAGGGGGAAAGACTACCCTAAGGTGGACTGGAAGACAAAATGATGCGGTCACTTGAACTAAACAGTAGATTAATTTTTGCAGCTCAGACATATTTGGGGTTTGGAGATACACCCGTCATGCCGAAAGTCCCGGGCTTACTTTCTGGCATCTCTGCCCACGGAGATCTTACATAGGAGGTGTGGGGGGATGTGATCTTGGAGGGGTGCAAGAATTCAGTGTTGGCTGGAGAGACCCATGGTCTGATTTGGCATGACACAACTTGGGGTGTCCAGAATTTTAGGGTCTGCTACAGGATAAATAGAATCCCATCTAGCAGAAGGTGCTAGACAAGCACTGGGAGAAACTTCTTGATGCTGAGAGCTATTCAGGACTGGGAGAGATCAGTTCTGGAGGTAGTTGGATTCTCCTTTGCTGGAGGGACTGGGAGGCCTTCAACCAAGAGCTCAAGCTGTACTCCGCAGTAGCTGGCCTGGATGATCTCTGTTTCCTTCGGATTCTGTGATTGTAGGAGCTGGCCTCTGAACCCGCTCCTTTGGATCCATAATTTCTCCATGGGTTCTACCAGATGGTCTTCCTATTACTTATCTCAAAAAGACCCTGCAACTCACTCAGTCATGAGGTCTTTGCCGCCATATGCAAACACATCGCCATCAGTCCGAGCGTGTCACCATAAGCAGGCCCCCTGTATCCAAGGAGTGCAGAATACATCGGGCGAGAGCCTTCCCTCCCGCTTCATCCCATCCTCTCTCTGCTCACCAGGACCTGGGCGCAGGCTGGAATGAGTTCCGTGTGCGCATCGAAGGCTGTGCCGGCCTGCGCAGTCGCTGGCTCGGCGCCCAGCCCAGCCCTTACGCCGTGTACAAGTTCTTCACCTTCCCCGATCACGACACCCTCGTTGTTCCTGCAAGCACCAACCCCCACTTCGGGGACCTGCAGGCCTTTGCCTTGCGGGTCACGCCCGAGCTGCATCGCTACCTGCTCCTGGACAGCCTGGGGGTCTACGTCTTTGACGACGAGAACGAAGAACCTGGCAGCTACCTGGGGAAGGCCCAGGTTCCGCTCCTGCCCCTAGCGCACGGGCGCAGCGTCACAGGTGAGAGGCCCCGCAGGCCTCACGCTTCTTCCTTCCCTTGCTTCCCCAAGCCGCCTTCCGCTAGACCAAGAAATCCGAGACAATTCAACAGGCTCCTTAAGGTTAAGGGAAAAGCTTTGGAGAAGCTGAAGATTCCTCTTCCGAGAAGTCGTCTCGTAAAAGTTTGAGTACGCTGTAAGATGGCTGCGTGATGGCATGGGCTACAGTGAGGGTGCAGAACCCCCAGCCCAGGGGCTGCGCCCCAATCCAGCCCTGCAGCGCCGGCCCCCAGAAGACTCCATCCCCTTTCCCAGTCACCAGTTGCTTGGTGGTTTCCCAGCTTTGGTGCAGGTCTAAGGCTTAGTTACTGGAGCTTTATGCTGAAGCTCCAGGCACTGGGTGGGCCTTTTGCCCCGCCCATTTGCCTTTGGCCCCCCCCACCACTGCAGTCCGAGCCTCAGTGAGGAGTCACCCCAAGATGCAGTTCGGCCCTCGGGTGGAAAAGGCCCAGCAGCCCCCACTTTGAAGGTGCCACGAGCAGCAAAGTCTTCGGCTCTAGAGTAGGTGTCAAGTCAGATTGAAATCCTGGCATGGGGGAAAGCAGTGCATTTTGCTTCTCCCTGCTCCACACTGGGGTCCCGATTCAGATCAGCTGCCCCTTCTGCTTGTTCTAGAGTAACAATCAATCCCCCACCCAAGATGGGAGAGCAGAGGCCTCGAAATTAGAACAGGAAAGCAGCTAGCTGGAGCACGTGGGTTGACAGCCACACCTGTCACCTGGAGGGTCTTTCTTCCCCCTTATGGCGAGATGTATTTTTCCTGAATTTGGATCCATCCATATCGATACGGATAAAGGGCATGCAAATCCGCTCGCCCATTTGGGTGGGGAAGGGGGTGTGTTTCCATCTTTTGGGCACTGCAGAGGGCAGGCACCTGACCGCCTCGTTTCCTCTCCTTCCCCAGGAGACTTCGTCCTCATCGATCCAGCTGGGAAACCGAATGGCTCCATCCGCCTGAGCCTCGAGTGGAAACTCCTATATTCGCCTCCAGAAGGCGGCCTCCGCCAGGCACCTGCAGGCTGGGAGAGCCAACGGCGTGCCTTGGAGCAGCGGGCTGAGGAGGAGCGAGCCTCCCTGCAGCCGCGGCAGGTACGGCAGGGCCTGCCAGAGTGGTGGCCCCAGACACGGAACTGCACAGTGCAAAAGCAAGGAGACTTCTTTCCGGTGGACGATGGGAGTGGACTACCTTATGGAAAGGGTGGGAAGCCTCTTTCAGCCCTAGGGGCAGATTCCACTCTAAAGAGGTTCTTGGGGCCTGTGGTCCAGCGGGGGGCAGGATAAAAGAAAAACTGGCTGGGGCAACAAAGATAGAAATACAGGAAATATCAGCTTCTTTGAGCTTGAAGGTGCAGAACCAGGCATGCTTAAGGAGTAAACTAAGTCCGACAATTAGTCCTGTGTTGGATTGTTCCTTGAAACCCCTACTGAGCTTCTGTTTAGGTACCTCTAAGTAAGGAGAGCACACAGAAATTGTTACGATAAATCTACATACCCAGAGACACTGAAAAGAGGAGCGAAACTCTGGCGATTGGTAGTGCTGGATACTCCTTTCTCATCTCTGGGACAGTAATAATGCAAAAAAAGAGATTTTCATTAATTCATTGCATTTCTCCCTGGTCCAAAAGCTAAAGCAGTTTGCAGCTTGGCAAGACATCAGTACGAGAAAACGTTTTCAGGAAGTTAAAACAATTTAGAAACAAAGTAAAAACGACTGACAATAACTCACTTTCCCAGGACCTGATAAAAGACTAAAGTGCCTCATAAGGCAGCTGTCAGATCCCTGGGAGTTGAGGAGACGGTCTGGGTGCCAGGCAAGCCTCACTGGGGAGAGCATTCCACAGACTGGCGGCCACTACTGGGAAGACCTCTTCCTTCATTGCTGGCCTGCCCTTCGGAGGAGGCAGCCTAGAAGGGAGCCAGTTGTGGATCGTGTGTCAGTAGGTTCAGATGTTCTGTACCGATTATAGCAGTCCTGACCAGCTAAGTCCCTACAGGGCAATTCTTCTCCTTCTGTTTCATGGAATGCCAAACTCGACTGCCTGAGATGTGCTGCCTGCCTCACACTCTCCCTAAAGTAGGCCAGCCCTGGTGGTAGAGGTTACCCCCGCCTTCTTCTCCACTGCCCATTCAGGTCCCAAGAGGAAGCCACGCCGTCCCTTCGCCTTCCGCTCACCAGAGGAAGAAGCTGAGGCTCTGCCTGCCCAAGACGGACAAGCGGATTCAGAAGCATGCTAAGATATTGAAGGAGCCCGGCCTCCCTCCAGCTCCAGCGAGCCCAGAACCAGAGCGTCTGAGAGACGTGACAAAGGAGGGCGCCGGCAGAGCCGTCCAGGAGGTACGAGATGAGCATTTGGGAGAATTGGTGGGCCGGATTACAGAGCTCTTAATACAATACAGTTATTACACTGTCAGGAACCAAAAATGTGCTCCAAGCAGACCTGCCATCTGTAATTCATCATGGGGGGAATGACAGGAACAGGGGAGGGGCACAAAGATGGGCAAACAGGAAAGAAATCCGCCGATCCCAGGCACAAGTCCTCTTGGACTGGGGTCCTCGCCAAAGACATCCTGCATGAAACGGCCTCCGAGCTGGGATTTGAAGAAGAGACTTCAGCAAGCATTCAGGATGTCTTGCCTTCAGAAGATACAGGGAAGATTTTTCGCTTTTTCTCCATAACACTGACAGCTAGAAGCTTGTCCCTGGTTTGGCCTTTTGGAGCTCAATGATGATGATGATTAACAATTTATGATTCCAAACATGACAGCCAAACTCTACCTGTATTGTTCTGTGATTTGGATTGATTGCATGTCCTGTGCTTTAAGCTATTCTGCACTGAGGTTCCTTTGAACTGTAAAAAGAAAAGCTAGAATTCTAGTAGTACACAGAGCACAGAAGAACCCCAGCCTGGTCTATTTGCCGGTTTGACATCAGTGGTTGTGCCTGAACAGTTTTGGAAAGGTCCTGGGTGCCACATTCTAGCAGTGATCTCGGTCTGATGGGAAAAGAGGCTGAGCCAAAAAAAGTATCAGCTATTTTGAGTTTACAGTAAATTTACAGTCAGTAAATTAGGGACCTTAGGAGAGAGATTCTGACCTTCTGGCATGGAGAGTGGGGAATACAAAAGCTTGGAAAGAACCCAAGAATTGGTGTGTGGGGGAAAAGGGGTATGTTCATTTGGGGAGCCCCTGTTGGTCTGGACTGGGTCACCAGCCCACCATCCTGGGGGTCAAGTCATGGAAGGGCCGTATTTTGTGGGTGTCTTAGATCTTGACCATGTTGGGTTGTGTCTGTCCGGGCAGGTGGCACTGGAAGCAGTAAGAGAAGAGGAAGCAGAGAGAACTGAGGAAGAAGAGACAAGATCAGCAGGAACCCAGAGATCAGAAGCTGAATCCCGCACACTGGCAGAAGCAGCCATGCTAAAAGATGCTGGTACCACCACCAAACTACAACCAGTATTGATAGGAGGATAGATTAGGGATTTAAATTGTAAAGAAAATGGGTAAGAACAAGCAACAGGAAATGGGCCTTAAAAATTGCAGCCTTCCATACATCCAGTTTGTCCAGGAAGAGCAGCTCCAGGCATGTGAACAAAGATCTAAGTCCACTTCTGCATAAACCACCACCTGCCTCTCATGTAATTCTGTTCTTCCTGGCAAGGAAACACTCTTATCTCCAATCAGCTGCTCATTGGAGATAAGAGCTCCCACCCCACCCTGGCTGTGTGTGGGAAACAGGCTTTGCAAAAAGCTTAATTGCCACATTGGCAGGTGGGGGAGGATTTGGGAGGGGCTGCTGGGCAGGGCAGGATTGACCCCCCTTGTCTGAACACTGTGACCCCCCCCCACCAAGCCCCTCCCCACAACATGCTGAAATCAGACTCTAAAAGAAGTCTGCAGTTTTACACGGATATTTCCATGCAAGTATTAACCAATATGAACAAGCACGTGTGAGCTCATGCAGTGTCATCAGGCAAAAATCTTACTGCGTTTCCAAAAAGTATTGAGGCTGGGACTTTGTGGAAGGGGGGAATTTTTCAAGCAGAAGTGAATTCCTGACTAGGTACATTTAAATCTTTTTTAAAAAATCTAACAGCTTAGTGAACAAACGGAAGATTAAGACACACTTTGTTGACCTAAATATCAGATTACTTTTCGGTGCCTTAGTGTAAAGCTTTGATACGCAGCAGAATGAGGTGGACAATCCCAGCATATCAGGTTGTGGTTGGGTGGAGTTTTTTTTTAAACCCTCCCTGTGGTTAATGAAACCAACTAGAAAGCAATGCACTCTTGTGGAATAAATTCCTTACTTGCAGGGAGTTTATTCTACAAGAGTGAGCTTCAAAAGAGGTGTTTTCCCACCATGGTGGCATAAACTTCTTGTATTAGCACTTAGTTTGTTACAATCTGATGTGCCAGGTTAGACCATGTGGTTGGCTGGAGTCACTGGGAGTTGTAGTCCAACGTAAATGGAAAGCACCAAGTTGGGGAAGGCAGTGCTGGGGAATTAGAAACAGAAACAGAGCGAGTCAGAAGGGACCTCCCGGGCCATCTAGTCTGACCCCCGGCTCCAGCCGGCTCCGCTCATGACATGCCCACCATGTGCATGTCTAGCCCATCCTTGAACACCCACACCGATGGGGCCTCAACCACCTCCCGGGGAAGCCCATTCCACACCCTCGGGGTCCGGACTGTCAGGAAGTGCTTCCTGGCATCCAAATGGAACCTTGGCTCCCTGAGCTTTGCTCCGTTGGAGCGCGTCCTGCCTTCCTCTGCAGGGGAGAACAGGTCTCTACCCACCTCCATGTGACACCCCCTCACATACCTGTATGTCACCAACAGATCCCCTCGGAGTCTCCTCTTCTGCACCCTGAAAAGGCCCAGTTTCCTCAGTCTCACCTCATACGGCTTCCCCTGCAAACCGGCCACCAGCCTTGTGGCCTTTCACTGCACTGACTCCAACCTGGCTATATCCTTCCTGTAATGAGGGGCCCAGAACTGAGCGCATTACTCCAGTTGCAGGCACACCAGGGTCATACAGAGTGGTACTAATACCTTTCTCGATCTAGAAGCCACGCTTCTGGCTATGCAACCACAAATTGATTATTAAGACCCAAAACAAATGGGGAGAGGAGGGAGTGCTTTATGCCAACTCTCTCTCTGATCTTCACTGTAGCCTCGGAGGAACCAGACACCAGTAGTGATGCTCAGACCACTGACAGCGATGAAATAGTGGTTTCATCTGGACTACAGGTTCCCTTGAAGCTTGTAAGTACCAGATTTTATTCTGGGCACAGCCAAAACCTTCTGTTATCGTTGGGTGCTGTCAAAGTTGCTTCCAGCTTATGGAGATCTTATGAAGGAGCGTCCTCCAACAGATCCTGTTCTTGACGATTCTGCTCAGCTCTTTGTAAATCCAGACAGAGGAAGGGAAAACACAGTGATGCCCTGAAGACTTGGTTACAGAAGTTAAGAGGAACCTAAAGGCTGTCCCCAAATATTCAGGGAGGTGGCAACTTGCTTAGTTCTGCTTCAGTGCCCACTTTTTCGACCCCCATCTTTTAAAGGACAATTGTTGGCCAAAGGCTTGGACACATTCCTGGAGGATAAAGCCTGTTAGGAATCCTGATGGCTCTACATTACCTCCGGCACTGGAGGCTACGGATTGCTTGGGGAACACAAGCAGTGGGAGACCATTGCCCTCACATCTGGCTTGGGCTTCCCTTGGGTTGGCTGTTTGCCCACTGTGGAAGCAGAATGCTGGTTTAGACAGGCTTAGGCTGAAGAAAATGTGGCTTTTCCCCCACCCAGCAAGGTCTCGTACCACGTTCCAGGAATTTTCTTAAGCACACAGCATCGTGACCAACTTGCTTAGCCTCTTCATGCTAATCTGGCAAAAAGTTCCATTCAAGCCAACTCTCGCAGGAGGAGAAACCTGTCGATATTCCCTTTTCTCTCCTAGTCATCGGACAGAATCCGGGTGGAGATCGTCTCCCTGAGTCTAGACCAGGAGAGTCCGCCTGCTTCTGATGAGCACATCCAACAGCTATACGTGGAGTTCCATTTCCCCGGGGTGCCCCTGGAGGAAACGGAGACGCCTTTCTCTTTGCGGAAGCCCTGCGGAAGCCAGGAAATCTACTACCACTTCAGCAAGGGTGAGGACACTGAGGCTGCCTTCGCCCGGTTGCTCCATAAACGGAAGCATAAAAGGTGCATTCGAGTGAAGAGCAAGTCTAAAGCAGCCCTTCCTCGACCTGGGGAGGGTGGGGGTTGTAGCCCAATATAGCAGGAGGGCCAGGGGCGCCCCCGATTCCTGCCCTACATCCAAGCAATTAGCGCATTTACAACCTCCCTTTGCTTCCAAAGAGTTCAGGATGTTAGAAACCCTATGCTCTGCCTGATTTTATTGCAGCTACAACAAAACACGAAACTGTTCTGAGTGACTGGCCAAGATATTCTTTATAATCTGGTCTCCTGAAAACCTGACCTAGGCTACTTCACAGCTTTTAAAAAAATCTACATTAAAGATGTGGCAAGTCCTCCTCACTCTAAACTGCCCCTTGACCCAAGAACAACTCACTTGATTTAAAGCTTAACAATGGAGACAACAGGTGTACATAAATCTTTCAGCACCTGCCAGGTTCTGTCCTTCTTGATCCTTATCTAGGGTTTCTTTTTTATTGGAAGGTCCTGCAAAGGAACGGGCTGCCCTTCAGGGCTGTCTGTATTTAGCTCAAACTGGTTTTGTGTTCGGAAGTTTCTGCCTTGTACTCCAGTTCTCAGGCAGAATGCTTTTCTCACCAGTTTCTGGAGTACTGGAAAGCAGAATACTTTGTGGCTGGCCATGAGCACCATGACAAGCATTTCAGGAATGGGAACCTATGATCCCCACCTTGCCATGACAGAGTACCCATGAGCCACATTAATGTCCTGTGTTTGGGGCAAGGTCCCCCTCATAGAGACCTTGCTTAAGAGGACTTAGACCTTTTTTTCTGGGGTCAAGATTCAGGAATGAGAGAAAGGCAGAATCCTGGCTCTAATGCCAGGTCCAGCTGGTGGCATTTCCTGAACCCAGAGAAGCCTCTTCTTTCTAGAGACGGCTGATTTTATGCGGCCCACCAGATTTTTCTCCCACACACATTCCATATGTACCATGTGCCTCTCCCCGTCTCTGTGCACCCAACACGCGAGTGCCACATACACCCGCGGGGACTGGCAGCCGCCCTAATGCATTGCTGTTGGGATCCTAATGCAGTGATCAAGCTGGACCAGGACCCTGGAAGCCTGCAGCGACAGCTCCTCTTTTCCATGCTGACGGCGGAGGAACCCCACCGTAATGGGTGAGTATCAACCTCCCCCCACCCCGAGAAGCGGAGAGAAAGGAGGACCCCGCCAAACCCAGCCCTGGTATTCATGGAGGCTTCCCCTCCATGCAGGCTGCCATTCGTCGTGGTGAGCGAGCCTCTGCCTGGGGCTGGAGGCGAGTGTGAAGAGGTGGGCGTTGCGTACCTGGACTTGCGGGAGATCCTCCGGACGGGAAGCGACATGCTAGAGCGAGAACTCCGGGGTAAGCTGCACTTCCGGCCAGTCTCCACACAGCAACTCGCTGCCTGCTGCCCTCCATTCAGAAAGTTCCAGGCAGCTTCTCCTGCTTGCAATCCCCAATTCCCCATGGTTGTAGCTCCCTTTCAGTAACGAGTCAGTCAAGAAAGCATGCGGGCCCTTTCCCACTCCCTACCGTTACAGATGGGAACACCAGAAAAGAGATAACACATGCTTTCTGACTGGATGCTGTACCACGACTCTTTAAGAAACATCCTGCCATTAACTAGATGTCTTGCATCCGTCTCTAAGGAATAAAAGCCACTTCCTTGACCTTGTCATTGCAGTTATCAGTTCTTTGGATCCTACCATCAAGATTGGACAACTGAAAGTCTCCATAGAAGCTGCCGCTGCCCTGCAGGCCATCTACTGGGCGGGCAGAAGGAAAAGCAGCGAGGAATGAACAGAATCGGATGAAGCACAGAATCTAGGGGGGCGGGGGCTACAATTAAAGCAAAAACGAAGCCCACAAATAAACTTTCCAAATACTTAAAAAAACATTTTTATTGATCAGTTTTTTTTCCAAAGTCAAAAATACCAAGAGTGCTAACTGCTACGAGGGGGAAAAGGAGTTTGAGAAAGCCTCTCCCTCCGCCCCGTGCCTGGATCATTGACCCCTACCTACAGGAAACAAGGAAGGTAGAGGGCAAGCAATGCATGTAACCCCCCCTCCCAGGCCCAAAACACTTGCTCACTGGAGCCTTCGGCAACCGAGAAAACAAAGATAAATACAGACAGAGCTCTACTATTTTAAAAAAGGAAAGAAAAAGCAAGAACATTTTAATCAGTCGCATCCTCAGCTTCCAGCCCTGACCTCACCTGTATGGAAACTTTTGCCCCATCCGCGCCCACCCGTGGAGCATCTTACACCAACCAGGTCTTTGCTTCGGAGGGAGAGCTCCTCCCCCACAGCACCAAAATGCTAACATAGCAGCCTGCTTCGCTCAAGGCCATGCTTTGACTTTGGAGGCACCCTCAGGCCAACTGGCCTGTTCCCCAAATCCATCAGAGGACAGAGACGCCGGGAGTGGGGGGGGGGGGAATTCACAGCGGGGAAGGAGTTCCGAGTCACTATGCCCCCAGGGGGAGGGAGGGAGGGTGGGTGGTTGGGGGGCAGGAGTGAGGCCATGGAGAAGGGGACGAGGGAGCGGCAGGTAAGCGTATCACTAACACCAGATTCCTGAGCCTCACCCCCACCTGCCCCCGCCCTGCAACACGCCGCCTCCTCCTCCTCCGCAGGGCTTGGAGTCCATGGTTAACACAAGAACGCGGCCTGGAATTCTCTCACAGCTGATTGGTCCGTACAAACGCTCTGAAAAGACTCGGGGGACAAGAGCAGGAGACTCCCCAGAGAAACAGAAAAGGGGCGTGTGTGTCTGGGTGAGAAAGATGAAAAAGTTTGTGGGGAGGGGGCCAGCCGCCCCCCATGCCCTAAACATTGGCTGAGGGAGGAGGCCTCAAAAGCCCCCACCCTCTAAGGATTGGCTGATGGGAAGGGCTGGCGTACGTCATCTACTTCCTCTTCTTCTTTGGGGGCCCCGAGCTTCGGCCGGGGCTCCGGCTGTGGTGCCCAGAGCTGCGGTGCCGCCCGGAGCTCTGGGAGGACCCCTTCCTTTTGCGGCTGATGCTGCGGCTCTGCTCCTCCTCTTCCTCGTACCGGCTCTCACGGTCAGCTGCAAGGAGAGGAAGGCGATGTACTCCTAGTGGAGGAGCGCGGCCTCTCGGCACGGGGGAGTGGGACTGCCCCAGGCTGCTTTCTCGCACCCTTCTCAAGGAGGGAGGGCAAAGGCATCATGGGAGGCGGCAGCTGCGCGCTGCACCGAGCCTCGCTGGACAAAGACCCGGAACAGGGAACGGCTCGTACCTTTCCGTGCTTCTTCCTCCAGCTCATCCCAGTCTTTCCCGCTCTCCTCCTCACTGCCCAGGGACTCCTTCGAGTAATCTGTTGGAGGAGGAGGGGGGTGAGAATCAGCTGCCTTGCACAGCAGGGTGGGGGCATTAGGTATCTCCACAGAGGGGCAATCCGCAGGCCTCCCAACTTTTCTCAGGCCGTTTCCCTCGAGGTCGAGCCTTCCTCTGGCAAGACCAAGCAGCCCCTCTTGGCTGCTGGAGCAACCTAAATTCAGCGAGCGGACAGCCCGATGCTGTGCAAGGTCACTCCAAAGCAGCTCCCACTGTGTCCAGTGGGATTCCTCTGAGGGTAAAGGTGCAACGGAGGGTCACTGCAGCCAGGATGCAATGCGTTTTCAAGGCCCCTGCAACACTCGGGGAGAGCCGTGTGTTGGGGGAGGGGAAGCATCAGAGATGAAAAGCAGGGCTGCTATTCTGAGATATTCCCTGGGGGAGAACCAAATTAATGGCAGGGGGGGAGGGAGAGAGGGAGGGAGCGGGGAGAGCTACATCTAGGCCACACTGTGCTGCATGCCAGAACGGTGCTCGAGCGGCACTTCTATTCAGGTCATGCTCAACGTGCGTCCTCTGTTAGCAACCCGGCCGCACTGGCTTCCAAGGGCAGTAGTCACAATCAGGATGGTGACACTGGCGGCAACAACAACAACCACAGTACTAGTAGTAACAGGACTAATAGCAGTGGTGAAGAAAATAATCAACCTATTGGCTTTAATTATGAAGAAAGCACCTAAGTGGCATCTTCCCCTCCTAAAGCTTTGGCCGTTTTGGGCCCCTCGTTACAGGAAGGATATAGCCAGGTTAGAGTCACTGCAGCGCAGGGCCACAAGGCTGGTGGCCGGTTTGCAGGGGAAGCCGTATGAGGCGAGACTGAGGGAACTGGGTCTCTTCAGCCTGGAGAAGAGGAGAATCTGAGGGGATCTGTGGCGACATACAGGTGTGTGAGGGGGTGTCACACGGAGGTGGGCAGAGACCTCTTCTCCCCTGCAGAGGAGGGCAGGACGTGCTCCAATGGAGCCAAGCTCAGGGAACCAAGGTTTAATTTGGATGCCAGGATGCACTTCCTGACAGGTAGGACCCCGAGGGCATGGAATGGGCTTCCATGGGAGGTGGTTGAGGCCCCTTGGTGCGGGTGTCCAAGGATAGGCTGGACATGCCCACGGTAGGCATGTCGTGAGCGGAGCCGGCTGAAGCTGGGGGTCAGACTAGATGGCCTGGCAGTCCCCTTCTGACTCGCTCTGTTTCTATGAAAGATCAACAAGGCCTGCTGGATGTAAGTTAGGAGGGTGGCTGTGCTGGGGATTTTGGTGGGGGGCCGGTGCTTGAGCCATGTGGGCGCAATCACTGGAGCACCAAGGTGATGCACCACGCTAGAGGGAGCATCGTGGGGGGGAGGGGGCGGGGTCAGGTGCTGAAGGAGCTGCTCTCAACAGCGAAACCAAAGAGAGGGAGTCTGACAGTCCGCTATGCAGTGCTGCATTCCAGGTGCTGGGAAGGCCCAGGGCCGCTTCCTCCCCTGGAGGGCCCTCGAGAGGCTCTCCCCTTTCCCAGAGCAGCCCCTCACCAGACTCCTCTGCCTCGGAAGAATAGTCCTCGTCACTGTCTTCTTCCTCGTCTTCGTACTCGTCCTCGGAAGGGTTGAACGTCTCGTCCTCTATCTCAGACTCCGATTCCCCAGCTTCGACGTCACTTCCCTGGGAGGGGAGGGAGTGGTGGGTGAAAACAGCCTTAAATCGAAGGGCTTGGGACGGTCAGGTTCAACTCGTTACAGACTGTGTGAGACTGAGCGGAGGGGACGTCTTCCACAGGCCTCCAAGTTAGAAGTACATCCCAGCAACTGGAACGGTTTCCCTCTGCTGACCCCGCATGGATTTGGGGGGAATGCATCATTATGGAAAAGGGAACTCGTGAGAAGCTCCAGATCTCCACCCTCAATTTCTGGAGGGCTCTACATCCCATAATCTGCAGAACTACTCGAAGTCACAAGGCTGCCACCTGTCCCTCCCCTTCCAGTCTCTAGAATTGAATCCAACGCTCCTGGGTGTTGACGGTGCTCATCACGCCTCGTCTCACCCTGGCTCTCTGGCTATCGCTGCTGGGGCGGCCCAACTCACCTCTCCCTCAGGCTCCAGGAATGACCAGCCTCCTTGCTCAAAGAAGCCTTCGGGGTCATCCACGATTGTCTTCATGATTTTGGTCCAGTTGAGGGATTGCACCCCTTCTGTGTACTTAATGTCACAAGAGCTGACGTGGGGGGAGAGGAAGGAAGAGGTGAATGCACAGCCCTGGCAGCGGAGAGGCGCTCACCCAGTGGTCGCATCGCTCCTGCGCGGACGTTTCCGGCTGATGCGAGGCTAGTTTAGGGAGGGCGGCAGCGGTGCGGCAACTCCTTGCTTCCGCTGGCCCTGGGGGTCCCAAGGCCTGCAGGTGATGCTGGCTTTGGGGGATCATGACACACGCATCTTCCCAGTGACCCGGATCCACCCCCACTTCCCCTCCGTTAGCAATGCTGGGGGAAAGAGCGATCTGTAGGAAGACCTCTGGGGGAGAGTGGAGAGTAAAGGGGGCAGAGAAATGGGGGTGGGGGTGAATTTAGCAGCAGTGCGAGGGGTGGGTCGGGCATTTCGGGGGGAGTGTAATAAGGGCCGAGGGGAACTGCTGCCTGCAAACTGTGTGTCTGGCTTATACCAAGGAAACACAAACAGTCACTGCTCCACGCTGCGTTGTGCTAAGAGAGGAGAATGCCACCAAGGGGCTGTTGGTCTAACTGTGGCCTGGCAAAATCTCCCATCATGCTCTGCTCCTCCGCTGCCAGCACTGCCTCATGGAAGCACACTGCGAGGGCTGGGAAAGGGCAGGCGCCGCTCCTGCAGGGCCTTCCAGCAGTCAGGTCACACCCAAGCCAGAACCAGTTACGGGAACGGTCCAATATCTGCCTGCGGGGAGTCAGAGACCCCCTCGTCCCCACTCACTTGAGCCACTCCTTGATGGGGTCGAGCGAGGCCACCGGAATGGCGTTGATCATCGTGACCTTCTTGCTGTAGTCCTTGTAGACAATGACCATGTCGAAGTTCTTCAGGTGGAACTGGACACGCTCAAAATGAATCAGCTCCACCTCGTCCAGCGTCACCACAAAGGGGGGCTGGGGGAGGGACGGAAAGGGAAAAGTTAAGTTGTCCAATCCCCGAAACATCTTAGAGTGTGAAAGCGGGATGGAGGAGGCGCCCCAGCCATAATCGCTTCTGATTTTCCAAGCATCCGAACCTTTAGAGCAGCCTGTGAGGGATTACAATTTCTAGGAAGACAGAAGGGAAGAGTACTCCAACACAGTCTGGGGAAAGGTGTGCTTGTGTGTGGGGGGGGGGATGCCGCACCCACCCACCACCAGGTTGCCCCAGCACAATTCTGACCTCAGTGCATAGGGAAGAATGATCAAGGAAGAATGGACGGACGGATGGCATGACTTGTCTGAACAGGACAAGGACCCCCGTTTTAGGCTTCAGAAAGCCCGCGCGTGCTCAGATGGGGACCAAAGGTTCAGAATCACGGCCGAAAGAGGACGCCTCGTGTTGGTTTCTCTGATTTAAAGCCTTTGTTTGAGCAAGCTCCTGAGGTTAGACTCAGGCAAAGGGGTAGCCATCTGCTCCCTTGCCGGCACAGACCCCAGGCAGAGACGTGCCTGCACTTACCCACTCAGTGCAGTTCACCAGGGCACTGCTGGTTGGTTGGAGCAGGCAGGTGCTTCTGTAGGGGGCGCCATTGAACCTGATGCAAGGATGCGGGGGGGGCGGGGGGAGAGAAGAAAAAGGACAAAGCTGAAAAACGGCCTCTGGGGACCTGGTGGGAAGAGCATCTTAATGAGCGAGGGTGCCATTTGCATGAAACCACTCTGCCAGTGTTGGGAAACCCCAGTATGTGCAAGTCTCAGGGTAATTATGATGATCCCCCACTATGTGACTGGCAGAGATGCAGCGTGCTGAGCGAGCCAGAAGGCAAACGGGCTCAATCCAGCAACCGGACTCAGAGTGGGGACCAGAGGCTCTCTGGAAAGCCAGAGAATCACGAACACCAAAGGGAAGGAGGCAGGAACTGCCTGATCTAGTACTGTGTCCCAAAACAGAAAAAGCCCTTCACTGTCACTGCTGAAGTACAACACTGACCCTTTTGAATTTGCCCTTTTTTCCTTTTTTAACTTTTTAAAGCCAGTCTCTAGCTCTCAGGGAAATGAAGAAAAGGCAGGCTCTTCTATTAAACATCTCTGTGGGGATGACTCTGTGAGCAGAACCACCAGCCCCCATTTCTAACCTACCAGTCTCTCACGGATTCCTTCATGCATGGAGCAGCAGAACCAGCACTGGGTGGACATGCATGGATATAAGCCTGTGTACACACTTTGGGCCCGGGCCTCCAGAGATGTCGTGAAAGTTTGGCTCAAGCCGCACGGGCCTTTCACGGCCCCCCAGAACTGAAGTTGCCCCGCCATGGCCACTCTTACCCCAGCTCCCGGAAGGGCACCTCAAACTCCAGCTCCTCTTTCGTCAGGGACTCAACCTTCTCAATGAAGTTCTTGAAGGCCGTTTTCAGCTTGTGCCTCATCTCGCGTTCCATCTGCGCCCCAGACAGAACCAGTGAGTGTCAGACACACAGCCTGGCCGGGGCCCTGCTCCGACTGAGAGGCATCCTGCCTGACAGGACAGGCCCACCGCCACAGCCCACCTGCGCCTCTCTCACCTGTTCAGCATAGAGGTCGTCGCGGTCGTGCATGTGCTGGTGCTTGCCCAGGTCGGTGGTGATCTCCCCCACCTCTGTGTAAAACTGCACGTCTGTGTGGCGCTTCTTGCCGAACATAATGGCATTCTGCAGGGCGGGGGTAAGGGGAGGGGAGGCAAGTGAGAGCAGGTGTGCTGCATGGAGGCTACAGGCAGAAGCTCAAGCTGCTATGCTATGCCAGGAAAATAACGCTCTTCCCCAAGTAAAAGTGAGGACCTGCATACAGTCAAAACAAGGGGGGAAATGCCCCTTGGTGGATACTAGGTTGCGCACTGCAGGCTGTCTGTGTTTGCAGGGACGTGAGGAAGAGGAGAGTAAGCACACCATTCAGCTACTTTCCCTACACCCCCTCACCAGCGAGGCAGTGCCCATGTCTTTATGAGGATGTAGGAGCTGCAGGGAAACACCTTCCCACAGCTGACGTCAAGGACACTCCCCTACACACAGTGTCTCACAAGCAGGCTTCGTTTGGCCTGGGGTCCTCCAGATGTTTTGGACTATACCTCCCATCAGCCCCCGCCAACACAACGGATTGGCAGGGACGGTAACAGGGTTACAGCAGCAGGGTGGAGAAGCCCGAGCACAACTGAGGAAAGCTGTACTGCGGATTCAGGCAAGACACGGACGACAGGACTCCTCTGTTGACAGGGTAACAACCATTGGTGACTGGCTTTGGGCAAGAAACAGGAAGACGCCCCACCCCATCCTCTGGGTGGTAAGCACCCAGTGCCCCGCCTCAGCAGCCCCCGAATCAAACCGCAGAGGTACCTTGAGGTGAAAGTGCAGCACAATGATCATTTCTCCGTCGCAGGGCTGAAAGACGGCGTGCTTGATGTTGTTGTACAGGATGTCCACCTTGTCCCCCCGCACAGAAGTGAAGCGGAAACCTGCCCAGGCGAGAGCCACTGTGAGAGGAGGACCGTGCCCACTCCTGGCTCGTCAGGAGAGGCCCCAAGTACTGGCAGATGCTCCCATGCATAAGGGGATGAGAAGGAAGGCGGGAATAATGCTGGTCACGCTACTTTCTGGCCACTTTCGCAGGGCCTGCCCTGAGAAAGGGCTCTTGCATGTTTCCCCTTTCCTGCTCCGCAGTGCAGTGGGAACCCTGCCTGCTCCAGGGGGGCAGCCCCCTGCATCTCTCAGCCCCTCTGTACCATTCACGTGAGCCTCCAGAGAGCCCTGCATCCTCTTCTGGGCTATGTTGGGGCGGATGTAGAGGTCCTTCAGCTTGGGGTTGCTGCGGTTCAGGTTGATCACCAGAGAGTCTTGTTTGACAATCCCCTGGGAAAAGGAAAGGAGCCATCCTGTCAGCCCGTGAAAGCAGCCGAGATGTCAATAACCTTCTCCAGGGACGATCTCAGACTGTAGCAAAGCAAGTTTTCTATGCCCCCCAGAGGTCACCAGGCGTTGGCACCTCCCATCACTGCAACCACCCCCCAGCTGCCCTTTGAACTCGCATGGGAGGAAGCCCGCTCTGCCTCTTACCTCCTTCTCCTTCTCCTCGGCCTCCCGGGTTTTGTAGCGCTTCTGCACCTCCTTGATGATGCGGAAGGCGTTCTGCAGGTTGAGTGCAGGCACCATCTGCTCCCCGGGAGTTTTTATATTGGATGCCCGATATGTTCTGGGGTGAGGGGGAGAGAAAGGAGAGCAGAGTCATGCTGGCAGGTGCGTGGCTATAGCATTTGAGGCCAGTTCCCTTGGTTTCCGAACTACCTGTGGCTGCGCTAAACCTCACATAGAAAGAGGGGGGAGAGAGACAGCCGGAAAGCTACAAGGCTAGAACTGGAAGGCCACCCAGCAGCCCCCAGCTGAGTGGAAGAGGAAGGCCAGTGACTTCTGACCTTTGGATGGAGTAAGGCATCCCTGGAGAACCAAAGGGAACGAGAAATATAGAGGAGTGGGCAGAGATGTAACTCCCAGTCTTCTAGAGCACTCAACAGGTGTCCTGCTGTGGGGCGATAAGCGTGCTACATGGCATGGCACGGAAAGGCAGGAGGTGGCTCACATTTCTTTCACGAACGTGGCTTCCGGGTTGGGGAAGATGTTTCCCTCGTTGCGACCCAGGGCACTGCCTGGGCAGTAGAAGTTGATCCTCAGGTAGGTGTAGTCGCCCTCTACTGACATACTGATGTTCTGCAAAGGAGAGGACACGGCTTTCAGCCGAAGCTCACCCTCCCGGCACCCCACTTGGCCCGGGTTCCTGTGCAAAGGCCGTGGCAAGTGCGCAGGAGAGCCCCGGAAGGTTTTCTCCCGGAAGACTCTGAACAGCTGCAGTCACCCCGAGAGGCTAACGTGCTGCTGCTGCTGCTCCCAGGCGGGATTTGTCCCCCAGCTCAACCCCAGAGGGGCCCCCGCTGCAGCAGCTGCTGTACCTTGATGGTGGCGATGTGGAAGGGCGTGGCGATGCCAAAGACCGGCATGATGACCGTCTCGTATTTCTTGTCAATGTAGATCTTCATCTCTCGGATGTGAGGCTCCTTCGGCATCAGGGAGGGGTTCTTGTAGGAGATGTTCGACTTGCGGGCCCTGCGAGGGAGCCGAGCGGTGAGGAAATCGGACCGCGGCAGGGACGAAGGCCAGCCCCACGCCCGCCCCGAAGACGGCCTTGTGCTCACTTCTGGATTTGCTGCTCCCCCTTCTGCTCCGTCAGTCGCCTCCGCGCCTCTTCGTTCAGCTGCGTGGCCAGCTCCTTCTGGTGTGCCCTGCGCTTCTCCTCGGCTGTCAGTTCATTCTGGACAGGGTGGAGGGTGGGAGACGTGATCCTCGCTCACAGGCAAGGGCCAGAGGGCCTCCCCACACATTACCATGTTGCATGCCCAATCCAATGAGCTGGGAGCAGCCCATGTGGAGACACACCGAAGGCTCTTTCGGGGGGCCCAGATATTGCCCCCCACCCCACACACACTAATCCACCTAAGGCTTTTATACCCGAGTTCTTTCTGGCAGCAGGGCTGCTCGGGAGCCTCGCCCCAGCAGGATCCCTTCTGTATCATCTTCTTCCTCCTCTTCCTCCTCATCCTCTTTCTGTAAGAGAAATGTAGAAGTTAGGATGCACACATTCATGCACAGTGGATAATTTGCCTGAGAAGGACTTCCATCCACCATGACATTCTGCCATATTCTTATTCAGAGGTTTCTATAAAGCATTAAAAATAAGTTCTAGATTGTAGGCTTAAACATTATAAAAGGGTAGGAAAAGCATCCCCCAAACATGGTCCTAACTGCATCCCTGTTGCTTTAACTTTTGAAAATTCAGCGTAACACAAATGCCTCCAAAGCAAGCTGGCTAGTTATTTAAGTGCCGTGGCTTTGCTAATTCTGTCTGCAGAGTTATCTACAGGTCGCATCTATTCTAGGCCCCTTAAGAAAAAGGAAGCTGCTTTATTCCAAGCCACACCTTTGGACTGTGAGACACAGACTGGCCAGGTCTTCCCTATCCCAGGAGGAGATACTAGACTATCTTCAGGCAAAGGAGGTGCTCCATCCCACCAAGGAACACGCTTTTCCAGACCCTGTCACTTTGCAAAACCTCAAGCTTTACACTTCAGAGCTTCAACATACGTGTCCGAGGACTTAAGGTACCTTGAGTAAGATGCTGACGTTCTTCACTTTCTTCTTGACAGAGGTCAAGAGTGTAGCTGGCCCATCCTAGAAGGAGTGGAGGAGAAATATCACCGGGTGGGACAAGTATGGCCCAAGCAGCAGTCCAATGCCCAGGATGGGCTCTGAGCCTTCTGACGGGGCACTGAAGAGCCATCCCTGGGGCACGGAAGACACGCTGCGACCCGTCTGCTGATTGTCAGCATGGAGCCTCTGACCTCGTAAGTATGAGGCGAGTCAGAACGAGTACGCTGGAGCTCAGAGGAAGGAGGCCTCGCGTGTGCCATCACTCTGTGCCCCAGGCAGCGGGAAGGGAAAGAAGAAAAAGCCAGCCCGCACGGATCAGTTTCCCAGCTAGCTCCGAGCAAGCTGGGGAAAATCGGGGGAAGAACTAAGGGGACGGGGGGGGGGGGGGATACTGGTAACGTTCCTTAGTAGAGGCTTGAAAGTGATGGAAAGACACTGGTGACTATGCAAAGGCAGGACCAGGGCTGACTGTGTCAGGGCAACTCTTCCTTAGCCAGGACACCAATTCCTCCTGAAGATCAGCAATGCAGACCCCCCAGGCCTGGGACCGATCCAGTCCCATGGGGCTGCCGGAAGGAGCCGCCCCCTTTCCCAGGCTTCAGTTACCCACTGCTGGTGGTCTCCCAGCTGTTCTGGTCGGAGCCACCACCGGCATGTGGCCCTCGGGCTGAAACGGGCTCTGCGCCTGTGCTGGCCACGCTCTTGCCCCTTCGGCAGTTCTATCCTCCCCTTGCACTCACCTCTTCCACCAGCACGGTGTCCCCAATGAACAAGGCGTATGTCTTCTCCTCTGGCTTCTTCCCCTCCTTGTTGGTCAGGTCTGACAGCCCCACGTTGAGACTGAAAACCATCCCTGTGGCAGACAGAGCGCAGCGTGACAGGGAAATGAGCCTTCCCCACAAGGAAGCTCAGTGCAACCCACTCCGAGGAGTTTTGCACAACAATATAGAAAGGTGAACTGAAGGAAAAAAGGGAACTGAGGTGTGTGTTTGTGGTGGGGAGGGAAGGGAAGGGAAGGGAGGGAGAGAGTGGGGGAGGAAGAGATTCCCACCTTTTTTCAGGCGATACTGGTTTTTGCTGTTGATCACAAGCGAGCCCTCTCTGAACTCGATGCCCATGGCAAACCTGGGGGAAAAGAGCGGGGGGGGGGACACACACACACACACACACACTGAGTCCTCCAACTACGTAACTCACACGCCAGGAGTCCTGCAGAGAGGATGCCTCTGTCCCAAGAGGAAGGGCTTTTTACTTATTGAAGAGCTGATCTTAAACAAGATTTTTGACTGCACGGAAATGGGCAGATTGACCTTGTCTCTGAAGGAGAAGGAGGATACATATTTCTACCAAACGTGGAACTCTTTCTATTACTGCTCAGAGAAACGTGACTATGCGTAGATTTGAATATGGTTACTAACTGTTAAAAAGAGTGAGATGTCAACCCAGTATGTCCGATGTCTTAAATAATTGATGTTTTTAGTGTGAGACTGTAGAGAAAAATAATAAAAATTTTATATTAAAAAAAGGAAGGGCTTTTTACCCCAAGTTCTTGGTGATTTTGCTCAAGAGCTCTGGCTTCTGCTTCTTCACCATATCCATGACGCTGGTGTAGACCTCACACAGCTTCACACCTGATACGAGGGAAGAGCCGTCAGCGGGGAAAGCAAAGCGCCTCTCAACCGGCGCCCTTCCAGGCCCTGCAGGGAAGCGACGGCAGGCAAGTGCCCCCGCGACTCACCGTGCCGCAGCTCTTTTAGCATCTCCTCCTGCAACTGCAGCAGGAAGGCGTAGTTGTCCTGCGTTTCCTGGGGCGGGTCCACCATGAGCGTGCGCACCAGGTTGGAGCAGTAGGATTTGTAGCGGATGCCCATGGCACAGGTGACAGTCCCAAAGTGCAGGTAGCTCTTCTCACTAGGGACAGAGAGGCAATGGCTAGCAGTAGGGACAGGCATAATGGGAAGGTGAATGCACACACAGTCCAGGCAAACACCGAGAAGCAAAGGACTGGGACTCTGGAACAGTTTTGTCTCTGTTGTTCTTCTAACTGAGGAAAAGACCTACATATGCTGCCCTGAGCTTCCTGGAAGAAGGGGGAGGACTACCATATAGCCTGGAGTACTGATTCTGCCTAATCTTGGAGGCTAAGCAAGGACAGGCCTGGCTGAAATCTGGTCACCCAAATGCTGTGAACAGCCCAAAGAGCTTCAGCTATGGGTAGGATAGCGGCATAATGTAATAGCAATAAGGATATAATGTAATAGTAATGACGACGTATAACAAAGAGAACCAAAGAGAAATTTCAGTTTTCTGCCATTCTGTCTCTTAGCAGATATAAGTGCTCTGTGCAAGATTTTCATTGGAAACCAACCCATTTTAATTGGAATAGCAACCCACTAGTACCCATGCTTCTTCTGAAGGTGGATTAATGAGAAATGCCTGTTTCCTTGGTGATTTAATTCACCTTTAGATAAACTAATCCATCTTGTTTCCATGGAAATTTGCCTACCTGACAACACTAAACTTCAGGTTGTAATTTCCTCCACTCTGAATTATAGGAGGGTAGCACATCTCCACTGTGGAGGGGTCAGCTCCAGAGAGATATTTCTTTTCCTCAATGGCCTTCTCTACGGATTCCGCCAGCTTGCTGTGCCGCACTTTCTGCCAGAAAATGGAGAAGATTCAGTGGATGGTGGACTCCAGAGGGAGTGACAGAGCCCTCAAATGCTACTCTGACCAAAGTACTGCTGGGGAGGTGGATAACAATATCCTCAGAGGCACAGACAAGGGCCTCTGCTAGACCAACACTCACAAACTCCGGTCTGCCCAAGTCTCTTGCATGAACTGGGCAGCACAGAGGCTTGGCATGTGCAGTGGGGGGTGGCGTGGGCATTCCCTCCACTGACCCTCCAGCAGCAGCCTTTCCTTAGCCCTTCAGGCACAAAGAGAGGGGGTGTGCCCAGCTGTCGCAGGACTGCTCTGTTGCTTCCTGCACAGACGCTGGCAGGCTGGCTGGCTCTCCCGCTCCAGCTTGAAATGTGCTGGAGCCAAATCCAGTATGGCAAAGGAGGAAGAAGGGAGAAGACCAGGCAGCCGCTGGCCAAACTGGACGGAAAAGTGCCAAGCTAAAGATGAACCCAAAGCGAGAAGATGGGACTAGTTAGGGGTGCACAACCTCACACCTGGGGGCCAGATGCTTTCCTCCAGTTTTTGTACATTTCTCTGTCCTGCATTCCAAATGGCTGCAACGCCTCTCCTAGGACTCCCAATTACCGGCAGTAGGAGCTTTAAGCCACAACCTGCTGCTATTTGGGCTGGGCCCTTTTGCAGCTGGCACAGACCCCTTTTGCCTGCGGTCCCATCCACAGCTCCCAGGACCTCTGAAATGGAATTCGGCACTAAAGCTGAAACACTCACTCACTCGATGCTCAGCTTGCCTAGCCTAGAAGCCAGTCTCTCCCCGTTTTCCGAAGATGTATGCACATCCCTTGCAAGCGAGCTTCCTTCGTAGAGTCTAGCTGCAGTTTCTCAGCTCACCTCATCAGCGTCGACGATCTCCATCACCCGCTCTTTCAAGAACTTAGTGAAGACCTCTGATGTGATGGCTGCCGCTTTACGCATCAGGGCGAGCTCCCCGTCCTCCTTCACAGCAATGGTGTAGGCCACCACAGCACTGATGTCCACCTGCAGCACAGAGGTAGAGGAACGTGATCCACATGGTCTTAACCCCTCGCACCCCCTCCCACATGCTGGGGCCTGGTCTCCTCACCTTCTCAAAGCCTTCTTTGCTGAGAGCATCATTCCAGCTGTTCATGAAGTCTCCAGGAAACTTGTCCTTGCTGAACACGCCAATCCGCTTCCCATTTTTGCTGGCCTTCAGAGCTTCAATCATCTTGTCAAAGTTTGCCTTGTTGCTTTCATTCTGGGATGGGATGGGATGAGGGAGGGAGGGAGGGAGGGAGGGAGAAAAGAGTTCATGTGTGTTCACACAGCTGAGCCCACAATCTTCTCTGAGCAACACATTACACTGGTCCACACTCACCTTCTCTCGCACAAGCAGCGTGATAGCAGGCACCCCGTTGGCACTCTCGTTGCTTTTACTGTTTGCGATTTGCTTCAAGAACTCCACTTTCTTTTTGCTGGCCATGAAGAGGATCTTGTCCTCACAGAAAACCATGATGGTGTCTGTGAGCTCATAGCCGAAGAGCCAGGTCTGCAAGTGGGGGGAAAGGACCTCTGTGAGGAATAAGGGGTGCGTGTCCTTTCTACCCCCAAATCCCCCCGCTTTCCAAAAAGAGCCCTCCAATGCTGCCAGACGCAAAGGCACAGAGTCCCAGTCTCGCTCACCTGCAGGGCAGTGGACTTTGCATAGACAGTCTCCTCATCAACTCCAACGGAGACCACAATGGCATCGATGGTAGCGTATTCATCTTCCCCTTTCTGCAAGTGAGCAAAACCCCCGGAGATGATCAACTAAGGAGCTTATTGCACGACACACAGAGGCAAGTGAACTTTGTCGACTGCAAGTTCTCACACATGTGCAGGGTCCGATGCTGGGTACAGAGTCCATCTCCTCTCCATAAATAAGGGTCTCTAGCCATTGAGGACACCCCAGGAATAACAAAACAAGAAAAAGGTAACCAATGCTTCTGACAATGACGCAGTTATTAATGGCAAGCTGCAGCACCCTGCTATTTCTCCAGAGCCTTTCCTTAACAGCCTCTGCCATTCACAGAGCTACTACAAGAAAAAATATTATTAGGGCTTTGCCTTTTATTTTTTCTTTGTGTATATATGCATGCCCAAAAGCAAGAAACCACAGCTTCTTGAACAAGGCATGACATTAGAAAAGTACAAATGGGAACGGTGACAAAATATTTCAGTGCGAGGCATCTCTCTTCCAGCTCCCTCACCGTTTTCCTGCAAGACTCAATTAGCACCCAGTGCCCGCTGAGCATGCGCCATCTTCAGCTAGACTTTTTGGGTCCCATCACCCATCCCTTAGTTCTTATTCTTAAAAGGGATTCTCATTTTTAAACACAGCTGCAAGCCTTAGGGCTCCCCCAAGCTGGCGGATATTGGTTTCCTGAGTGTTGGCAGCACCATTTTGGCTCACATAAGCAGCAGTGCTCACATAGGAACATCAGAAATAGCACAAATAATGGCGTACACAGCGCATTCTTGGTACAAGGCACAGCTGAGCTGCCGCTGACAAAGCCTGGGCGGGGGGGGAACAAAAGCTAGCCTAACAGACAGGAGCCCCTCCTCTTGAATGGATCCGACTTCAGGTGCCTTTTTCTTTTAAGATGTTGAACACTGAGCAAGTGCGACCCTCTTTGCAAGAGAGCTGGTGGAACATGAAAAGGCTGCATCCGAATGGTGTGCTATACAGCAGGACTGCTGTGAAGCCATCCTTTCCCAGCCTGTAATAGAGACCAACAGGATGCGGGGCTGTTGGTGTAATCTAGCTCAGCCCAGCCTGTAATGTGAGGATCAGAGCAACAGATACCACAGAAGGGCCACTGTAAGCTACACTTACATCTTCAGGTCAACAGCCCGATATGCAATCGGGGTCGAAGATCTCTGGACAATGCCGCAGCCTTGCCAGACCTGCCCTGCGGCATTCAGGATGAACTACACCATAAGGCTACCAGGAGGCATTTTCTTCCAGCTACTGCCTCGTGTTCTATAATTTGGAAGCAATGAAATTCCTTTGCTTTGGAATCTGCATTAACAGGGATGGGATTTGCCACTGAGTTGTTATGGAACAGTGCAGTTTTTTACCCATCCGATTAGGGATTTTATTCCCCAGCACAGAGTGCAATTTTGCAAAGTTTGCAATTGCACCACCTCTGTCGAGGCCTCTCTCTCAGGAGTTATGCTTTTGGCTACATAGGCATGAGCATGGCAAGACTTAAATGTGGTATAGCATAGATGATCGTGATAGATTGGGAACATGGCTAGGGCTCCCCTGGACTACAAGGATTCCCTCACTTCTCTCCAGGGCTGTGGAGCTGGTGCGTAAAGCCTTCGATGCCTCAATTTACGGTACCTTTGAATCCGACTTCAACTCCTTTACATATCAATATAGAAATATACGAATTATGTATTTTCTCTAGTGATTGACAGCATTCCACCAAGGCATTTCATCACTGCCAACAGGAATCATCAGGATACTTTTTAAAGAATCCTAACCTGTTGGAATATGTCCTGAAAATATAACCTGAAAAAATAGGTAGCTCAAATTGTTACTTGTGAAATATGGCATTTTAACACATTATTTATATTACAATTTAAACCTATTAGGAGTTGGTTCATTTGTACCAACTCCAACTCCTATAACCCAAGAATTGCTTTCAACTCCACAGCCCTGCTCCTATAGCAGCCCCAAGTAGTGCTTACAAAGGTCTTCATGCAGCTGGATAATACACCTGTGGCCCAGTATGTCTTTTATTTATTTTCGCTAGATCTGCTTGATGCCCAACTATCAAATTCCCTTAGGGCAGCTGATGTTCACAAATCCAAAAAGGAACTAGCTGTCAAAGAATTAAAATAATGATAAATGATCAACAGTAAATAGCAAAAGAATATAATATTAAATAAGAAGAGCCAGCAGTAAAATCAGCAAGGCAAATAGTATCTGCTTAAAGGGGAGGGTAGAAACTGGTACCTAAATACACAAAATGGGTGCCAGGCAGAGTTGCCTGGGAAGACTGTACAGAGAAGGGGCCTTCCCCGATATACACTCATTTTGGGCAGCATCACCTAGAGAAAAGCCTCCCAGGACTATCCTAGTGAGTAAATATGTTTACCTTATTTAGGGTTCTATCAGAGAGAACAAGAGAGTCCAAAGTAAAAAATAAACCTCTGTCAAGAAGTTCAGATGTTTTGACATTGGAAGTGTAGGTCAAGATAACCATGTACAGAAGTAACTAATCGTATTTGCTTTGGTAGATGACTATGCCAACTGGTTCTGACTGGGGACAGGATCACTCTCTGTTGTTCAAGCGCACCTACAACAAAGAGTCTTTTTTTCTGTAAAATTACCTGCTGGTGTTGCCTGTCTTTCTCATGGTCAGACAACAACAAAAAAAAAAAGGGATTTCCTTTTTGTCCTCAACATTAATCAGGCAAAGACATATGCTCCTTCAAGCAGACTGGCCTGCAGCGCTAGATGTTCAGGGCACACTCTTACGCAAGTTTAGACAGACAGGGCTACAACTCCCAGCACACCACAGCCAGCTGACCGGAGCTTGCTGGGAGCTGTGAGTCTTTTCTCTGCCTAAGAATGCATAGGACTGCATCTTCAGGGCTTTAAATGTCTGCATCAGCCCTTTGAATCAGGCCTGGAAACTGACTGGCAACCACTGCAGTTGCCAAAATTACAGGTAGTCTGTGGGTTATGAACAAGTTCCATTCCCGAGAAAACATATATTTGTCTCTAAGTTTAATTTGTATATAAATCAGATTATGTAAAGTCGGCCCACCACATTTAAGTGGGTCAGGGGAGCAAGATCCCTGTGAAAGTGGAAAAACTGTGGATATCTCTATCCCCCCCCCCCCCCGGCCAAAAAAATTCACCAGCACTTCCTCTTTGCATAAAGGAAATGCCAGAGGAATTTCCCTCCCCCCATGGGTAAGGTAGGAAGTCATGCTTTGGAGGCCTCCCTCTTTAACTCTTTTGCTTTCTACCTTTGTACGGCGATGACAATTTTCTGCAGTAATTTTTGAAAATTATTAGGCTTTCGGGCAGTCCGTAAGTCTGAGTTGTTCATAACTCGGACATTTGTAATGTGGGAACTGCCTGCACTGAAATGTTTGAAGTAGCCCATCCTAGTAAACAGACTTGCCACTTTATTCTGCACTAATGGAATTTCCAGACCTTCTTCAGAAGGAGCCTCAAATATAACACATTGCAGTAATCCAGGTGAAAGGTTACCTGTGTATGGACAGCACAGCCAGACTATTTCCACCCAGGCAGGGATGGAGCTGGTTTATCTGATGCAGCTGAAAGAAGCATTCGGTGCCAGCGAGGCCAGCTGGACCGCAAGAAAAGAACTGGGTTTGGATGCACTCCCAGGCTAGACTTGCTCCTTCTGGGGGGCACACAACCCCCTTATTGCCTTTCCTGACCAGAACCTGCATTTCACCCACACTCTATGAGCATTCAGAACTCTCTGTCTGGGGCCCTTGAGAGTGGTTGTTATTACCTACAGTGACCACTGTTTCAATAACATCTTGAAAGGACAACCCTGGAGTGTCTTAGGCTGTCACAGAGTTATATCCATCCCGTAATTACATGTTAGTAATGCACAGTATTTCTCCACATGAGGCCCTTTTGCCTCATCTCCCCCATTATGCTGCAAAATAATGAATCCTAGATTTAATTTCAAACCGAGTGTCAACTTCTGTTCCTCCTAGCTGCAGAAGGAAAAAAAAAAAAAAAAACCACACACACACACACACACCACCTGGAACAAGGCAGAAGAAGAAATCCAACTTATTACTTTTTTCAAATGTTAAGGTCCACAGGAAGGCTCTTCACATTCTTTTGTGAGCACTGAAAATAAGTGCAATAGCCTCCCCAGTAGTAATTTGGAATTTATTGCATTCGTTAGTATGATTCGCTATTTGTGCTTGTCACATGAAACAAGTTTTGGGCACATGGGCTGCAACTGTTTGGACTGTTTTTTTCAGTGAAGCCTGCAAGATACATTAAAAATCACTTAAGGCGCATTCCTAATCCCATTTAGGTAAAAGAGGCCTATGACTCTTAACATGGGTGGCTGGAACATGCTGGGAGCTGCAGGCCTTTTTCTGTCTCAACATGCATCAGATTGAGCCTTTACTGTGAATTAGGAACTCAGGAACACGCATTTAGCTACACATCCACTCACACAATTGAGATGGCAAAAAAACCACATACAAAGTTAATAGACAAGTATTTATTTACTTGTTTATGTGTATTAGCAATATTCATACACTGCTTCTCATTTGAAACAAACCTCCAAGTGGTTTAATCCCCAATCTGTCAAGGAAAATCCATTGTACTAGTAAAGCTATACATTCTTACATGGCTACTCCCCTTATTAAAAGCTGCTTTTACTATGTTGATTTAGAAAGTCCTGCATATGTACCATACAACATATACAGGTAATTACCAAGTACAGAAAACATAATTTAAGGTGGGGGGGGGGTGCAAAAGAAATAAAGTGAAAGTAGAGCAGAAAGGAGAAGGAAAAATATGGATCTTATGGTAGCAGTGAGAGGGTCACTAGGAAAAGAAGTTTTGGATGGCTTGACAAGTTCTCTCACTCATACTTATTGTCTCAATCTGGCCAAAGAAATACCACAATTATGACATGGGCTCTTACATTTGTTGTTGTTGTTAGTCGCGAAGTCGTGTCCAACCCATCGCGACTCCATGGACTCTTACATGGACTAAGACAACTAAATAATATTACAGCATTTATGCTATACTTCCAAGCACTTCTTTTAGATTCACTGCTGCTGTTATGACACAACTCCGGTTAAGCAAATCATCACTATTTCATTTCATTTCTAAACTGCCCAACAGCTAAACCTTTCTGGGAAGTTTGCAAAAATAACCCCTATATAGCTGATAAGTAACTGAAGCCAAGAGAGAAAGAGCTTTCTTAATGTAACCTGTGCACATGGTAAAGCTAAAATTTGAACCTTGTAGGCACTACACCGTGTCACCTAAACTGATGCTTTCCTGAACCGAGTTGCTTTAAAACCACCAGCTAATAAAAAAGGGAAGAAGGTTACTACAGAGGCATAATAATAAAGAGAACACGACATTGACAAAGTAGGCAAAAGAAGGAAGATAGGGATGAGTGCAGGGCAGCTTTCTCCAAACTGCTGCCATTCTAGATGAAGTAGCAGTTTGCAGCTCCCACCACTCCTCCCAAGCATCAGAGATGACACCAGGCTGGAAAAGGCTGCCAACAGCCACACTGACTGTGAGCGATGGAAGCTGGCATAGTGGGCTGCCAGCAGCCACGTTGACGACGAAGGATGGAAGCCCGAAGCGCAGGAAAACGTGCAGCAGGGCATGGCAAGGGGGCACATGGCGAGGGGCACGGGGAACGGTGCTCGCCGCAGGACGCCACCTCTGGGGGGCACCAGACCAGCGGAGGACCGAATGGGGCTGCCAGCACTCATCCTGGCTGCGAAGGATGGAGGAGGTACTCCAACACGTCTGCAGAGCGGCAGGTCAGGAAGGCGGGGGCACGGGAAGGCACGAAAGGGGCTGGGAGGGAACTCGCTCCTCCTGCGCCGGGAAAGCGGCGGCCGGAGCGGCGGCGAGCGAGCAGGACCCCTCGCGTCCCCGCGACAAGCTGGAGGAGGGGAGGGAGGCGTGGAGCCCCGTCCGCGGCCGCCCTCACCTGCCAGTTGCTGTAGAGGCGCTTGACGCGGCGGTAGTAGGCCTCGCGGTCCAGACTCAGCGCCATGGAAGCGGCTCCTCCGCAGGCTCCGCCCGCCTCGTCCCTCCGCTCCGCGCAGCCGCGACCTCGGAAGTGGAAGGCCTTCAGCGCCCGTCCCCGCCCTCCGTCACTCTCCCGTGACCTTTCCTCTCAGGACGCCATTTCCTCGGGCGCCATCCGTGGCACGGGGAGGCAAGGAGAAAGGCCTACAACTCCCAGCATGCCTCCGCCGCAGGCCGTTTTTCTCGTTCAACGTGCCCTGAATGGCGCCCTTACTTAATGACAGCGGCGGCGGCGGCGGTTAACTTATTTATCGTGGTCAACTTCGGAAGGTACACAGCCCCTGTCCGAAACAACAGTTTAAAATTATTTTGACCTCAACAATTTTTGTTTTCTTTCAGAATAATAAAAGGGCTCTGTAAACAAAAATTAAAATAGGCCCCGTGACGTTTAATTATAGTGGCGCGCGCGCTTTTTTTTATTCCCCTCCCGACCCCCCTTTCTTAAGGGATGTGCGCATGCGCAGGCCCGTTCGCAAGCCCAAAACCGCGCTCCGCTGTCAATATCGCGTGACGTGGAGTAAACTTGCGAGAGGCTTGATGGATCACGTGAGCCTAGCTGCTAGCGCCCCTCCCCCGGGCTCTTCGCTGCTGGCTTTACTATAGGTTGCGTGCCCTCCGGTCTAGGGGGCAGGCACGTGACCCGCCCTCCCCTTGGGCAGAGCGCGCGGGAAACCTACGCCAAAGCCACCCACGTGGCTCTGTTGCCCAACTTCCGTATCATCCATAGAGATAGAAATTAAACTGATAGAGAACCCGAAGTTGCAGTTCCATTACTCCGCCCTCTTTGTACCTCTCACCCCTTTCTCGTTCGGAGTTGGATCCAACTGTCCATAGACACAACAAGAAATCATTTGTACTATAGCTGTGATCGGATAATTGCTGTTCAATCCCACTCCGAAACAATAGCAGTGAAATCTCATGCAAGTTTAGAAGGAAAAGAAATGCCGCAACTCCCAGCATGCCACTTCGGTGGCATGTTGGGAAAGCAGACTTTTTCTGTCTTAACTTGGTTGCCTTGCAGCCCAGAAGGCGGCTGACAAAAGCAACTTGTTTTGCTTAATGTGATATATTTCTCCATTAATAATATGATAGTAATGATGCATTTAAAATTCCATTATAGAATAATCACTTTTAGGCACGTGCCAAGGCATTTAAAGGCATGTAACAGCTTGGTGTCTAGTATTTTTAAGAGGTCTACTTTGTATTAAATACGCTTTTGTCTGTAAAAGGTGTTTTTGATTTTTGCAGTTTAGACAATTTGATGGTTGCTTTAATGTGAATGGTCCAGTTTTAAGAACTATTGGGTGATACAGAAGTTAAATAAATGTCTAGCCATAACTCAAGGTTGCTCAAGGCTTCTGCATACAGGTGTAACTTGCCTTTGGATTGGACCTTGCAATCTATTTATGGGGAATTGGTCTGTATTCCGCGTCTAACCTGCAATATGAATACTAGACTACCTTGCAGGTAGCAGCTCTTTCTCCAAACCGCCTTACTGTGATAACGCCCTGTGTTTGCATTGAGCTAGATAAGGTTTCACTAGATAGGCAAGGATATAGTTTGTTTGCATGCCTAAAAAATCCGCAAATCACTCCGCTTTGCACGAGAAAAATAGCTGCTGAAATTAAAAAACAAAAACCGCGTTTTTATTACTCTTTTCGCGGGGAGAAGAGATTTAATCATGGATTCTCCAAGGTTAGCCCGGAAGTCGTCTATCCGGGCTCGTGGACGGCTCCCTCTAACGTTCTTAGCTCTGTGTTCAACCGAGGCATCGTCCGAGCACCTGCTGCTTCGACGGGCCGTTTGAACGCTGCAGCGCATGCGCAGAGCGTAATCGGTGCTCAACTCGTGCGATGCTGCAGTTGCCACTCGGCGGTTCCAGCGCGTTGGGGCGAGTGGTGTTTGCTTCCCAGATTCCGCATCATCTTTTCCCGGGGGCGGGGAAATAAAACGAAACCCTTCCCTTGATGCATTATTGCAGTGGAGAAACCAGCTAGATCCTTTGCAAGGTGGCGTGGAGCAGAAAAGCGGCTCTGCGGAGGCTTCATTCCAAGAGGACTAGCCCCTTAGCCTGGACAAAGTCTAGCTTGAAACAAGTCCATTTTTACATCACATCAATAAAGCATTCAGCATCTCATCCCCGAGTGTCTGTTGGAGTCTCATTCTGGCTAAGGTATACAGGCCAGCTTTAATTAAGTGGGAATTCTGGAGGTTAAGAGGGGAGAAATTACTCAGCAAAGAATTCAAGTTCACTATTAGATTCATTAACAGTAGAGGACAGCTGTAATTAAACCTGCCAATTACTGGTGGTGCAGTGCTGCTAATGCTTCTCTTCTGCATTATGTTTTGGCAATGCCTTTGGCAGACAGCTTCTTGGAAGGAGGTAATAAATGGATACACCTTGTGATGGAGATGCATGTTCTTTTGAATTACCTACCCATCTCTTGGAATTCAATGCAGTCAATATAAATGGATTATCCACATCCTTTTCACAGCTAGAACAAATACTACAGCACTGCTGGAATAAACTGCCACTAGATTTAACCAGATTTTTGAATGAGTGGGCTTTAGCTGCAATAAAATAAGACACCTTTATTGCACCTAGTAATGTACCTTTTTCCTCCTGTGGGGAACCCAAAATGGCTCCATTTTATCCCCACACCAGCAACCCTGTGAGGTAGGTTAGGGTGAGAGAGAGAGAGAGTGACTGGCCCAAAGTCACCCAGTGATCTTCATGGCCAAGCGGGGACTAAAATCCAGATTTCCCAGCTGCATTTGTTGCAGCCTGCCTAATTCTTTTCAACAATGGTAGCATATTCCCTTTGTGACTCCCTCACAGGGTTGTTGTTCTAAGGATAAACTAGCACGAGCTACATCACCTTTGGTTCCTCCAAACTGGAATAAAGCTGCAGTGTAATAGTCATATCTAATTAGCATTGTGCATCCTTTTAAATCTTATCCAAATCAACTGTCATGTATTTGTTTCCTTTATTCCATTTTCCCCTTCAATCACTTTTTGTAATGCACAATACAAAATAAACAGCCAGGGACAGCCAGCCATCCGAGTACCTACTAAATCAGCGTTCTTAAATGGGATCGGTACAGTGCTGGGCAACAGATGCATCCAGACCGTTCAGATGCGACACCCAGCATTTAAGCTACAATATTTGGACTTAAGTAGCTGGGTCAAAGGGGTTTAGCCATCATTTTTACATCCCACTTCTGAGGGCACCGAGGTGGTAGCCGGAGTCTCAGAGTGCTGGAAAAGAAGCAAATAGATGCAAGTTAAAACTTTTCCTCGCCCCTGTTCTGCTCGCTACGCCTAAAATAATATTGCAGAGTTGGAAAAAGTGCAGAACGGGGTAACTAAAAATGAGCAATGGGGTGGAACAACTCCTCTCTAAGGAAACAGGTTTGGGGAAAACGGTAAGTTAAGGGGTGCATGATGGAAGTGTGCAAATACTGCACCGTGTGACACAAAGCGTTCCCCCTCCCCCAGGTCATCTTACGAAGTTTGTGGATGGGGCATTCGAGCAGGTCAACCCTCCTTTCTCACACAGCACTTAGGGAACCCCTTCCATGAGATGTGGGGACCAATGCGGGTGGCTTCAGAAGAGGATCAGGCAGCTTCAGAAAGGTGGCGAGGAACAGGTGGGTGCCTGCTGGGTTCGGGCCCTCGGCAAGCACCCAGACGTGCTGGCCTTCAGCACCGGCCAGCCCTGAAGGCTGCACAAGAGACCCCAGAGGAGGTGGATGGCGCCCTCGGGGGGATGGGGAAGGGAGGCCTGCCCAGGTATGTGGCATCCTGAAGACGCCCCCGTTTCTGGCCACCCTGCCCTCAAGCACTGCCATGAGCCAAATGGGCTGCTTGGCTGGGTGGAAGCAAGGTGGGGGCAACCTCTGTTCTCCTCCCGGATGCTCACGATCCTCCAGGACCGGAGGGTGGCAAGCATCCCCGTACGACTGCCTGGAAGGACGTGCATCAAGAGCATTTTTAATGGCATCTTCTCCATAGTGCTCCCTCCTCCCATTCAAGGACCTCCCCAAGGAGACGCGCCTGGCATCTTTCCTGCGTGTAAATGCTGGCATTGAAACAAAGGAAAAGATGTTTAAATGCCTCCCTTTTTGAGCAAGCATTTAAGTGTGAATCGCTGTGTTACTTCTACAGGCTCCTCTACTGTTTAACAGTGAATATTGTATTATTTTTGTTTTGGCATGTAGTGGTATGTATGTAATGGAGGGGTAGTTACTTTGTTTAGTTCCCTTACTATAAACACCCCAAGGGCCAGTGGACCAGTATACAAATCTAATCAATCAATCAACCAATCAATTATAATAATAATCCTCACACAAACACAAGATGGTCAACTTCCTCCTTTCCCCATGAAAATATCCTCGCCAAAAGAGAAGACACACCCAACACAGAGCTGCGCGTCCCAATTCTTAAGAAGATTTTTATGCAATTGATACAACAGCATGAAGGAGGAAGATTGGGGTGGGGGAATTTTTATGCATTTTGTTCCTTTTATTAAAAAAAAACAAAAGAAAAAAATGGAGAAACCAGCTACAGGAAGCTATACCTTTCATCCCCCCACAGCCCCCTGCCACCCCAAAACCCACCCGCGGTGACTCGGCTCCCCGACAATTCATTCCCACAGCCTTAGCCATATTACACAAGACATATTACATATTTATAAATATAAACCCCACTCACGCGGAGACAGGGGGACGGAGGGAAAGGGAGGGGGCCTCTGGCGACCCCCCTTTTGCACTTATGTTACAGCACATGGACCTGGGGCGGGGAGAGGGGGCGGAGAAATGGAGCAGGCTGTGGGGAGAGCCAAAAAGGGGGCGGGGAGCTGCTACTGAAACCCAGACCGTCTTGTCACTCCTGCACTGGCGCTTTCTGCTGCCCCGGGGAATCAAGACTGCGGCGGCAAAGGCGGTTCCCAAGGGAGGCCCAAGTGCCGGGAGGAAGGGCTGGACCCAACCCAGAGGCGTTTTTTTTGACAAGGAAAAAAAAAGCCACACGGGGCGCACCCTTCTCGGAGAGCCGCTTCTAAGCAACCCTTGCCGGGGTTGGAAGGACCCCGCACCGCCCTCCCAACGGCAAGTCATGTGGAATGAGGGGAACCCGACCGGCACGTGTCCACGCAGGCACGGAGTCTCCGGCCCGTCAGGCTTCGACATCAAGGGGATGGCTAGTCGCAGCGAGCTCGGCCCTGCTTCGCATCTGTCCACGCCCTGGACGAAGGCTCAATCGTCCCCTTCCTCGTCCCCCTCCTCGCTGGAGTCGGAGTTGGCTGGCATCATGGGGTCGTCATCAAGCAAGGAGAAGTCCCGCTCCGAGCTGGCGTAGCCCTGAGACAAGTCATCCATCTCGTCTTCCTCCTCGTCCTCGTCCACGGGCTGGGGGTGGCCCAGGTGCAAGGGGGCTGCGGCGTAGCCGGCGTGGCCGAGCGCCGGGTGCAGCAGGGAGCCGGAAGAGGACGCGGCGGCGGCGGCCGTCGCGGCTGCTGCGGTCGAGAAGGGCACGTACTGTAAGGAGCCGTGGGCCGGGCCGGCTTGGAAGTGTGCGTGGTGCAAGGCGAGGGGCCCGGCCGCCCCCAGTTGGACCCGGCCGGCCCCCATCAGAGCCATCATGTTGGAAAACTCCATGGGGGTCTGACGGCCCCGCTTCTGGGTATTCTCAGCCCCTACTGGTCCTGGAAGAAGACGGTTCATGGTGGGGTCCGGCAGAAAGCCCTGGGGAAGAGAACAGAACACGCTGAGCAGGCGGAGAGGGGAAGCAAGTAGGAAGTTCAGCGCCCTTGTCCCTGCCCCCCTTTGGTCCTCACAGCTTAAGCAGAGCATCTTTTCTTGACAACCATCTCCGGGGATAGATTTTGTAGTCCTTCCCTGTAAGGGTAAAAAGGGCATCCCCATGGCCCTTCTCACAGAAACCGCTAGCGCATTTTAAAAGCATATTCATGTTCAAGAAACAGTGTGGTTTACTGGTTAGAGTCTGGACTGACGCTCTGGACATCTGGGTGCCGGTTTCCGTTCAGCCATGAACCTCACTGGGCGACGGATGGCCGTTTAATGACCATCATGCTTGCTTGTTCCTGCTGTGATGTCCGTACCTCACGGGGTTTCCTTGGCGTGGTTTGTTAACCATGCACAAGCCACTGGGAAAACCCACCACTTGTGGCTGGGTTCTTCAGGGTGTCTTCTAATGTGTGAACCCGGCGGGGTGACTTGCACAGGGCTACAAAGCCACCTTGCATAAACAGCAAAAAATCCACCAGCTTCTCCTAGTGCTGCCTTCCACCTCCATGTTTTAATTAAAAGTAGAGAGGGGTTGTTTGTTGGCTTGGCATAATTTTCTTTTTAACTCTCGGGGAGCTTTGAGTCAACTGGCAGCCTAATGGCCAGTGTCAAAATATAATAAATAATAATAAATATATAAATATCTCTAGTGTAGGCTCTCCCACACTAGAGACATTGAGAAAGAAACTGGACAGCCATCTGAGTAGGATGGTGTAACTTGCTGCCCTGCAACAGCAGGGGGTTGGACTCGATGGCCTTCACAACTCCTTCCAACTCTACTATTATATGAAATATATAAAATATAATAAATAAACAAGTTAATGGCCTGATATCACCTGCTTAGTCCTCCTTACTGCTCTTTGGTACATATGTACACCTTACATGTAACATCATGTTATGTGTTTACATATTAATGAATCAGAAACATAAAAGCCAGCGTGCTTGTGGTGTTTTGAGTGTTGTCTGAAGGCTGGGGGAGATGTGGGTTCTAGTTTTGACTTTGCTGGGAAGTTCACTGGGTGACTTGGGGTCCATCACTGACTTTCATCCTGGCCTACCTGGCAGTGCTGTTGTGAGGATAAAACAGAGGAGGGGATCACAGAAACCTCCTTGGCTTTCTTGCAAGAGGGGAAAAGGTGGGATAGACATGTAAGCCGAGCATTACTGCTGGCCTCAACAGGGGAGGTGCCACTGGCGATCGAGCGGGAGGGTCGAGTCACCTTCTTGCCATTGGCAGAAATGCCCGCTGCCTGCATCCGCTCCAGCCCCACCAGGCAGCTCGGCTCCATTGGAACTGGCTTGGGGAACCGGGGCCATCGGTGCTTCCGGCGCTCCTCCATGTACTGTGGGGGTCAAAAGAGCAAAGAGTCAGTCACTGCCCAGGCCGCCCCGCTGCTCCAGCGACGTTCACCGCGGTCCCTTCCAGGTTACAGAAAGGTGTGCCTCTCTTCCGAGAGAGCTCCTCTCCCGCCAGCACCACCACACGCCCCCAGACACTACATCTACGTTCCAGGCTGGGGAGGCGCCGATGCAGCTCCTTCACCCTCCGCAGGCAGCCTCTGCTAACCTGATGGCCCTCAGAAGCTCTATGAGCCCAGAGCAGCTGGGAGACGGCCCGCTCGGTGCCTCCAGTGCCCCTCCGGAACGGCTTCCCAGCTGCAAGGGAGCGAAGGAAGGGGACGTGTGCCTGCACCAAGGCCCACAGTTCCCTGCATCCTGCTGTCCGTGAGCTGCGTGTGCCACGGGGGCTCACCAACTCCAGAGTGGGCACTTCTGGAGGCGCTGGGGGCCACGTGTTCTAGCCCCGCTCTCCTCCGACTGGCAGCAATGGGCGGGGGCCCCACGTGGGCGAGTGTGGACGGGTGGCTTGAGGGTCAAGGCAGACGACCTAGCCCTTCCTTGAGCCACAAGCAGGCCGCCCTCAGAATGCCTCAGCCTGTCCCACCTAGTAGGGCTGTTGTGTCATTCCATTCATTGGGAAAGACTCCAGTGGGGAGGCGGAAGGGAGGGGAAACCCCAGGGACGTCCCTGCCTTGCTTCTGAGCTTCCCAGCGGAAGGGCCGGATCCAAATTCCCCGCAGACCAGCCCCCGGGAGACATGCGAGGGGCGACGCATTGCTGCTTACGGCCAGGAAACGAGGGTCCACGGCATACTCCGGGTGAGCCTGCAGCCACACTTCGAGGTCAGCCCGTCGGGGTGCCGCGTCGCCCACCAGCAGCGTCCCGTCGGTCTTGTTCACCACGGGGATGCGGGCCTCAAGGTCGATGTCGGGGCCTCTCAGCGCCTCCAGGCACTGCAGCTCCAGCTAGACGCCAAGAGGAAGATGCTGGGAGGGGAGCCGAAGGCTGCCGAGGCCCCTTGTCCCTCCCAGCGGTGACGGCCCCCCCCCCGCCCGGCTGTCCTCCCCGTCTGCCCCCCCCACCCCGGCCTCCTTTTACCTCCACCATCTTCTTGCTGCTCTTCTTCTGGGTGAGAGCGGGGCGTTCTCGCATGGTGCCATTCGGGACCAGTTTGTGCTTCTGGAAGGTCAGTTTGATCCCCTCTTCCTAGGAGAGGCAAAGAGGGTTAAGGGCCTTCAGCGTGTGAGGGGCACGACGTGGTATTTGCGTTTAGGATCCTGCAACCGGCTGCAGCTGGACTGCCTCCTCCCTGCCAGAATTAATCAACCGCACCGGGAAGGATCCTGGTAACCTGTGCAGAGGGAGAGCAAGCCCTTCCCCGCTCTGGATGAGCCACAGTTCAACGGGGCAACCTTTGCTTTTCCACTGTCTCCTCGTATCATCCAGATACAGCAACTGCAGTTACTGCCTTCAAACTAGGCCAGAACAGTTAAACCAAGTTTAAACCACGGCTTACTAACCTGGCTTATTATACATTACATTGTAACTTTATGTGAAATTCCAAGGGAAAAATACCAGAAGTAGTTTTAGAATTGGCTCACGGTGACATGGATGGGATTCATGAAATCAAGCGTCTGTTGAACAGAGTTAAATTTATGGTGGAAGACTCTCAACTTAAGAAAGCCCACAAGAGGAATTTCTGGGTTTAAGGCCACTGGCCACATGTATGAGCTACGTTCAGCAGAGGTCTGTTTGTGTGGGCGTACATTTCTTTTCTGGCTGTAACTTGCAATTGGTTGTCTAATGAACTCAGAACGGGCACAGCTTGGCTTATTCCAAAGCTGGTTCACACTCCCTGGTTCAGACACGCTAGGGAGCTATGGTTATTGCTCTCCCCACGCCACACGTTATGTGCTCATTCCTTGCGTGCATGTACGAAGTTTTTAATAAAGCAATCAGCAAAACAGGGATCAATATACATTCCTTAATTCATGTTTTGCCATCATCGGAGACGGCTGAGCCACTGCGGTAAGAGCAGCCAAGAACCTTCTCCGGAGTTTGCCGGGGTGCAGCGTCTGTAGTTCTCTCACCCTTGCAAAACTCTTAGCACAGGCTGGGCCATCCTTACCTTTCAGACGGGAACCCGGGGCTACACCCACAGCAGCAGTGAGAATTTGCATCCTGGAATGCAAAGAGGCCTCCACGTGTGGGTAAGCGCATTAAAACACATGTATAAAAACTTCTTTCCGTCTCTGGCTCAGCTCTGACTTGCTTTGTTGCCAGCGCTGAGAGGGGCTCTTCTTTAAAAAGCCCCGCAATGTAACGGAGGCACCTCGGCACGAAGCGTGGAATGGTTCGGGAAGCCCCAGGGGCTGGGCGCAGGTGAGCCCTGCTGGGGGATTCACGGCAGGCATCGAGGCAACCGCCCCCGCCCCGCCCCGGCCACTCACATCTTTGATCTGCACGGTGAACTCCTTGTCCTGGCCGCTGTGCCGGAGGCGGGTGAAGGAGGCCGCGCCTTCCTCCGGCGGCCCGTGGGGGCAGATGTGTGGGATGGGAGAGCTGGTGTACTCCCCGTGCAAGCGGGAGAGGCCTTCTCCTTGCACGACGCATGGCCCGCCCGGTCCTTGCTGCACGGTGGGCCACTTGCCGGACAGCACAGCCTGACACACCAGGTCGATGCGGCTGATGAGGACTCGGTCCTGGCGGAAGAAGCGAGAGCACGTGCGCTCAGCTCTGGCCGCGGCGCTCCCTGCCCTGGGAGCCGGGCGAGTCCCCCTTTCCTCTTGGCACTTCTCAGCATCTTACGCACGGGGGGCAAATTAGCTTGCTGGGCAGGCCCAGGAGGAGAGCGGGGCAGAGCTGGCCACAACCTGCCTGTCTTCTTATTATGGATTTGAAAAAGGAAAGATCTCGGGAAGGTGGCGAAGAATAAACGGCTACAGCATTGCAAGTAAAAGCAAGCGATGCATTTAAAACCACAGCCTTGCGATGACTTATTTTATGTCTAAAAGACGGGGAAGCTGCCTTTGCAGGTGAAAGCTCTCCTGTAACTAACTATGCCTGGGGGGCCACCAGCAAGAAGGCCAGCAAGGGCTCGCCACCCCCACAGGCGGCAGGCCTTCCTGAAGGAGGGCCTGCAATGTTGGTCTCGGTGCAGGGCCAGCCATTCCTTCAAGCCTCGCACAACAAAGACCCTGACTATTCATTTTGGGCACCTTCATGCAGAGCCAGAGCTGGCGATCTGGGGGAAGTGAAGCGGGCGTGGGGAAGGGAACGCAGCCACAAAGGGCTGGATACGGCCCTCAGGGCTGCCTCCCCAGCAGAGAGATCCCGCACCCCGGACTTCCCTCAGTCCCGCTCGGGATGCTGAACAGGGAAGTGGCAGAAGACGCCTGGCACAGTGCGAAGTCCCGGCCTTACGCCCCCCCCCCCCGAGCACCCCCTTACCTTTGGCCACTCGTGGGCACGCTGGCGCTCCTGCAGCAGCAGGTCTGAGGCACTGGGCTGCGGGGAATTGCCCTCGTGCGAAGTGGGCAGGGAGAGCAGCGAGGACTCCTCCTCCTCGAAGAGCTTCCCGCCACAAGAAGCCTCTTCACCTGGCGGAAAGGGTGGGCAGAGGCTTCGGAGGGCTGCCACGGAGCCCCGGGGACAAGCAAAGCGGCTAAAGCAAAGCTGCGGGCACAACCCCGCCCCAGGAGCCTGGCCGATGGGCCGCCTCTCTCCTGCTGCCAAATCCCTACAAGGGATCCTTCGTGCAGTGCCCGGAGCAAAAGTGCCCAGGCGGGAAAAACTCAGAGAGACAGGGGAGTTCATCACGCCCTGTTTTGGCTAACAGCGCACTCTGAAGACACCAAGCTGGCCTGAGTCTCCCGGATGGGGACCACTGTCTGCTGCTATTTCATTAAACCAGCAGAATCAAATGCAAACCGGCACGTCCCGCGGCAAAACAAAATAAGCCGGCCCTTTTGTCGGTCGGCACTGCTGGCTGGCTATGAGGTCGGTCAGCCGATGCTTCCCGAGAGCGAGCAAGCGAGCCCTTTTTCATTTTTGGGCAGTGTGCTAGCTCCCTTCTGGCTGAGATATCCAGGGAAAGAGGAGAAGCCTCCCGGGAAACCTACAAGATACTCACCCTCGCTGTCATCGGAGCAGCCGGAAGAGGACGAGCACGACGAAGAAGCGGAGATCTTGCCGAGGTCGAGCTCCGAGTCCGAGTCGTCGGCCGATTTGGGCTTGGCGGGGGGCGCCGAGGGCTGCGGCGGCGGAGCGGGCAGCTCGTGCAGGGGTGGCGGGAGGAGCAGCGGGGAGGGCGCGGCGGCCGCGCTGGCCCCGGGCAGAGGGAGCCCCGGGGGCGGTGGGGGCAGCGGGGGCGTCCCCGTGCCCCCCGCCCGACTGTGCATGTGGCTGAGGCGGGCCGACAGGAAGGAGAAGTCTGGGTCCTGCATGATGGTGGCGTCGGTCTGGCTGAGGCCGTGGCGGGCCACGCCGCGCAGCAGCTCCCCGTCGTGGCGCCCGCACTGCCACCAGGGGGGCATCTCGGGGCCCGGGGGCTGGCACAGGGTGAGGCGCTCCTCCAGGAGCGGGTGGCACAGCACTTGCTCCCGCAGGCGCCGCAGCAGGTCGATGCGGTAGAGGGTGCGCGAGGCCCGCTCCTCCGTGATGGGCTCGATGAACAGCGTCGGGTCCGGGGACTCTGCAGAGCGGAAGGGGCAGTCGAGAGGCGGGCCGCCGGGGGGGGGGCCCTTTCCCCTCCCTCCTCTGGGGGCCCAGCAGCTGCCGCCCCTCTGCCACCCAGACAGCGCTGCTCTCCTCCTTCCAGGCCCAAGCCCTGGGTTCCCCCTGCCGCTTCCCCTCACTGGAGCGGGGATGGGCAGCAGGTGAGCACCCCCAGGATGGCCCCTGCCGTCCTCTCCAGAAGGCAGAAAAGGGGGCACCTCGAACCCAAGAGGTGCTCCCAAGTCCGCACGTGGTCAAATTTAGTCCCGGCCAAAGGCGATCAGACATTTCTCTGTGCTCTGAATTGCCCCCCAGACCTCTTTCTTCTGTATTCTTTTACAAGTTCATTATCTCTTGTAGGCCGTCCAGAGACTTTTTATATTAATGGATGGCACAGAATTTTTAAAAATAAAAATAAATAAATTAAAAAATAGAAATAGAAATAAAATCTGTGGGACAGCAGCCTACCATGGGAAGCTTCTGAGGAGTGGCAAAAATGAACCACAACCACCCTTAAATTTGCCCAGCCAAGCCAGCTGACACCCCCTTTTTAGTCATATGCCACCAGTGTGCGCAAAATTCTTCACGGCAGCCTCCCCCAAGATGCTCATGCTAGCTGGGGATGATGGGAGCCATGGGGCCACACATCTGCAGTGTGCTGGGTGGGGCGAGCTTGGTCCCCGTCAGCCCAGGGCCCGTGCACTAACCGTCACTGGCGGCGGGAGGCAGCCGGCACACCTGCCGGCACATGGCCACGAAGCCGTGGAAATACTTGGCGAGGCTCTCGTCCGTCTTCTTGTCCAGGCGCGCCAGGGCCCGGAAGCGGCCCCAGTGGAAGCGCATGGTGTCCGGGTCGTACTCGACCCCGAATGTCGAGACCACGCGGTAGAAGTCCGACTGCTCCCGACGTGTCCACCTGCGGGGGGAGACGGGTTGACGCGTGAGGAGGGCTGGCCACGGAAGAACCTCTCGCTTAACCCATCGCTGGCTCTTCCTTCACCTCACCAGGCACTGCCCTGCTGGCTGGGAATGATAGGAGCTGTAGTCCAGCACACTGGGAGAATGCCCGCTGAAGACGGTCGTTCCAAGAGAACGCCCATGGCAATGGCCACATGCCTGGTTCGGAATTAGTGTTTTGACTCGGAAACCACTTTGGTCGAACCAAAACTCAGAAACAAACGAACATCTGCTGTTTAGGATTACTCAAGCTCAGCGGGACTTGCTCATGTGGGGGTCACCACTTCGCTCCGTTAACTGGGCAGCAGCCCTCATCCAGAGCATCCCGCCATCTGCATGGACACACACTGTGTTAAGAAAGTATCATTTGGGATTCCCAAGCAGGGAACCTCCAGCTAATGGACCAAAGGGCCCTTCTCCAGTCACACTACGGACTGACACCGTTTACAGCCTGCTCTTCTGGGCAAAGAAAACCTCAGGAAAGCTTGTCTGAGCTGGGCAGAATGCTCAGCATTAATGCTCGAGCACAATCCGTCAGGGGGAAGCGAAGAGCAGAGCTCGGAGCCAGCCGGGAGCGCTACCTTTGCTGCTTCTCCCGCCGCACCATCTCCTTCAACTTGAAGGCGGCCTCGCAGCGCCGCCGCCGCCGGTCCCCTCGCTCGGCGGCCTCGATCTTGAGCTGCTCGCGCTTGTAGCTCCGCTGGAAAGCAGTGATTAGTCTCCGCAGACGTGCTGTGAGCACTGAGGCGGGGGGCCAGAAGAGGTTCCCGGGCTGGCCTGGGGGAAAGGTGGACATTGCATTGCTCCAGATTCTGTCCCTTCCGTGGCAGCAAGAGCCAATTTCCCTCTCCGGCGGACAAACACTGGGCACGCTTAGCATTTCCACCGTTCCCTATGATGCGCAGGCTTACCTTCCTCACCGTCCACCACAGATATTTCCTCGTCCATCATCATTAGCGGGTCAACCTGTAACAGAGAGATTAGTGCCATAAACCAGGGGGTGGGACTGGCTCTCCTGACAGGCTGTTGTACATGCCACCAGAGAGCCACCATCCTGAATATACCATCCAAGGTTTTAAAAGCTCCCCATCATTGGAGCTCCTAAAAAATATCCTGGACACACAGCACAGCTGTGTAGCTAGCCATGGTGGGTTGTCATGTCATCAAAACCTAGACCAAGTCCCACAGGGTGGGCTATTTTTTAACAGCAAGCAACCCCAGCAAGCCCTGGTGTGTTTTAGGGGTTGTTTGAGCCATGATGGGTTGCTGTTTCATCTGAGTATGAGGGTTGGTTGCCGGGAACGGTTAACACATTTTGTGGTTAATTTGCTGTACTCTGCGGACAGTGACGGTCCCTCCACCGATGCCCAACCAGCACTTCGCAGCAACTCTCACCAGCCCGCCGCCTTTTAGAAATGCTTGTGGCCACAGAGAATTGCACAAAGGTGTCTGCTATCATTATTATATGTCTTTTGCAGGTGAGCTCTTATGACTGAGAGGGAGAGGGAGAGGGAGGGAGCGACCTCCCACTGAGCAATGCAGTTCTCTTAGTTAAGTGAATGGATGCACACTTCTTAAGTGTCCTCAACCTTCTCTGGACAGATGACGCAGGAGAACACCTTGGAAGAAACAGGTCGTTCCACTTCCTGCCGGCCGCCACTGTGCACGTGGCGTGGCTTTCCTCCTTTCACCCAGGAGACTGCAAACACTGGCGGTTTCCATGAGATCGCCAAAGCCTGCAATCTGCCTTTTTACAGGTATAAGCAAGTACGCCTTTGCGTGGTTGCCCGGCATTTAAGAAGGCATCTTAAAGAGGGTGTAAATCCCCCCGAATCCCATTTTGCACAAAAAGGAGGTCAGGAGGGTGGTCAGAAAAGAAAGGGCTTTCTTATCGGTGGCACACTGCGGAGAAGTTTGGCTGCCACCTCCTTTGTGATCTTTTCAGTGCCAGGCACAGACCGTTCTCTTCGTCCAGACATTTTACAGTCCTCTTTCTAGGTCACTTTGCCTGTTTTATTGATTCCTGTGTTGTGTGTTGTTTTGCCTGATATTATCTTTTATTCTTTTAAACATTTCAATGGTACTTTACATTTTAAGAAAAATAAATCCGCTGTGGCACTTATTTACTTATATCCTACCTTTCCTCCTTTCAAGAAACTCAAGGCAGCTTCCATAATTCTCCTCTTTTCAATTTTATCTCGCAACAACTACCCTGTGAGGTAGGCTGGGCTGAGAGTCTGTGACTGGCCCCAAGTCAGCCAGTCGGCTCCATGGCCGAGCGGGGACTCGAACCCAGATCTTCCAAGTCCCAGTCTTGTGCTCTTAATCACTATATCACACCATATATATCAGAATATACTATTATCAGAAAGATTAGAAATGACCAAATATATAGACCTAGTCTCTACACAGGCTGGAAATGCACATGTGTGAAAATGTCATCTGCTATTTCTTGGAAGAACAAGGAAAGGAAAGAGAGAGAGAAAAACTTGTATCAGTTTTGAGAACCTAACCTCGTCATCCGGCTCCTTAGCAGGGCCTCCCACTGGTTTGTATTCCGGATCCTCGCAGTCCTTGTCAAAATCCACCCTGCGGGCAGGAATAGGAACGATCACGGTGCTCTGCACCCACACCGACCCCCAACTTTTCATGCCCCCTTCCCACACACACCTCAGGCCTTCCTTTGAGAAGCAAACTTAACTCATGGACGCCCGGGTTCAGAGCCAAAGGCTCCGCTCGGCGGCTCGGTATTAGCATGGCTAGTCATCACAGGTGTGCCGCTTCGCGCTTCCCTCTCCTCCCTTTTGAAGTTGGACGCCCCTTTCAGCCACAAACTTCTCCACAGCACCCTTCCCCCCCCCCGCCCGCCCAGTGCCCCCCTCGTCAGCCACTCACCCTTCGCCCACATCCAGACGGTGCTCTGCAGCGATGGCCTTGTCGTCGGGTCGACCAGCCTTCTCCAGGAAGCAGAGTGTGGGGTCGGCTCGCATGGTGTTGTACTTCTCATAGCCTGAGGGTGGAGCAAAAAGGGTTTCGGACAAGTCTCGGTAACTTTTCCATACCTCCTTTGCCGGTGGGTGCATGCAGAGAATGGAGAACCTTCTCCCCGACTAGTCCTGGGTTCTGGAATTTGCTCCCGGGGGACAGCCACCTCCTGCTGGTGGACTTCTGACACCGCATGAGGGCTTTTAACCTTGTCTGTCACCAAATGCCTTTCAAGCAAGCAAGTGGTTTGCAGGAAGGACCTCTCGATACGCTTGAGGAAACTGGACAGTGTTAGCCTTATTGACACCCTGTGATATTTCAGTCTTGAAACTGCATTTTATTTCTTGTTCCATCCGTTTGCATTACAGTTGCTATTACTCTTTCATGGCTTAATTCTTGCTAGCTGCTTGAGACTGGCCAGAGATACTTTATTGTTTCCAAAAGAGCACACTTCAGTTCTCACTTTCAGGGCAGCCCATACCACAGCTCCAGCTGCCTGTGGCCAGTACGGCCGCAAGCACCGCTCCACGGCAGAGGTGAGTGTTTGGTCGAGAAACGCATCAACCTCCTGCCGAGTGTGGCTCAGAACGGGATAACAGCTAACTCTCCGATGGCTGCATCACCTACCGTGCTTGAAGACTCCGAGGAGCAGAGACTTGTCTGCTTCAGTGTCCCACCAGGCCGTGGGGACCTCAGCCTGATCCACCAGTGGGAACCAGATGTCAATTTCACTGCAGGGATTAAGTGGTAGGTGAGAGTGGAGAAGACGGGGAGGCGGAAAATGAAGGAAATAGGACAATGCCGCGTATGCGCTGGTAAGATTGCTCAAAAATGGCGCATTGTGTTGAACATTTATCCTGCTCACAGGCCTCCGTGAGGATTATACATATGTAGAAAACAGGGAGAGAGAGGAAGTTTTAGTTTTGGCCCTTGAAAGGCAAACTGTATAAAATGGTAGAAACCTTTGAGAGGAAAGGTTCGTTCGTTTGCGCTCGCTCTCGCTCTCGCTCTCTCTCTCTCTCACACACACACACACACACGCAGAGCAAGAACCATGTGTGCAAAGGAGGCACAGTTCTCTTCCATCCAATCGATGCCTCTTTCTGCCCTGAACATTGCCAGGGTGACCTTGGGCCCAGTACAGTATCTCAGCCTAATCTCTCTCGTAGGGTGACAGAGAGGATTAATTGGGGGTGGAGCCTAGGGATGATCCCTGTAAGCCCTGCCCCGCAGCCCCCGAGCACCCTGGGGAAAGGACAGGATAAGCCTTCCTGTGTCAGGGACAGGCCAGGAAACAAACCATTACCTGGAAGCCGCACCAGCCAGCACTTTCTCGGCTTGGTCGCCAATCACTTCCTGGCGCAGGTAGTACAGCATTCGGACTCGTAGCAGCACCCTGGGGAGAGGACGATGGTTTCAGCTGGGGATGCTGGGGCAGAGGACCGCGCACCCCTTTGCTTAACCGCCGCCAACGGCGCCCTTGGGCCCCCGGCCATTTCGCTTCCCGAGTACTTGGACTGGGACACTACGAGAGCTTTGCTTCTTCTCCCATCCAGGCCCCTGGACTGGGGACTGGGAAAACACACACGAGAAGGAGGGGTGTTTGGATCAACTGCCACCTTTTGCTCTTCCTGGAGAGAAATCTGGCAGGGATGATACACACGGACAGGACAGCGCTGAGCTTATTTCAGGCCAGAGGTGCCCACCCAGCGAGAAACGAAGCGAGTGACAAAAAGGGAACTCTCCTCGTTAGCTGGCGCGAAGGGGCTCCTGTCCCTTCCGTGAATTTTCAGGTGGGGCAGGGTTGGGAGCTCGGGGCGAGCCAAACCGGCTTCCCATCACCAGCTGCATCTTACTTGTTGCACTGGTGCTTGAGGTGCTTCTTGTAGCCCTCGTCCTGAAAGAGGGTGTCAGGGTTGTACTTGCGGATCCATTCAGCCTTCTGGAGGTCAAAAGTGGTCTGAGACTTGACCTTCTTCCCTTTGCGGCCCCGCGGGACTGGGATGGACAGGCCTGCCCGAGGAACAGGAAGTGAGCTCAGAGCAAGGGGCTGGCTCTCTAGGTACAACATGGAACCAGTGCAATAGGGATTAGGGTCACCCTAGGCTTTCCGTCACGTCTCAAGTTCTCACACACATGCACCCACAGCCATCCGAGCAGGAGTCTGCGAGCCCAGAGGGAAAACGTTCCTCTTGGGCACCAGCCAAAGCGGCAGCCCCCTCACATCCCGCCATCTTGAATTCCACCTCCCGACCACCATCCACGCCCCCTTGCCAAAGCACCACCCCAAAACGCTCGCCGCAAAAGGGCAGCTCCCGGCTGGCCCACTTGGCGGCCGCAGGAGAAGCCAGGCTCAAAGCCGCGGCAGCATCCCTGACAGATCCTGAGGCGGCCACGAAACGAGCGGGCGCCCTTACCGGAGTGGTTCTGCAGTTCTTTGGCTTTGCCGTTCTCAACCGGGCTGATGAGGTCCCAGATGAAGCCTTTGATGTTCTCGTCGCCGCGGTAGTGCATGAGGCAGTAGACCAGGATGGCCCGGCAGATGGTCTCCACGTCCCGCTCCGACATGCGCCGCTTGAACCGTCCGTGCGACAGGATCTCCCGCCAGCGGCCCCAGCTGCCAGGCGACAGCAGAGTTGGCGTTGTTAAAGGGGGCGGGCAAGCCCTGCTCCGGCAGTAAGGCACCCCCTTCTGTCACCCTTAATTGCAGGGCCTTAGACTCGGGGGCACTATCAAGCCCATGACCGTTCTCTAGGCAGCCTTGTCCCTTTCCCTCGGCCACCGATGGCTTGTTGGCTTCCTGGTTTTGCGAAGCCTTTCCCCACATTCCTCTCCTGAGCCTTCGTTGCTGGTGGTGAGAGCGTAAAACTCTCTAGCAATTCTACACAGACCCTGCCTGCCACTGGAAAGCAGCCTGCAGGCGCCTCTCTGAAAGGGAATGTGGCCACCCGGTTAGCTGGGAAAAGTGCATTCAGCATTGCAGGACTGAATTCTGCGTAAGGGTGCAGGATCTGTCACTCCACTGAATGCTCCATCCAGGGTGTCTTTCTAAATCCACCCATGCTTTGAGACCCAAGAGGAGGTGGCTGCCAGATGGGCAAATGATGACACCCCCCTTTTTTGCCTGAAGCTCTGTACGTCCCAGAAACTAAATGTTCTGATTTTATTTTTGCACCCTGGTTCCTTCTCAATGTGCTGGATGACCGAACCCACCCCCTGTAGGCTGCCAACATGGCTGGGGAGGATGGGAACCAGAGTCCAAAACAGCTCCAAGGCATCAGGGTAGGGAAGGGGGTGGAGAATCCCTTGCAACTCTCAATCATGACTTCTGGGCATGACTAAGGGGGATGCAAGCTTCAACTGATCTGATTAATCTATTTTTTAAATAAAAATCTAATTCACTGACTAAGTATTTTTGTTAAATAAATACCTTTCATTGCCTTCAAAGAGGCATTCCCCCATTCATGTACATTCGGCGGGGGGGGGTACTTCTTAGAAAGGACAAACACGCCCCATCTTAAAAACCCGGAAGCATACAAACTGTTGAAATCAGTATTCAACTTGGTATAGATTTTACAGATTAAATCCAATATGACTGATGTCTCTTCGGTCAAGAGGGAACTGCCACTAACAATGGAAGTCCCTTCTTAAAACCACACATTCACTCCCCCGTTTCAAAATACTGCTCCACATAATGCTTCATGGGGCGGCAAAATGTGAAAAGTACATGAGGGGAACCCTGTCTTCCCACCCATCATCCATCAACCTGGCTGACCAGGCACCTGGTGTCTCTTCAGCGATCCAGGAAGCAGGAATAAGTCCAATGCCAAGCTGGCCAGCTGGCCTGCCTCGCTCTGTCTGGTCTATTCTGAAGGCCACGTTTCGGACTTCAGAGCTTTCTTGACAACCGGCCCTGCCTGCGGGGCTTCTGGGAGCTGTGGTCCCCAGAGATTCGGAGAGCTGCTTTCTGCCCTTCTGAGAAGAAATGCCCACCCACTCTCTGGTGCGTATCATGCAGGGACTGGAGTAGAAACAAATGAGGTATCTTTCGGGGAAGTTTGTTCACCTTGACCGGTCTTCTCCTTGGCGAACTCCAGATGAGCTTCCAAGGAACCAACCTCACTGTTTCAACAACAGTGGACTGAATCCAAAGCGATGCGGGTCAGAGCCGCCTCCCCCCGAATGATCTCCCCTTTCCCACCCCCCTTCACATCACCTCCCACCCAGTCCACATACCCATAGACTAGCAGTTGTTTTTCCACCTGGAAGCAGTCCGTGCGCCCGTACGAGTGGTGGAAAGGGTGCTGGTGGCGGTCGTGGCGCCGGGAGCGTGGCCGCTCGTCGTCGTCGCTTTCCAAGTCGGAGAACTCCACCAGGTCATCGTCCTTCAGGGTGCTGAAGTGACGCGTCTGCTTGCGCACCCGGGGCGTGTCGATCACTAAGTTGTTCTGGGGGGCGGGGGGGGGAACAGGCAGGGGGGAGGAAGGAAGAGAGAGCAGCCTTACCCCTGGACAAAACACCCGCCCTTGGGCAATTACCAGTTCTCCCCTGCCTTCATAAACCGAACCTGACTCTTGTTTGGGGACAGAGGACAGTTCGAAAGACACGATGCAGCAGGTTGCTGGGCTTATCGTGAATTTCTCTCCCCTCCAATCGAATCCGGAATTAAACACGTTGGGTTTCCCCCTTTTCCCCCGGACTCGTCCTGCACCCACCTTGCTGTTCAGCATATCCAGGTCCAAGTCTGCCTTCTTGGCCCACTTCTGCCAGAAGTTGGGGTCATCTAAGGCGATATCTGTCCTGTTCTCGGAGGCCACAAAGCTTGCCTGGGAAAAAGCAAGAGGGCAAAAGCAAGGAAAAGGACTGGTAAGGCGGGGGGTCTCTCTCTCTCTCTCTTTTATCTTACTGTAATGCCTCCCTCCCTCCCTCCCTCCCTCCTCCCCACAACATCATCCCACAGAGCACTGAGCATGGGATCCCCAAGAGAAAACCTGGAGGACATTTGTTTGCTAAAAAGACAGCACTTTTCTAGACCTCATGACTGAGAAGGGAGAATGCGCGGCGACACACACACAACTCCAGGCAAAGCACATTGGCATGTTTCCTCCTCCACACCCTCAGAAAGGGCTTACCTTTTGTTACCTTTTACGATTCCACCTTGCGCTCTCCCTCGTCTCTCTCCATCGACTGGGGAGGAGGGAACCTCAGCCCTGAGGTCCAAATCCCGTCCTACTGGGGCCCTGATCTGGCCCTTAGATGGCCACACCACTTCCCCTGGCCCCTCCCCTTCCACCAGCTACTTCGCGTTTGGTTTGCCTGGCTTTTGGGAATTGCTTCCCCGTTTCCCTGAGGCTTAGTTCTTGGCAGAAAGATATTTAAAAGACCATATGCTGGCATTTCCAGTATTCCCCCCCCCCGCCCCACCACTAACCTGCTCAGAAGCTGAATTTGACTCCCAGCCCCTGCCAGAGATCAGAAACCCCTTCCGCAGGCCACGCAGCAGCCTTGCGAAGCCTCAGTTCCTTCTCACGCACCCCACCTGTCCACCCATCACAGCTCGGACAACGCACCTGCCCTTCATTCCTAGCCATTCTGCAGATCTGCACTACCTTCGCTGAAATTGGAAGGGGGCAAAGAAGCGGGTGGTACCTTGGCAAAGGTGGACCCCTTCCCCTCACTCTCGATGGTGATGGTCGTAGTGCGCCGAAGCAAGATCTGGTCGATGTCCTCCTCGCAGAACTTGGAGCCCTCGTCGTCCTCTTCCATAATGGCCGCGTAGGCCCCCTTACGCAGCAGGTCTTCGATCTCCTTCTTTGAAAACTGCTGGATCTGGGAGAAGAACAGAGGTGTTTATGTATAATAGGAGAGGGGGGAGCAAAAACGCCCTCTTCTCCAGCCCCTCATGAGCTGGAACAGAAGTAAGGTAAAGGTAAAGGTTTCCCCTTGACATTAAGTCCAGTCATGCCTGACTCTAGGGGGCGGTGCTCATCTCCATTTCCTAGCCAAGGAAGCCAGCATTTGTCCACAGACAGTCTCTGTGGTCATGTGGCCGGCATGACTAAACACCAAGGTGCACAGAATGCTGTTACCTGCCCACCAAAGTGGTACCTTTTCATCTACTTGCATTTGCATGCTTTCGAACTGCAAGGTTGGCAGGAGCTGGGACAGAGTACAGGAGCTCACCCCGTTGTGCAGATTTGAACTGGTGACCTTTTGATCAACCAGCCCAGCAGCACAGCGGTTTAAACCACTGCGCCACCTGCAGTCCTTGAAACAGAAGTATAATATGATAAAATCAGAGCCCGGAAGACCAGAAGAGTCAGGCCTTTGGGAACTAGCTATCCCCGGTCAAATCAACACAGCACAGCAAGGTTCTGGGGAGAAAGGAATTTGAAGAGCTCTCCCTAAGCAGGACACAGAGCAAGAACGAGCAGACGCTTATGAGAGTCCCAAGAGCCATGCCCCAAAATGCAGGCCTCTCTGTTGGTCCCTAGCTATTAACTAGTTCTCCCTGTTTACATCTCCACATCTCTTAGTTTGGCATTCGAGACCAAGCCATGCCAAAATACCATGCATGCAAAATCCTTTGCAGGGGTAGTAGCGAAATAATATATTGCTGCTGAGAAAGGCCATTTCCCCCAAAGCTGTTACAAGCATCGCAGCTCAGCTCAGAGGGAATCCAGAAGCCGGGGGGGGGGTGGCGGAAGGTGCCCCCAGTAATCAGAAAGCCCCCGTGCTCTGACCCCGTGAGTCCTGGTTCCACGAAACCACTGCTTGGGAGTCCCCAGAGTGGAAAAAGATCCATGCAAAACTAAAACTTATATTTGTAGATGCATAATGTTCAAATTTAGCTTTTCCCGCAACAGCAGGGGGTTGGACTCGATGGCCTTCATGGCGCCTTCCCACTCTTTTATTCTACGATTCAAGTATCCCACACCGGGACCAACATGAAGAAACTGAGGTTGTTGTATGTGAGAGGGGGCAAGATCCCCTGGAGAAGGCAATCATGCTCGGAAAAGTTGAAGACAGAAGAAATGAAGACCAATGAGGGGGTGGATTGATTCTCTAAAGAAAACAACCGCTGTTTGTTTGCAGGAGCTAAGCAAGGCTGTCAAGAACAGACCAACTTTGGAGAACATTCCTTTCCGGGCTTGCCCTAAATTGGAGAAGACTCAGCAGCATCTCTCAACCACAGAAAGTCCCCCGGAGGTGCGTAGGGGCCGATCTCCCCACTCCCAGCCCGGCTCCCCCACCCACGCAGAGCCACAAAAGCTTACCCCAGCGATGCTGCCCTCGCGGCCGCTCATGGACTGCAGAACCGCCTTGTCCAGCCCGAGCTTGAGGCTGGCTTTGTCGAACATCTCGCGCTCGTAGGAGTTCCGCGTGATGAGGCGGTACACCTTCACTGCCTTGCTCTGCCCGATGCGGTGGCAGCGCGCCTGAGCCTGGTGGGGGAGGACGGGAGCCAGCGGTCGGCATCGGAGGGCCACGGCAGGGCCTCTCCTCGAGAGGAGGCCTGAGAGGCCCACCGAAAAGCTTGCCTTTTAGCAGGCAAGGGGAGCCGAGCCTGGACTGGACTGGAGAGACAGTGTGAGGTGGGGGACGCGGGAAGCACACGCCTCTGGGATCAGCCTGTCCCCACTCTCGCACCATGCAATGCCCAGAGCACCGGAAACTGGGGGCGGTGGCGTGGCACGCTTTGCTCCAGAAGGCGACATGTGAGCCAAGTCTGTCCAGCGCATGACAGAGAGAAGGCAGCGGAACCAGGGGATGGGCGAGTTCCGACAATCGGGGGCGCTTTCTGCTTCCCCCTCCTAAGATGTCCTGGGCCAGGCGGGGGCGTCAGTGGGAGGGCTGGGGGATCGCGATGTATTTTTCCCCACGGAGGTGCCAGCCCTTTCCGTCTATGACACCATGTGGGCCCTCGGGGTAAAAGGCCGGCTTGAGGGTCCCCCCTCCCCATGTTCTGCCAGTACCTGCAGGTCGTTTTGGGGATTCCAGTCTGAGTCGAAGATGATGCAGGTGTCGGCGGCTGTCAGGTTGATCCCCAGCCCTCCTGCCCGGGTGCAGAGCAGGAAGACAAAGCGGTCCGAGTCCGGCTTGCTGAAGCGGTCGATGGCGGCCTGCCGCAGGTTCCCTCGCACCCGCCCGTCGATGCGCTCATACAGGTACCTTTGTGGGAGGAGGTGCTCTTTTATTTGGAAAATATGAATTAAAATAGGGCTGGCCCACCCCCGGAGGGGGAGCGGGTCTGCGGGCCAGGCTGCTGAGCTCCCAACCTGCCCTCTCCCGGGCTCAGCAGATCAGAGACAAAGCCCAACCTGGCGAGCGCTGGAATGCTCCCGAGGGACGCTCACTGCAGGCAGAAAGCTAGCATGCCAAAGCTGGGCTAATACTCTCTTCCTTCTAGCCTCTACAGCATAGCAAAATGAGGCCATGTGCCTTTCTGCTGACCTGCTGTACACTTGGTGAAAAAAGCAAACCAAAACCCATCCAGGGTGCTGACAAGAATGCGGGCAAGGAAGCCAGCAAGCCAGTGGATAAGCTGATGATCTGATAGCCTTTTCCCACCCCTTGAATTCCATTTTTTAAACCACCCGCAGTTGGGCAGCTTTGGATATGCGGCCTGACGGCTCCCATCGCACCCAACAAGGGGAGCTGTTGCCAAACACGCCCGGAGCACTCTTGGCTGGGGAAAGCACCTTTCGAAAGAACGAAGCACCAAGACTTGGGACTTGATCCAGCCCTTTCGATTCCAGGACAGGCGCTCTTCGAAGCCAAAGCACACCTGGCCTACGGCGGGCGAGCACCACCTCCCCAAAAGCCCTGCTTACAGTGAAACTGGGGCTCGTGGCGACAGGGGTTCTGACCTGACCAGGAGGGGCACGTGACATCAGCTAAGCCTGGCCGCAATGGCTCCCATCCGCTCAAATGTTGCCGCCTTTAAGCAAACGCGCAGGACTCGGCCTCCGGGAGGGCACAGAGTGTGTCGGGGGCAGGACCCGCTTCCGTGGCACCGCCCACTCACCTCTTCTGGATGAGGTAGTCCTCCAGGATGTCAAGGCAACGGACCATCTGGGAGAAGATGAGCACCTTGTGGCCACCGGCCTTCAGCTTCGGCAGCAGCTTATCAATGAGCACCAGCTTCCCGGAGGAGCGCACCATGGCCTGAAGGGGGAAGTCATGGGGCACGTGGTGGAGGCAGGAGTCCCGAAACTCGGTCAGGATCTTCTCCTCTGCACCTGTGTTTTGGAGCGGGGCAAGAAGCGGGAGGTGAATCATCTCTCTGAGGACACATGAACAAGGACCCTGGAGACAGAAGATGTGAAATTCGGCGCATACAGCAAATGACTAGACCGGGGGAGCAGAACTCGTTCAGTATGGAGGCCGGACCCTGTTTCCAAGGAGCCTGGATGTGTGTGCATCACACTCCAGGGATGGGAGGATGTCATGACAAAAAGAGGAGGGGCCAAAATAACAGCCTGTCTTGGTTTAAAGCTCTTATTGCCTGGGATGAAATATTAGGAGAGAAACTGAACCAAAAGCCAGGGATTTTTTTTAGTGGTGTAGGTAAAAAGAAGCATGGCCTTCTGGGGAAAACCTGAACACCTGAGTGGGACCCCTGAAGGGCCGGGCTTGATTTCCAGGCCTCGGGTTCTGCACCTCTGAACTAGAAATGAGGACTTTAAAAACCACCACTGCCTGCACGGAACCCTCTACAGAATGGAATGGTTTCAGGCTAAACGAAAAGCCCTGAAAGGGAATTAGATGATTTGCTGCAAATATTCCCATGGGGCTGTAAATGCTGAACTCAGATTGTCTGGGCGAAGCAATAACGTGGAAGCTGCTTCCGTATTACCCCCCAAGGATAAGAAAGAAGTCTGTATGCAGAAGCACAGGGAAATGAGTACATTAAAATATATTTATAACCATTTCTCTTAGGGTGCCATCCTATGCATGCTTAGATAGAAAAAAAATTCCTTAAAACCCCCTCCCAAAAAGTCCCTAAACCCCACTTTTCTGGTAGCTGCTGATTTCTATTTGCATTATCCTGTGGACCATTTCCCTCTCAATTTTATTATACAGTTGCATATTCGGAAGTATAAGGCAACAATTCCATGCATGTTTAGATGGGGAAAACGTCCTACAGTTCCCAACATGCCCAGCCGGTCACGGTGGTTGGGAAAAGCTGGGTGCTGTACGTTTCTCCTGTCTACGCCCGCACGGGAATGCGCCTTAAGATACAACAGCAGGAGTGGGCAGAAAGTAGCACTCCTGGCATTTTGGACTCCAACTCCCACATTTCTATCCAGTCGAGAGGCTGATGGGCACCCCAGGGAGTTGAAACCCAAGCGGTGGGAGTTCAGTGCTGCTTTCTTCTCCCCATCAGCCTTCCTTTTTATGTTGTACAATTCTCTATACTCGTCTGTGCCAAGCTGGCGGTCTTCAGAGGCTTTTGGACTGCAACTCCCAGAATTCCCATCCAGCAAGCCCACTGACTTGGAATTCTGGGCATTGCAGTCCAAAAAGTGTCTGGAAGGCACAAGACTGGAGAAGGCTGCTCTGTGCAAAAGCTTCAGTCAACAATCCTGTGCATTTATTTAGAAACCTTCAGCAGAAAAGGGCCTATAATCCCCAGCATGCCCTGGTGAATATGGCTGGTGGGGGCATGCTGGGAGTTGCAGCTCTTTTTTTGTTCTCTCCCTGCCTGGGATTGCTCTTTGAATCACAGCATCCTTCAGAACCTTACGGTCGACTTCTCTCTAAGCCACTTTAAGAGTGCTCTCTGCACTGGGGAGTGAAACTGTTGGAGCATCAGGAGCGGGAATTCAGATGCAAATAACAGAAATGGAGGTAGTGGCAGATTTTATTTTCCTGGGCTCCAAGATCACCGCAGATGGAGACTGTGGCCAAGAAATTAAAAGACACTTGCTCCTATGGCAAAACTAGACAGCATACTAAAAAGCAGAGACATCACCCTGCTGACAAAAGTGCCTATAGCCAAGGCTATGGTTTTCCCAGTTGCAATGTATGGCTGTGAAAGCTGGACCATAAGGAAGGCTGAGCGCTGAAGGATTGAGGCCTTTGAATTGTGGTGCTGGAGGAGACTCCTGCGAGTCCCTTGGACCGCAAGGCGATCAACTGGTCAATCCTAGAGGAGATCAACCCTGATTGCTCTTTGGAAGGCCAGATCCTGAAGATAAAACTCAAATACTTTGGCCCCTAATGAGAACGAAGGACTCCCTGGAGAAGAGCCTAATGCTGGGAACAACTGAAGGCAAAAGAAGAAGGGGACGGCAGAGGATGAGGTGGCTGGATGGAGTCACTGGGGCGGTGGGTGTGAGCTTGAGTGGACTCCTGGGGATGGTGGAGGACAGGAAAGCCTGGAGGAACGTTGTCCATGGGGTCGCAATGGGTCAGACGTGACTTTGCGACTAACAACAACAATAGTGGCTTCTCCGGGATTCTAGGCAAGGCTTTGGGCCATCTCCCCCCGGGGAGCCACGCATCCTTCCTGCAGGATGCCAGACACCTCGCCCAGTCACACGGCTCCTTCTCCACTCCCAAACCTACCGTTGATGAGGTAGGGATGGTTACAACACTTGCGCAGCTCCATCATGGTGTTCAGGAGGTTGGGCATGTTGCTGTGGCCCGCCCCCTTGGAGAGGAAGTTGAAGTTCTTCTCCAGGATGGCCCGATAGTACTTCTTCTGGATGTTGGTCAGCTCCACCTCGATGATGGTCTCTTGCTTGGGCGCCAGGTTCTTCTCCACGTCCTCCTTCAGCCGCCGGAGCATCATGGGCTTCAGGATGGCCTGCAGTTTCTGCACCTGGAGGGACAGAGCAGAGGGTCAAGGCCCCGCTTCACCTTGGGGAGCTGCAAGGGACCATGCAGGACTGTGCTTAATGGGTATAGTGTACACAAGCAAATTTACTGTGGTTTATCAACATGTCCATAAACAAAAAGGCACAACAGAATACGGACACAAAATTACAGAGGCAACAATCTTTCCAATGTAGATGATTCATATCAAACAGGACAGTCCAATGGAGCCCCTGATGTTTGTGTTTTGACTAGGAATAATCTTCAGAGGGAAGGACACTGATCTCTCTTTTTAGCTGAAGTATCAACACACGCTGAAAACTGGTGGCATGAGAAACTATTTCCAAATATTGTATCTTTTCCTATACTTCTTCAATTCAGAGTATTGTGTGCGGATCTGTAAGGTCCCTTTCACCATGGCCTACTGTTATTTGGGATCCCACAGGGCTGAAGGTCAGTGGCTCAGCTGGTCCCCTTGTTATGATTTATTATTTAACTTATTTCTGTTCCTCCCAATAGCTGAAGCTCTCTGGGCAGTTTACAATAAATACAGTCAAAACACAGTATAAAACACAGATAACGGTATTTTAAAAAACCGTTAAAATGCCACTACGAGTCAAATTTAGAACTCAATTTAAATAGCTAACACAAATTAAAAACAGTGAGGCCCATTAAATGGCAGACATAATGTCCCAATGTATCTGTCTTTTCCCAGTCATGTGCCCTCCAAATGTTTTGGAATAAATTCCTGACCAAAAGCTAGGCTGGCTGTCAAACATATACATATGTACAGGAAGGTAGCTGTAACCAAGGGAGGTACAGGTGAGATGCCAGGCATAAGGGACGGCATATAAAAGTTTTAAATAAATAAATACATATATTGGCCAAAAAGAAGGGCCAAACCCTAAGCCCTTGTTCTTTGTCCACAGGATCAGGTAAACCGCACCTGCACAGGGAGGTTCCATTTTGCTTTACGCAGGTAAAACAGAGATGTGGGGGGGGGAGTACACAGAAATAAAGGACCCTCCCACACACACACACACACACAGAGCAGCAAATTGAACTTTGGAGGCAGCAGGAAGGGAAGCAAGGGAGGAATCCATGGAAGGCAGTTCCCGGGCCCGTCTTACCTGCTCCTCGGTTTTGAGGTCCCCGAAGTCCTTGAGGAACTCCGATTCTGAGGGGAACTGGGAGGGCTCGAGGAAATGCAGGAGGCTGAAGAGCTCCTCCACTGTGTTCTGGAGGGGGGTGCCAGTCAGCAACACTTTGTGCTCCTAGGAGGAAGAAGGGGGGACCTCAGGAGAGAGGCAGGCGCAGGGCCCGGCTCCCGGGGCACCGCAGAAGGCGGGCCTGGCATGGGCACGCCGGCAGGTGGAGGGAGGTGCCGCCCCCAGAGGGAGCCAGCCCTCCCATTCAGCCAGTTGGGAAGTGGAGTGAGTGGGAGTTGAGGAAGCAGATCCTCCGGCAGGCCAGCCTGAGCATTAAGCTGCCAGGGGGAGACCAGGCCTTGCCCCTGGCTGGAGGCAAGCCAAGGGACGCCACCTTCGCGCTACATAAATGCTTTCCAGCTTCCTCTAAAGACGCGTGGAGGGAGCAGGGGACAAAGCTGGGCAGGGCTCTGAGACCCTCAGCCCTGAGGCTGCACCAGGCCTCGCTTTCCTGCTGCCAGGGCGCCAGGAGGAGCCCCCTACCAGGTCCATGTGCTTGAGACTGTCCAGCAGTTTGCAGTTGCGGTTCTTAAGGCGGTGCGCTTCGTCGATGATGACACAGCGCCATTCGATCTCCCTCAGCTCGGGGCAGTCTGACAGGATCATCTCGAAGGTGGTGATCAGGGCGTCGAACTTGTACGCGCCTGGAATCAGGCGGCCCTATCGGGGAGGCGAGAGAACGCAGCATCAACCCCCTGCCACCTCCCCCAGTACATACCCTCCTGTTGGCTAAGCTGCTAGTCCCTTTGGAGGTTAAAACAAAACGCACAGGCAAGGGAGCCAAGTCGCGAAGGAACAGGATGGTAAAGACTTCAGCAGGCCCTCCCTCCTGCACCAAACACAGCAAATGACATTCCCTTTCCCCCACAGAAGGAATCCCAGGAGCTGTAGCTCTGAAAGCAGCCGGAAGTGCTATGAACACCTAACGTGGTCTTAGCAGCGCCCCCAGCAACCTGTCGTTACCAGTAAGAAGTCGGGAGTCTTACTGGTGTTCAAGCACGATGCTGCCGTTGCTCCCTTCCCACCACCACCCTGGCCCCCGCGTACTGCCCTCCCGTACCCGGGAATCCTTGCAGTACATCTCGTATTGCTGGATCATCTGGCGGGAGGCGAGGCTGCCGTGGTACACAATGGTGTTCATCTCGGTCCAGGTGTTGAACTCCCGCTCCCAGTTGGTGATGGTGGAGAGCGGGGCGATGACCAGGAAGGGCCCCCGGATACCCACGTTGTAAACCTCCTGCAGGAAGGCGATGGACTGGATGGTCTTGCCGAGGCCCATCTCGTCGGCCAGGATGCAGTTTTGCCTGAGCGGGGAGAAGCAAGAGGCCGGATCAGTCACAGCGGGGCCACTCCCTAGCTCTCCCCTCTGCAACGCAGAGCCTGCTTCAGCTTGAGGCCCAAAGCAATACTTAGCGCCAAGGAAGGCTCACTGAATACAGCCAGAATTACTCCTGGGGTATAATAAGCTGCAGCATGGCCACTGTAACATGGAGGCACCGCATCTGGTACTAAGCACACAATTAACCATCCTGAAGAATCTTAAGGATCGATTCTTATTTTGCTTATTTTTCGGAGCGGAATTCGAGCCACTGAAGTGGGTTAGAAAGAGGCACCCAGAAGCTGTGCAGAAAAAGCCTGCTGGAATCTGGAAGTCTGGGAGCAAAGTGCTAAGAGTTGCCGGGCACTGGTGAGGGCTGCCCTTCGCCACCGTACGTGGCCCGTGGGCCTCGGGTGCAGATACGGAGCAAGGTGGGTTCTCTGAGCATTTCGGACTACACGTTCTTGCCCAACAGCCATGCCGCCTGGAGCTGATGGGAGCTGGAGGCCGGATTCAAGGATCCGGGACCGGTTGTGTCCTGGCAAAGACACGCCAGCCCCCAATCTGGTAGCCAGAATGCCAGGCCTGCCCAGAACTGCCAGTCACTGCCCCGTTCCTTTCCCACCCTTGACCTCACCTGTTGTACCAGTTGAAAAGCAACCAATTCACGCCTTCCAGCTGATATTCTCGCAGCTGGTTGCCATTCTTGTATTCGTGGGAGAGTTCTAATTTCTTCCAGGAACCTGCCTGGGGACGAGCCTGAAAGTTTTTTGGTTTTTTTTTTCAAAGACACAGAAAAAAGATGGAGCAGAGATTTTGTAAGTGACAGAACAGCGCAAGTCCCTTTCTGACTAAATTAAAGATCAACTTATTTATCAAAAGCTTTGTAGATAAAACTTCATTTGAAAAGAAATCCAACAAGACTCCCCCAGCAAGAAATGAACGTTATCCCACACAACTGTAAAAAATAAATCTAAAATGGGAAAAGGCCATCAAAACAAAGCAAAGATCAGGGGAAGGGGGAAGCAAACAAGCCCCACTAATGATCTAATTACAAATAACTCCAGTGCTTTACTAAAAAGGGTTAAAGGATGTTGAAAAGGTTAGAAGATTAGGCTTTGTACAAAAGGTGGAGTGCACTGGCTGGCTTAGGACCGGGGGAATCCAGCTGCAGATCCCCACACGGCCAGGAAAACTGCTGCATCGACTCTCTGCTCATTCTACCTCAGGGGTCTGTTGAGTGGATGTGGGCTGGGAAGGACCATGTGTACCTTCCATAAAACCTTTGGAGAAGGCGTGAAATGTGTGGGAGGAAAAGAGACCAAGACCTGAATAAAACCAAATATTATATGCCATAAAACGATTTCCAAAAACCTGCAACTACGGACAACGGTGGTTGGGTATTGTTAAAACAGCCAGCCGACTGTGCCTACGCAAAATTGTTTGGACCCCTCAGTTGCTACAACGGAGGAGAAAACCTCAACTATTCCACCACAGCCTTACAGCCACTCACTCTTGCCAGTAAAAAGCTGATTCTGTTTCTGACGGATTTGCATGTATTAGAACAGGGGCACTGAGCATCCTTCCAGCAGTGGGTACAAAGGTAAGATGTACTGGGGCCAGGGCACTAAAAATGCCGACCTATTTTGGTTTCAGGCAAGAGCATTCAGCTGCAAGGCATTTTAGAGAGACACTGCAACGTCCTACAATGATGAAGAAATGGCATGCAAGTGGGATCGGTGATCCAGCGTGGGGGGGGGGGGGAGAAGCAGGAACCCCCGGATGGCGTGAAGAAGGGGAGGCATAATTGTCCAGAGACACTGTAAGCCGTCCAGAGACGACTGGTATAGGACGGGATAAAAATATCCAAAAAGAACAACCATCTGGGCAACCCGCAAAGATTGCACTGAGACCCCAGGGAGGCCTCGCGTGATTTCGAGAACGGAGGTTCAACACTTCTGCATTCCAAGTGGGGAATCAGCGGGAGGTTCTCAGAAGCAAAATTAGAGGCGATCCAGCTTTGGGGCAAAAGCAGCAGCAAGCATCCTCACGGGGTTCAGCAGTAGCGCCCCATAAAGAAACAAAGGACAAGCATCACCCCGTGGAGGAGTCTGTGAGTGAGGGGTAGGGGACTGGGGGACAGGCCAAGCGGCCACTTACCACCCGCTTGAGCTCTGGGTGCCTGGACTGGATGCGCTTGAACTCCCTGACTTTCCCTTCGTCCACGTCCTCCTTGAGCTCCCACGTGCTGTCCTCGTACGGGAGCGAGCACCACTTCACCAGGTAATAGATCACTGGCTGCAGGGAGTCAAGAGACAAGCACAAGTTCACCGCTCGCTCTGAGGCGTATCGTTTCGTTCTTTTCGCAGATCTTTCCTCCCTCTCGTCCACAGAGCCCTATTCAAGAGTGGCTTGGGGAAGATCAAACTGGAAGGACCTTGGTCCAGCCACCGTCGCAGGAACAGTTTGTGATGAGAAATCGATAAAAGATTATAAAAAGGAAAACAAAGTAAAAGCGGGGCGGGGAGGAAGACCTCAAGAGCAGCACCGCGACATGTTACACGCTGTCCCCCAACCCAGAGTTGGAGAGCACCTCCGAGGCTGATCGGGCAGATGAGCCGGGCAGCCAAGTGCTTTCGAGGTAACCACGTGGCATGCGGCCCCTGGCGGCCGCGCAGGGCATCCGCCCTGCGAAGCAGGCAGAAGTGGCTGCCCCGGAAACACGCCCACGCACCTCTCCGTTGTCCTTGTCGATGCTGTGCGACTCATCCAGGATGCGGTCAACCTCCACGTAGTCCGGGTTGAAGGGCTCCTCGTCCTGCGGGGGACAGGAGGCAGAACGTGGGCTCGGGGCAGTCCGCATTTCGCCAGGGTCACGTGCACCCCACGGACCGAATCTGGGATCAGACTCGGAACTGGCTTGCCAAGGGGCCTTCGACAGCCATTCGACTTTATTATGGTGAAAAAGAAAAAAAAAAGGCCTTTTGTACCTCATGGAAGAAGTGCCTCATCTGAGCCATTTTGGTCTTAAAACGCTTGAGCTTCTGGTGAATCCGCTTGTCCTTCTCCAGTTGAGCGATGGTGGCCCATTCACAGTGCAGGTATGAGCTTGGGGAGGAAAAGAAGAACATATGATCAGGCCATGGCAACTTCTTCTTCCTTCCCTTTCTCCTCCTATATTTTTATTTTATACTGATAATTTTAATTTTGTATTTGTAAATCAATGTATTTTTTGTATTGTTATATTTAATGGTAATTTATTATGTACTATTGTATTTCAATGTATTTTATCATGTTGTAAGCTGCCCCGAGGTTTCGGCAAGGGGCGGCATAGAAACGTTATAATAATAATAATAATAATAATAATAATAATAATAATAATAATAATAATAATATTACGATGCCTCCAAGGAAGCAGCACGTTACCACCTGGTACCGTTGCCATCACCAGTCCCTGATGTCCACCCCACAGCTCTCTTCAAGCTCTTTTCACGCCAATGTCTCCTTAACCCCCATCGTAGCATCCTTCCGCATGGTCTTTACTTTATTCTATTTCTAACCCCACTTCAATTTCCTCCGGAGAGCTCAAAGAAGCTTTCTTGGTTTTCCAGAGAAGCTTTACTATCACAACAGCCTGTGGGGGAGTGTTCGGCTGAAAGAGAAGGACTGGCCCAGGGACAGCCTGAGTGTCACAGCTGCCTGGGGATTGGAAGCCTGTTTCCTCAGACCCTGGCCCAGGCTCAGTGGTTGGTGCGGTCCCTGCTCGTGCTTGAAATTGCCAGCCACTCTGGCAGCCGCAGCTGGCTGCAAGGCCACTGACACCGCAGGGGTGTTCACCCTCTCCCAGCCCAAGGGCCAAATTCCATTTTGGAAAAGCTCTCCGGGGTGGGGTGGGGGGATCCAACGGTGGGCAGGGCCAAAAGCAACAGGAGCAGGACCAAAGCGCCAGCATTTTTAAGGCCAGAGTTCTTCTTGTCAGCAACTCCTCTCAAGAGAAGCAGCTCAAAGTTCTAAGAGGGAGGAAAAAAACACCCCCAAACTACGCAACCACCCACTGATTTGGGGCCAGAGGTGTAGGTAAGGACCAGGGGAAGAGGGCATGGGCTTCCGGGGAGCCTCGCATGGCTGAATTTGACCCCAAGATTTAATCCCAGGCCGGAAGTTACCCAATGTGGTACGAAGAGAAACAAAGAACACACGGCTTCCACAGGAGCAGCACTCAGCCTCTATCAGGCTGCAGAGTTACAGGTATCACAGAAAGCAGCGTCATATACTCACTAGTTCTTGTACTTCACAAAGAATTCTTCCGCCTCTGTGAACTGCCCATTGGGGAGCTGCCGATGTGGCGAGGGAGGGAACAGAAAGTGGAATTAGCGCGCCAGTGGGCAAGGAGAGAGGCGAAGGACTGGACAGGCATGCTTCGTAAGCTGCTGCTTCTGGCTTTAGCCCTCCTAAGGCGTTTGGGGTCAGACTCCACCCCCAGAGGAGTATTTTAAAATGTGTACAAAACTTGTTTGGAGCAGGGAAACAAGTTGCGTGCCCTCCCTCTTGCCTTCTGTCCGCGTTCCTCTGCTCCAAACACCTTTGCAGTGGAGTGGGCTTGCTTTTTTTGTATTATTAAAAAAAAAGATTCTGAGATGCACACCGGAGCGGAGTAATTGTGCAGTTCCACCTTTAGGATGACTCTGCTTGAGAAGACAAAAGACCCATCGAAAGGAGGGGTGCTGCTGCCTGTATTGCATGCCAAGCCAGGACGGTGAGCCCATATAATGGCAGACAAAAATAAAACCAAACAGCAGCTGAAGGGAAGCATCCCACCATCCCCAAGAGCGCGTGAAAAATTCTCACCTCCTTCTTCACCACCCGCATGGATAGTACTTTGTCTACAATAGCAGCATCTTCCTCGCTGGGGTTTTCCTTTGTGGGAGAGAAGGAGAAAAGGGAAGGACAACTGAGCAACGCCGGATCAGAAGGGCACCTCAGCCGAGAGGACTACAAGCGAGGGCACGGAGGCATTTGCTCCCCTCGCCTGCTGCTCCCTCCACACGCCAGAAACTCGTATTTCAGCTCCCTCTGAACATGGAGGCTTTGCACAACCAGTCTTGCTAAAGGTCACAGATGGATGTGTGATCCCTCCTTTGCGAGGGATCTAAGCTAGCAGCCACTGTCACATATATGGCAGTGAAACCTGAAGTGGCAGTGCTTATTCTCAAAGTTCCCCCAGCCACTCCCAAGGAAAGCCCAAAAACGCAAGCAGTGGCACTGATCCACAGCAACAATCTGATCCTAGAAGTGTCCAGCTTCGCCAGGAGACTGCGTTATGTGGCCCTTTCGAGGTGAAGCCACTCCGAAAGACTTTGCAACAAGGAAAAATATATTTGGTGCAGAAAAAATTAATTTCCCCCCGCTCCTATGAGAGGGGATGTTTTAATTCATTTATTGGAAGTTGTTGTTTTAAATTGTTCTTTTAAAGTACTGTAAGCCGTCCCGAGATACTTATATAAAGGATGGCATATAAAAGCTTTTAATAAATAAAATAATACTATGACAGGGTCAGGGAGACTTAGAGGGAATACGGAATTTTAAGAGGAGTAACAGGTGGCTTGGGCATTCCTGCTGGTAAAAACTTCTGGGGGGCCAGGGCTACGTCCCACAGCCACCTCCAAGGCAGGCTTGGGTGGCAACAAGAAGGATCTTTTCAGTGGTGGCCTCCCAGTTCCACAATGAGCTTCCCACTGAAGCCCACCTGGTGCCAACCTTACTATCTTTTCATTGCCAGGTAAAGACGCTTCTCTACTGCAGGCATTCAGTTTGTCCCCTGGAGCCTAATACAATGCTCTTCTCCATTTGTGTATGTAGCAGTTTTAAATTATGCATTGTAAAGTTCTGATGATGTTTTAATGTGCTCCAGCAGGTGGAAATGTTAGCGTGGTGCTGTGAGCCGCCCAGAGAGCTCTGGCAGTCAGGTGAGGTAGATAACAAAAGAAATAAACGGAGTCAGCGGCCGTCACTCCCATCACAAGACAGCAGCATCCATAAAGTGATGTACATGCCATTTAGCAAAGTTGCTTTCATTAAATGGGTCCCAGTTTATTCCTAATAAACAACATGAAAAGATCCTTCATGCCAGTCCAGGCCACTGGTTCATCTAGAACAGTGATTTCTACTCTCCAGGGTCTCGGACTTATTCATAGCACCTGTTACAAAGAATTATCTTTTTAAAAAGCAAGAATCGGAGCCTGGACTTTTTCTGCGACACGCATGTGCTTTGCTACTAAAGTTAAGTCCCTCCCCAAGTTCCAAGGAGAAGGCAGGAAAATCTTTCTCTGGACTAGGAGGGGGAAACCTGCTGCTCTCTAGAGGCTGTCAGACTACAACTCCAGCCATCCCCAGCCAGCGCGGCAGAAGATGAAGGGAGCTGGCATCCAAACGCCTATTCACCCAGTTCTGAGATTTTCATTTCCCTCCTATTTTGCAATGGTGGTGCTTGGGCAGGGCTTGAGGAAAGACTTCCGCATCCTTCTGTGCCTCTGCCAGAGGGGCAGACCATGATCTGGAGTGGATGTGGGCCACACGGAAGTTTTGGCTGGCCATGGGAATGCCGAGCAGCCTTACCACAAAGAACTGCATGGAAGGCAGTGTCTCCCCCTCGGGGATGGGGTCCGGAGCAGGCGGTTCAGGGGCCGGCAGCTGCTCAGCCTTGACAGGTCCCGTCACATCCAGCTCCTCGTCTTCCTCGTCATCTGTGATCTTGATGTCCAGGTCCTCTGTGTACTTCTTTCGCTTCACCTGGCGGTTCGATCGCCGCTTCTGGAGGGGAAGAGAGGCCGTAGGCCAAGCTAAGGCCTAGTGTTCAAAGCGTCATGCTCCCAGCAGTGCCGGGGCCCCTGGGAAAACGACCTGGAGCAAATCCTCATTGGCAAGGTGGGGGGAAAGCCTTGCCGGTCTACCTCGCAGGGCTGATGTACGAAGTGCGAGGTGCTCAAAACAGGCAGTGTTATTTCTGCTACTCCTGCAGGAGACCGGGGTGCCCCAACCGGCTGGCAGGTGCACTCACGCTCGCGCCTCCGGCTCACCTGGACGCTGCTTTCCTCCTCCTCCCGCGGGGACTGCGCCGGCATCACCTCGGCATCCGAATTGTCCGAAGAGGCGTTGCGCTTCCGCTTCTTCCCGACCACGGGCGTGATGGTGCTGGGAGCAGCCGGAGAGAGAGAGAGGCAGGCTGAGGTGATAAGCCCCACCGCCCCGGGAGGGTGCAGGGTGCGGCAGGGCTCGGCTCCTCACCTGGGCTTCCCCCGGCCTTTGCTCTTGCCGCAGCCTCCCTGGCCCCTGCCCTTGCGCGGCCGCTCCTCCTTGGGCACGCGCTCCCCACCGCCCTTCCGGCGCCGCTTGCGCTCCCCCGGCTCCTCGGGGCGCACGCTGGGCAGCTCGTCCTCGTTCAGCACTCGCGGGATGTTCTGCTCGCCTCGGGCCCGGGCCCGGGCAATGGCCTCCGCCACAATCCGGTTGGCCTTCTCCTGCTTCTTCTGGTGCTCCAGCTTGCGGGACTCGTCCGAGCTGCTCCGGGTCGTCCCGCTGGAGGAGGGCAGAGCCGCCACCTCGCTGCTGCTGAGCACCTTCACCACCGAGAGCCCCGAGGAGCTGCCCTGGGAAGAGCTGGCCTGCAGAGGGCGACAGAGCGCGGCCTTAGAGGGCAGGTGGTACCCAGGGACGCGGGGCAGAGAATGGCCCAGCCTTTCATTTTCCCATGGAAAAGTTTCCACTGCATCCTTTCATTAGTGACAATGAACAGATGCCAACTGCAAATACAGTAACAGGCAAGCCGGCAGCTCCAACGTTGCAATTCACAATTTTCGGGTGATTATCCCTAACAAGTCTATGAGAGAATGGACATACATCATTGAAATACTGATGGATATTTCAGAGCAAACTGGAAATAACAATGACAAAAGAAACCGAAGGTGCCCAGACTGCCTAGTGGAAGAAGTTGAACTAAGCAGAAATGGATGAGCGGCCGTCTGTGAATCACAGGCTGTGCACTCAATTGCTGAAATTAATTCTATGCTAACAGTTCGCAGTGCCTTAATATAAATATAAGGGATGTAGATGGCATTGTTTTTACATTTTCACAAGCATTCTGGTAAAAAAAAATCTACTTAATATTTATAATACACTTATCTACTTAATATTTATAATACACTTATGGCAGAACCCTGTGCATATTTAGTGAGGAAAAGGGGAGATCTGACCCCACGGGCAAGCGCCTGGAACAGGCCAAAACCGGGCAGAATGAGATCAATGGGGGCACTGCAGAGCTAACGATGGACAGGCGCATCCCGTCAAGCCACAAAACCACTGCCTTTGTCCCAGGCCTCGTACTGCCACATGTCATAATCAGGGCTATGTGGCTCCGTGGAATCTACCACCGTCTTGACGTTGCCGACAACATCAACCTCTTTCAAAGGAGGAGGAGGAGACCAGCTCTGGGAGAAGAGGATGCTCAAGGGCTGTTTATCCTGGTTTTCCAAGACTGGGGAGTAGCAGCAAAGCACTCTGCACTCCATCAACACAGAGATCTAATTCAGCTCTCTCCCCGCTTTTCCAGAGACTTTAATCCCTGTCTCCCAGACACTTTCTCAGCCATGAGGCCTAAAGGTCTGTTTTTCTTTTCCAATCAAAGCAGAGATCTTAAGGAAGTTGAATTGTGTCGTCCCCCACCCACAATGCATTTGGCATTCCTCAGAGGAGCTGAAACCCACCCAAATGTTTCATGGGAGGACTGAGCTTCCTTCAACCTGAGGGATGAATTCTATTCTGGAGAAGCTCCCAGAGGCTGCATTTCAGTGGGGTGGGGGGTGAGCAAAAGGTGGCAAGGGGGCACAAAATACCACGAAGAGCACCCTTCCAGCCAGCAGGGAAGGTCAGGAGTGGGCAGAACTGCATCTCACCCCTCTAGAAAGGCGGAAGCCAGAAGGCCGCCAAAGGCCGCCGGTTGGGAGAAAGGGGCATGGCCGCAGGTGACTCCCGCGATGGACTAGTCCGCCAGTCCTGAGATCCGCCCCCCCCCCCCATTCTCAAACCGGGACTGCCCCAAGCCGGCTCTTACCTGCGGCTGCAGGACGACCTTGAGGGGCACCGTGACTCTCTGTCCCGAGCCGCCCACCACCTGGGCCTGCTGCACCGAGGAGACGCTCAGGGGGGCCTGCTGCCCCGAGGTGCTGGCGGCCGGCTGCTGCAACAGCTGGATCTTCTGGGTGCCGGGCTGGCCGCCGGGCGGCGGAGGCTGCTGCGGCGGCTGCTGGCCAGGCTGCTGCACCTGCAGCTGGATGGTGACCACCTTGGCGGGCTGCCCTGGCACCCCCTTGGCCTGGCTCAAGGCTGCCAGCTGGTTCCCCTGGAGCACGATCTTGCCCGGGAGGCTGCCCAGAACCACGTGGCGCTGGCCCGGTGCCCCTCCGCTGGCCGGGGGCTGCTGGAGGACCAGGGTGATGCGTTTCGACTCTCCCTGGAGAGAAGGAGAAGCAAGCCGCCGTCAGCTTGGAGCCCGGAGCCCGATCCACGGGGAGGGCTGCCATCCTCTGCACTGCAGGCAGAAGCAGGAGCGAAGCGACGGCACTCCTCCAGGGCCGAAGCTGAGTAATGCACCCGACTGCAAGTCCAGCGATCCGGGGCGGAGGGAGCTCTGCCGCTCGGCTGGCGCTGGAACTTGCTTCCGCTTTTTAAAATGTCTCCCCAAGGACTGCCTCGGCTCCACGAATCAGGGCGGTATGACCAGATCACCAGCCATCCCGGCTGCAACAAAACCGAGTGGGTGGGAGATCCGCCGCTAGCGCTCTGCATTTGGGATATACCAAGGCACCATTTCACTGCTTTTGAAGCGGGGTGAATCGGACAGCCCTTCTGACTGCCACAAAAGAGGGGCTTAAAAGGTTTCATGCGGGAAATGCTGATGTCCAGCAGGTGTTGCCGCGAAGCACTCCACCCATAATCCCCCCCTTCCTCTACCCATTTTCCACCCTCCTGCAGATACGAAGGCCTTCTTAGATCGAGCAACTTTAAACTGTGGCGCTGGGCAGGGAAAAAAGAACGTATCTTCGACCATTTCCCAATGCAGCCACATTCCTGCACTGGGAAACCTATCTTGTTAAAAAGAAGGATTCTACCCAACCTCTGTCTTTGTCAGGTTAGTTTTCTAAGGATGACATACTTTAAAAAGGTCAAGAAGCGTCCCAGCCCTAACCCTGTGAGGAGCCCGGGGGCAGGAGTGGAACAGTCCCACCAGGCGGACAGGCAAATGATTTTTTCTGAACCGAGTGGGGTCCTGCAAAGCTGAAGTGAGGACGGAAACACACGGGATTGCTTCGGCACCACCAGAATGCTGGCAGAGGCTGTAATTTTACTTATGTTTACCTGGGATTAAGTCCTACTGAACTCAGCAGGTTGCACTTCTGAGCAGACCTGCCCAGAACGACGACGCAAGAAATCCAGATCTAACACAACTCACTCAGCAGACACATCCGCACCAGCCCGGAAGCCTGCAGTCTGGAATAAGGGCATGAAGCAGCCTTGCTCCACTCCATCAGGTTCACCAGCATGGCCGGTGGTCAGATGGGATGGGAGCTGGAACCCAACAACTTCCGAAAGGCTGCAAGAGGCTTCCCGCTGAGGCTGATGGGTTCTATTTTCTAGAATGCCAAGGTCCTCTTGTCAACTAACGGCTCAGTGGAGAAGAGAGAGAGCTGCAGAGCGCAGAGCCTCAGCCCAGGAATTCGCTTTCTGCACCAGACCTGGAGCTGAGCTTCTCACACAAACATTTCCACACCCAGTTCCATTCCTGTCAGCAAGTGTGCACAACGTGCCTGTGGGTGTATTCCGTAGCTTCCTTGAGTGTAGCAGCCCAGATTACTAGGGGCGAAAACCACATCGCACAGACCTGATCTACTCTTTGCCTGTCCCTGATACGCAGCGGAGGAGAGCAAGATCAAGCAAGGATTTCTGACTGTGAACGGTTAAGCAATGACATAAACAAGACGACGGTCTCCCACCTTAAATTGCACCACTGAAATGAAGAAAGCTGGGTGTGGATTTTTGCGTGGAAGAACACCGAGCTCCGTTTGTTTCTGGTCCCCCAGAAAATCCCTGGGTACAGAATTCTCAAAATCGAACTACAGCTTCTGCAAGGCCAGTGAATCCTGGGTCTCTAGTATAAGCAATGACACAGGCACACAAACCGAAAGCAAAGACACATCTTTGACATAAAGAAACTGCTTCAAATTGAGTCCAGCCCTAACACACTGCTGCTAAATGTCAGGTCGGTGAAGGGGAAACTGATGGCTTGAACCTGGCTGAACACGTGGAGATCTAGATGGGACAAGACCAAAGCTGCAAGTCTCTTCCGGTTTTGGTCACCGGAACATTTTCAATGTGCTACTCTAATTTGCTAAAAAAAACCCAAAAAACTGGCCTTTATCACGAACTTCCTTGAGGACCATTTCTTGTAAATTACACAAATACAGTTCTCTGCCTCTGATCTTTCATGATTTGTACCCCAACTTTCTGCAAGGAAAACAGCACCCAAAGCGGTTTACAATCCTAAATGACTCTCGATTAAAACAGTCCTGAAAGGCAACCAGTGCCACAACAGTATTGGGGTACGAACTGCACCCAAGCAGCAGAGCTCCATAAACACAAAGGCCTTGCTCCAAGGAACAGGGAGGAGGCTGAAGCTTCCATGTAGGCTGAAGTGCATGATCCTGCCTAATCTTGGAAGCTAAGCAGGGTCAGGCCTGGGCAGAAGTGGGATGGGTGACCTGAGTGTATGATTCTATGAGAGAGCTTTGGCTGTGGGCAGTATAAAAATGTAATAATAATAACTTCCCACAAGTTCTGCCCATGAAGCCGCATCCTGCTTGGGTTGGGGGTGCTACTTGGCTACGGTACCTGTGCCGGAGAGGAGGTCAGAGTGACCGCAGGCTTCAGGGGCGCAGTGCCGGTGCTCCCCGCAGCCTGGCTCTTGATGGGCTGCAGCACCAGCTGCTTGACGGGTCGCCCGGGCTGGACAAGGCGATGGAGTGTGGTGGGAGCCCCCGCTCCGGGGGACACTTTGGTGGCCAGCACCGCGTTGCCCGAGACGATGGACACCCCCGGCCGCAAGGGGGTGCCGGTCAGCACCTTGGCGAAGGTGACCTTGCCCCCGTTGGCGGCCCCGATGGGCTGGGCTTGGATCTGGGCCACGTGGGCCCCCGTCATGGAGCTGCCGGCCGGCGCTTTCAGGATGACGATCTTTGGAGCCGGGGGAGTGGCTGTGGCGGCAGCTTGCTGGGCTCCGGAGGAGGAAGGGGGCGCGATGGCTGGCGCGGTGGCGGCGGTGGAGGAGACCCCCATGAAAGGGTTGCCTTGGCTGAGGATCTCCTGCTCCGGCGGGGCCTGCAAGAGTCCAGCTTGGTCCTGCTGGGACAGCTCCGGCACGGCCTCGGAGGGCGTCTGCGGGAGGGGCAGCGTCTGCGGCTGGGGAGGCACCGGCGGAGGGGCAGGCGGCTGTTCCTTGGCACCGGCGGCCAGAGAGTCCAAGGCCCCACCCGGGAGCCCCAGAGCCTCCTCGATGGGATCCGGGGCTCCCTGGTTAAAGCTTTCGTCCGTCAAGGAGTCCAGGCCGAAGAGGTTGGGGTCGTCGAAGAGGTCCATGATGGGGTCAGCCATGGGGCACGGGGGGCGGCGGCCCCTTGGGCAAGGGGAGGGGGGTTGCCGGAGGTCCCCTCCCCAATCTCAGCTGCACTGCAGTTCTCCAGTCAGGCAGGGCCGAGTCTCATGAAGGGAGGAAGACACCTTCTAGGGCAGGCTGCAAAGGTGGACATGAAATGCGTTAGAGCGACAAGAACACACCTTCTCACGTCCCCAGAGGATGGGCAACAAGTCAGCCTTTTTTTTTAACCAATGACTGATGGAGTGTTTAAGCTGAATGCTAAGCAACTGACCAAGATAAAAGCCAGTAACAGTGTTCAGAACCCCAACTAACACATAAAATGAGTCCTAATTAACTTAAGCAGGCAGGACAAGTACTGAGGGAGGGAGGGAGGGCTCGGGGAAGGAGGCGGCCTTCAACAGGTGCCATAGCTGCCACCTCCCAAATGCTAGGGCTGACGACACTCCACGAGGTGGGTGCCACCACGCAGAAGGCCTGCTCCTAGGCTGCCACCAGGTGGACATCCACCCGGCGCCACGCAACCAGCCAGACCTCCTCTGAGGACTGTAAGATTGCACGGACCTCGACTGGGGAAGGGGAGCTACCGCTGAGCCAACCACAAGACCCTGCACTTGGCTCAGGAGCAAAGGAGCAGGCGAGACTGGTGCTCTAACACGGGCACTACCTGGGCTTGGCCAGGTGCCCTGCTCCACATCCCGGCCACCGCATTCCACACCAGCAGCAGGTTCTGCCCAAGCGCAAGAGCAGCCCCACCTTCCACCCTAGTCTAGGTCCCATCATGCTCTCTACTTTCGCCTTTGTCCAGTGTTTGAATGCTCAGAGGCCTGCTCTGCAACAGCTGCAAACACCCTCTTTCCTAGACTTCCCTACAGCAAAACTACAGCATTTGCAACCCTCCCGGTGTGGTATCGTGGTTGTGCTGGCTGGAGCTGATGGGAAATGGAGGCCAACAACACATGGAGGGATGAAGGTTCCTGCACGCAAGTGTCTTTCTTCCCCTCCTCGTGAGGAAGGAGGCCGGACAACACAGAAAAGGGACACTCAGTTCGTCGGCATCAGAACCGGCTGTGCTTCTCTGTGAAGGGGGAAGCACCACGTTCTCAAGCCACAAGACTTGCATCGGGAGGAGTAAATCTTTCTGATTTCTAGGAGCCAGCAAGCAATGCTTTGATCAGTGCAGACTGCAGATTCTGGAGGGCCCATGAAGAGCGAGTGTGGAGCTGTGGGTTGAGTATCGCCCCCGGATTCGGGGGAGCCAAGTTCTGGTGCCCGCTTGGCTGTGGAGCTCACTGGGCAACTCTGGGCCGGACACTCATCCTAAAATGCTTCACAGGGTGTGGCTGTGAGGACTAAATGGAGAAGAAGTGGGAGACGGTGTAGGCTGCCCTGGACTCCTTGAGCAGGAAAAAACCTGGAAATAAGCGCAGGGACTGAAGGAGAAAATACCCCCGTGGGCCGCATCCCCCAGTGAGTCTGCCTTCTCACTTCTGGGGGCACCAGCTGCTCCGACTCCTCAGCCTCTCTCTCATCATGGCTTCAAGTGGCTGGCCAGAGAGGCTGGGGGCAAGAGGCCGACTCCTCTCCTCTCCTGCCCCTCACAAGCCCCGTCGCTTGGGCCACAGTGAGAGGCAAGGAAAGCAAGCAGGTGGCAATGGTGCAGAGGCGGCTCAATTCCAGCTGGCCCTGGCCGTCCCCGAGATGTCGCTGACCTCAGCTGCTCCAAGCCCAAGCTGCTTTCTTGGCTTTCACCCCCTGCCCACCACCACCCCAAATGAGTTGCTTGCACATCCGCAGACCCCAGCAAGGGCATGTTTGGATGGCTTCCTCCTCACGTACCCCTTGAGCAACAGCCAGTGGGGCTGTGGGATCCTGGGGCTTGAAACTGGAACTGGCGCGGATTAGTGAAGCAGATCATCACACAGGAAACAACCGCTCCCGACACAAAACAGTTCCCAGAAGCCCAACTACGGCGTCCGGGTGACCGGACGGGAACAGGCTAACCTCTCTTGTCAACACTGGCCGACTTAAAAACCATCTACTACTGGCCATTCCAGTATTTTTTCCTTCTGGCAGGCACGTGGGCTCCAGTGGGTTAACATGCGTAAAAGCCAGTCCAAAACCAAAGGAGACACTCTTCACCGGTGTCAGTGTGCATTTTTGCAAAAACCCCGCAAACTCCACCGGCCTGGCACACAGGTATCTCATACCTGTAACAGGTCTGTTTCCATTCCTTCACAGCCAGCAAGCAAACTCAATGGTCGGTTGAGAAAATGGAATGGAGAGATCCATCCCATTAGTCCACTTCCTCACCTGCACCAAATTCTTGGTCACCCAGGGTGACTAGGCAGGTTGTTCAAGGCAAGGCTGGTGCGCGGGTCCAACTGAACAAGCGCAGAACAGAGAGAGAGCCCTTTGTTCCTCCCAGGCTTCTCCTGTACCTGCACTGCATTTCTGGTTGTCTGGGGCGACTGGATGACTTATAAAATTCATCACCAAGTGAACAGGCCGCAGCCTATGACCCAATGGGCAACCTCTCCAGCGACCGCCGATCTGCCTGGGGTGGCCAGTCTAGGAACTCCACTTGCCTTTGGCTTTGTTGCCTGCTTAAGAGGGTGAAAATGAAACGGGAGGAAGGCCATCTGGGACAACTGGCGAGACACGGGCTATTCCTTGTGGAGTTGTGCTTTGGCTTTGTAGGCCAGGAGTGCTTCCAGGCTAGCTCTGGATGCTAAATGGGTGAGCACAGGTGCGCTGCCACCGGAGACCTTGACATAATGCAAGCAAACAATGATAGCGGCCCCGTTATTATGACAGGGTGCAGAAGCTCCATTCTGGGGGCGAAATCAGTTCCTTCCTCCGGCCAGCAAACATTTGGTGGACTTGTAGTTTTCATGTAGATTTTCCTCCTTATTCTAAAAGGTTGAAAGGTCTCTTTTGGGGTGTAGTCACAGGCTGCAAGAGCTGTACGCTCAGGTTTGCGGCTATTTGCGGTCATTTTGGCCTTCTTCCTTTCCCTCTTGGCTCTGCTCACCATTGGAATGTCCCTGCAATCCCAGAGCATCTCTGAAATGGACTTTGGTCCAGTGCAGAGTTTCCATCCTCGCTTTACCCATGATAAAAGAAGAAGAGATCTACTTCACCAACTGGAGGCTCGGTGCTGGCCAAGAACTCTACATGACAGCAGCTGAAGACTCTCAAACTACACTAAAGTCTTTTGACTTAAGATTTAAACTGGCTTGGAATCATTACTGGTTCTCATTGGGAATGCTGGACATGTGCTTTTGGGTTGCTCAGTCAATGCTGGGAATCCTGTGAAGGTTCTTCTATTAAGAGCTGGGCCCTCTGTGGAACTGGAGATCTCGATATGAGAGCTTTAGACGAAGGTCTCTTCATCCACACCTGACTATTGATCCATCTAGCCTGGCCTGTCAGTGACTTTGGCAGCTGGCTCATTGCTAGCTCATTGGTCTAGGGCAGTGATGGCGAACCTTTTAGAGACCGAGTGCCCACACCGCAACCCAAAACCCACTTATGGATCGCAAAGTGCCAACGCTGCAATAACTGAAACCTGAAAACTGAGGTTTTAGTTTAGAAAAAACACCTCACAGCCAGTCCAAGCAAAAATATATATATATCTCCTTGGCAGCACACTGACCGGCCATGCGAAAGCTCAGATGCGTTGCGGCGAGTGAGTTGTGGCTCATGACATCATCGCCTGGTGCCACTACTCCTTTCTGAGCATGCGCATGGCCCCTGTGTGTGCTGTTATCTGATGCTTGGATGCTGGGGTGACTTGGCTTGCGTGTCGACAGAGAGGGCTCTACATGCCCACTGTGGCACACGTGCCATAGGTTCACCACCACTGGTCTAGGGGTATGATTCTCGCTTTGGGTGCAAGAGGTCCCGGGTTCAAATCCCAGACGAGCCCAAGTGTTTGGACATGCACATGGTGGGCATGTCATGAGCAGAGCTGGCTGGAGTCGGGGGTCAGACTAGATGGCCCGAGAGACCCCTTCTGTTTCTATGTATTATAGAATTTACTAGAGACTAACTCAGGACTTTCTGCATGCAAGCCATATGCAGGGAAGAGTTCAGTTCCCCTGACATCCAGCCAAATCTCTATGGCTGGCAAAGCTGAGGTTCACAGAAACATTTACTTTGGTTTAAACAGAACTTTTAACGTCCTTGAAACGTGGAAAAATCAAAACACGAGAAAGCAGCCTCATGATCTTGCCGATGCACTGTAGTTTTGAAAGGGGAAGCACAGAAAAAACAACGCATGTTCCCCACACAACCCATGTCCTCCACTGGTACCAACCCAGTGAGTATCCTATTTCCAGACATCTGAATAAACCCTGGAGTAAAGAGAATGCGATGGACAGAGCCTTCTCTAAAATCAGGGAGTGGGCAGACTTGAGGCGTGCCGGATCAGCCTTTTCCCCCAACTAGTACCAGGAGGTCCAACAACTGGATCCAGACATAAAAGTGTGACACAAGGCAGGCAAAGTGATACAAGCAAGCCGCCTCTGCCTACACGCTCGGCCAACAAACTCATTCAGCACCAAAAGCTACTGCTCGCACAGGAACCTTATCCGCCTGTTCTACTTCACCTATTCCATTTCCCAACCCTCCCAAAATTTCTTATTTAGGAGGGAAAGTTGATGCTGAGAGCCAGAGACCATTGCTGAACTACTGCACATCACCCCGAGATCTACCACTGGGTAGATCTGCTTTTAAATAAAAATAGAATCAAGTTCTCTCTCTCTACTCCCATGGACAGTTAGCCCAGGGTAATTTTACCCATCTAAGCTCATTTATTATATTTATTATATTTACAGCCTTTTTTTCCTACAAGGACGTCAAGGTGGCTTGCATAACCCCCCCTCATTTCCTTTTTATTTTCACAACAACCCTGTGAGGAAGGCAAGACTCACAGCCGGTGACCACCCCAAAGTCATCCAGGCATTTTCCTGGCCAAGTGGGGACTAGAACCCAGATCTCCTGTGTCCTAGTCTTACACTCGAACCACTATACAACGTGGTCTGGGGCTTCTGCACCACTTTCCAGAAATGGCTCCATCCATCACAACAAAACTCTGGGGCGACCCACTCCACCCCCCGTGATGCCCTACCTTG